TTAATCTGTCTTCCATCTCTTTCTTCATCTTTCCCTTTTCATCCTCCGTTTATTATCAGAACTTCTTATTCTCTTGTCTTCTTAATATTCGCTTAATTTTTTTCTCTGTCATCAATATTCACAGTAAGTACCCCAAGTATACGCTAGACACGGAAAATTCATCTATCTTTACCTTATGTTCCCCTTATGATCCCCTTAGTTCCCCTTTACTCTCAGAAACAAATTACATCATGATTGATTTCTTCTCTTTCCTCTCTCTCAATGTTCACTTAATTTATCTCTTGCATCAGTATTCACCGTACGATCCTAAGCATGGAAATTCATCAAAGATCTTCTGAGAAACATTCATTAGGCCTGTCCTCATAACCTCAAACCTTGAAACTCGAGCTCGAGAAATAAGCTCAAGATATTTTGCTCAGCGTTCACGCATAATGCAAATCTTCGGGCTGGTGAAGACGCACCGGACAAATAGCGGGGTATTTTCCAAACTGGCCCAAGATATCCTGGGATGATTATCTTGACCAAATATCCCGCTAATTGCAACTTCGGGCTGATGAAAACGCAAATAAACTGTATAATTTGTGATCGGGATAGTTCAAATAGCAGGATATTTGGCAATCTGGAGCTGATGAAGGCAGGCCTAATGTATCACCACATGTAGCTGGTATACCCTCATGGGGACTATTTGCCAGTTTCATGTAGCCCCTCCACATATGATGCTGCAGACCTACAACAAAATATGCTGCACATCAAAAGAAAAAGTGTGTACAGTAATTGGGTTTTTACAGACGTGTATCAATCAGATATAGTCTGGGGACCGATCTTTAATGTCACCATCCAAAAGACGTGACTCAGTCTCGATCTGGGGTCCCCTGAGCCAGCTTGTAGGCAAAGACAGAGAGCTGACCAAGTGAACGTACCCCTAGACCAAAGCCCATCTCACTCTTGTGTCTTATGTTTGAAAAAATAAGAGGGCGAAAGTAGCTGCTCAGAATAGACAATTCTTTAGCATTCATTTCTTGAATTTATACATTTTAAACAAAAACACATGGTTTACCCCCCATATCTAAACGCGTCTTTATGAGGCAGGTTTGATACCGTGTCATGAGTAAATGAATCTTAATCTATGACATACATGTACTTATAAACATAAAAGTCATTAGACTCCATATCTAAACGCGTCTTTATGAGGCAGGTTTGATACCGTGTCATGAGTAAACGAATCTTAATCTATGACATACATGTACATGTACTTATAAACATAAAAGTCATTAGACTCCATATCTGAACGCGCCTTTATGAGGCAGGTTACTGTGTTATGTGTAAACGAGTCTTAATCTATGACATAAATGTACTTATAAACATAAAAGTCATTAGACTCCATATCTGAACGCGTCTTTATGAGGCAGGTTTGATACTGTGTCATGTGTAAACGAGTCTTAATCTCTCACATTCTGTACATACTAATGTTAAAGTCATTAAGACTGATAGACCCTAGGGATAGCTAGACACCTATTAGGAGAGTCATATCCTAAGACCAACTCAAGCTTAGCACTACATGACATGAATGCCATTATTAAGGCCATTAGATTAAACTCACTATAAAGCACTGGCATCTATAGCCATGAAGGTAGTCAAGGCAAACACATCAATCAACCCAAAATTTGCTCCTTTTTTTCCCTCTCTTTTTGTTCTTCGTATACTTCAAGGTAAAGAGCCAAAGGTTTCTTTTAAAACCTCTTATGTTCCACTTTAATAAATAATAATAATACTCAGTTTTTACATAGTGCAAATTAAAATTAAGTCTCTATAAAGCGCTATGGAAATAGAAGAAAATCAAGAAGTGAGTACAATTTATTGATCAAATTATTTGACCAACGGATCCGCTCGTGGAGGATAAAAGACGCTTGCTTACATTACATGTTATCACCTGACGAAATGTTGCAGCGGCGCACGAAACGTTGTGATCTTTTAGATCCCTTGTTGACCATACATTGCTAGACAAACTTTGTCACTAGCGATATTATTTTCGATATCTACTTGACATGCATTTGTACACATACATTTAATAGTATGCAATTCAAATGTGGATGTACAGTATGTACACTGTACAGGTATATTTGAATGGAGCTCTGGGGCGGAACTTCATTCTGCTTTAATAAAGGAACTGTAGCTTGGACAACTGCATGTAAACAAACGGACTTGATTAACGGTAGTCAGTGACTAAACCTCTACATGGTCAGCGTTCATCGAAACAGACCGAAGTTCTCCTCACGCTTCGGTTTTGCGTATTTTGTACGCACGTGATTGCTGCGTTCGCGTCATCCGTAGTCATATTATACCAGATTGGCTCCAAGACACGTTGTCTCGTCAGGCTACACTCCCTTTAAAGTAAGAACGATCAGTGATGTCCTCAGTAGAGCCAATGTTGTAAGAAACCCCTAGCAATGGTATAAATGGACTTTCTCAAATGGGATGCTAATTCAATGTTTCCTTTCCTCAACTGTCATTCAGCTTAACGCATGCATCGAAGGATGATGCTCTTAAAGGGAAATATCAAACAGCCTGCCTAAACATATTTGCTTGCTGAGCTAGAAACCTTTAAATTCTGTAGACTACAATCATACAGAGGTCTAAGCTTTGTCAAAAAGGGGTAATCTTTTCCTTGATGCAAGATGCAATTGCAAGATGAAATTACATGTACAGTGTATATGGTTTTAGCTAGAAATTTCTATATAAAAGCATGCATTTTGTGTATGATAGAGATGGCTATCCCACATTGGGTCTTCTCAAATGGGATGCTAATTCAATTTTACCTTTCCTCTCCTGTCATTCAGCTTAATGCATGCATGGAAGATTGACGCTCTTAAAGGGAAATATCAAACAGCATGAATAGGATGTTCTTTAATACATATAAAACTCTGCATGCATTCTGGGTACATACAAGAACCAGCTATTGTTTGATGTTCACATACATGTACATGTTGTACATGTATTTGATGTGCATGTACAGTATATGCCCACTTTTCGTTTTAGCACTTACATGTAACTCCTTACTTCCTATGGATCACAACTCCAAAGGTTTGTTCAGATATCAGTTTCAACATAGTTTGACTGTGGTGGTCCAGTGCTTTAACATACTGTACATGCAATTTAAAGCCATGGTTTTCAGGTCACAATCTCAATCAGCTACATGTAGTAAGATTATTGTTTCAAACTGGATTTAATCCAAACTAACCAAAATTCAAATTGAGCTTTACTGTATACATGCTATCAGTTGAAGATGTGAACTCATTCATTCAGTTTGTTCAGTATTTTACAAAATATTTTACTGGTAAAGTGAAACCTGTCTATAAAGGCCACCAAGAGAAGACAAGAAAAGTTGTCTTTATAGGCAGGTGGTCTTTATGTACAGGTTCATTAAGTACATGTTTCAATGAGAAACCATTTTAAGGGAAACAACAAATGTGTACATGACATGTACATGTACACATAGCTTCTCTTTTAATACCCATCTCTCTGAGCATGACCCATACAAAGTGCATTGTGCTATCAATACATGTACATTGCCTGTACATAACCATATTTTTTAATAGATGGACAAGTTTGACTGTATTTAAAGTATGGGCAATATGCTTTTTTGTTAACATAATATTATCTTGAAGAGTTTCTGTCATCAAGGCTAATTTATAAATGAATTTCTCAAAGGTGGTTTACTTCCTCAAGTATGAATGAAGCTTACCTTGTTTCTGTCATCAAGGTTAACAAATGAATTTTGTTTAAAGGCGGTTCACAGTCTCACGTATAAACACGACTTGAAGAGTTTCTGTCATTGAGGCTAATAAATGAATTTCTCTGAGGTGGTTTACTGCCTCCAGTATGAACAAGGCTTACATGTACCTCGTCTCTGTCATCAAGGCTAATAAATGGATTTTTTTTTGGAGGCGGTTTACAGCATCATGTATAAACACGACTTGAAGTGTTTCCATCATCGAGGCTAATAAATGAATTTCTGTAAGGTGGTTTACTGCCTCCAGTATGAATGAGACATACCTTGTTTCTGTCATCAATAGATTTTTTGTAGCGGTTTACAGCCTCATGTATAAACACGACTTGATGTGCTTCTGTCATCGAGGCTAATAAATGAATTCATCTATTTTGGTTTGCGGTATCAAGTATGAACGAGGTTTACCTTATCTCTGTCATCGAGGCTAATAAATGAATTTATCTAAAAGGCGATTTACTGCCTTAAGTATGAATGAGGCTTGCCTTGTTTCTGTCATGGAGGTTAATAAATATATTTGTTTGAGGCGGTTTACAGCCTCACGTATAAACACGACTTAAAGTGTTTCTGTCATCGAGGCTAATAAATGAATTTCTCTTAATATGTGGTTTACGGCCGTAAGTATGAATGAGACATACCTTGTTTCTGTCATCAATAGATTTTTTGTGGCGGTTTACAGCCTCATGTATAAACACGACTTGATGTGCTTCTGTCATCAAGGCTAATAAATGAATTCATCTATTTTGGTTTACGGTATCAAGTATGAACGAGGTTTACCTTATCTCTGTCATCCATGCTAATAAATGGATTTTTTAAAGGGGTTTACAGCCTCACGTATAAACACGACTTGGAAAGTTTCTTTCATTGAGGCTAATAAATGAATTTATCTAAAAAGCGATTTACTACCTCAAGTATGAATGAGGCTTGCCTTGTTTCTATCATCGAGGTTAATAAATAGATTTGTTTGAGGCGGTTTACAGCCTCACGTATAAACACGACTTGAAGTGTTTCCGTCATCGAGGCTAATAAATGAACTTCTCTATTAAAGGTGGTTTACAGCCTCGAGTATGAACAAGGCTTAGCTTGTCTCTAACTGTCATCAATGCTAATGAATGGATGGCTTGCACATTGAGGGGTACAGACGAGGCATGGTTATGCAGGTGTTGATGTGTGCTTCCGGCATCGCATACATGTTGAAGATTGGGTTTTAATTGTAATGACTGATCCTGCTGGTATGATGTGTGTTCATACATAATACATGTCCATGTATACGTTTATGTATACGTTTCCTGACGTTATGCAAATGCTGTTGGTGTTGTAGATTTATGTTTTATTAACTGACCCTAGCTGCCAATTTTGATGTGTATTGGTTTATATTCACAGGTATCGTAAACAGATTGGAAGAAACTGTTTTAGATGTTGTAAAGAGAAGTGGATCGAGATGGATGTGTTGATCAAGAAGGGAAGACGATGAACCTGTGAAAAGAGCATGGGATCATACATGTACGTTGAAGATTGGGGTTTATAATTCACCCAACTTCTTTGAAAATTGCCAGGACAAATTATGTGAGGGAGACTACATATACCTGTAGATGAAGAAAAATCCATCTGATTTAGAAAGATTTAAGAGAGAGATCTAAATGTCAAGAGGGAAAAAAAGGATTTTGTTCAAGAGAGTAGATAAGAAAAGTGTTGATTGGTGTTTCCTGATGTTGCATGGGAGCTGTTATTATTGTAGTTTGAGATTTAATTATAATTATTGGATCCTGTCACCTTTGATTTGCATTGATTGTCTCCAGGCATCGGATTACGAAAAGATTGTTAATGCTGAAGGTTGAGTTTTGATTATAATTATTGACCCTGCCACCTCTACGCTCTGTGAATTACCGGGCAAGCATGGATGAAATTGAATAGTTCCAAGAAGGATGAGAAAGAGTGCAATGGAGAGCATATTACAATGTAGCAGCAACCATTCTTTTGGAGGAATGAATCCTATTTTCAGCCTAGTTCAAGCTATTGTTTTCAAATCTAGATTCCTCTCATTATCTGACTGCAGTGTGTGTGTGTATTGGTTTTTACAGACGTGTATCAATCAGATCTGATTATTTACGTCTGGGGACCGACCTTTAACGTCACCATCCGAAAGACGTGACTCAGTTTCGAACCTGTGTCCTCGGCTGAATCAGTTTGTAACTTTCACTTTTAGCTGGATTACAGGCGCACGCCACAACGCCTAGTTTGAATAGACAAATAGACTCTTTTCCCAGTTGTTTTGCCTTGAGAGATCCCTAATTTTTGCTGTGAAATATTGGCAGGTATGTATAAGAATTTGGAAAGGAACTCTAATCGTACTACGGGAGACTGCAGGATTCAGGAGATAAAGTCTATTACAATGTAGCTGCAACCATTCCTATTTTTAGAGGAATGATTCCTATTTTGGGGCCTTCAAGCTATTGTTTTGAACCTTAGATTCCTCTCTTTTTCTGAAATATTCTGTGTAAAAAGTATACATAATAGACTCTTTTTCTAGTTTTGCCTTTGGAGATTCCCAAGTTTTGCTGTGAAACGTTGGCAGGTATGAACAAGAAAGAAACAATAACGGTACTTAGAGAGATTGTAGGAATCAAGAGAGAGAACCTCTTGCGGCTGGCTGGAGTGTTGAAGGTTGGAGTGTTGAAGGTTGGAGTGTTGAAGGTTGGAGGGGAAGGAGATGCAAGAAGATAACCCCTTTGAAAATCAGCTGTGCTGAAAGGGCCATCCACCCTATGAGAGGAAATGAATAAATAAATAAATAAATAAATAAAAATAGAGAGATAGTGGGAAACAAAAGAAGAGGCAACAGAGCTACAGATACACAATGTACATGTACATGTATGTAACATTAAGACAGCTTTGAGGTTAATACAAAAGTGAGGAGATTAAGGGCAGAGAAAGGAAGAAAGACGGAGAGAGAGAGAGAGAGAGAGGGGGGGGGGGGGTGTGAGGGAAAAAGAGATTACCTGAGGAAGGAAGGTGAGAAAGAGAGAGAGAGAGGGAGAGAGAAATAGAGAGAGCCTGGGGAAGGGGAGGGTGAAAGAGAGCGGGAGAGAGAGAGGGGGAGAGAAATAGAGAGAGCCTGGGGAAGGGGAGGGTGAAAGAGAGAGGGAGAGAGAGAGAAATAGAGAAGGAAGGATATACAATCATGTACTGTATATGTACAGTATAGAGAAAGAGAGATACATACATGTACATGTACATATTAAAGTGAGATGTACTAATAATGAGATGGGAAGGAAACTTGTTCAGTGTATAATAAAAAAATTGATCAAAAAATACAAACTGATATTAGAAGGGAGGAGAATCACCTGTTGATGAATGACTTTCATTCTAAAGAAAAATATTATTCAATACCCAACGCTTCCTCCATCTCTGAATTTCTATTTCTAAAATTATCTTTAAAGAAAATCCATTCAAGAAAATCTTCAATCATATAATCAATGAAATCTATATTTAATTTCTTTGTTGAGGTGAGATGCGGTCACATACTGTAGTATAATGAAATCAGGGGGGTGTTTCACAAAGACTAAGATCAACTTTAAGTTGGACTTAACTATGGCAGGCCGCTCATGCCACTAGTTACTCTCACCATTGGTCTCTCAATTATGATCTTAAGATAATATATTTTCCTACAATAATATGAACTATCAAAAAATGTAAATTCTGTAGATTTGTGACCATGATTTGTACGTCCCTTGGGAAGCCAATGCCTGGAAAAGCTAGAGGAACTAATGGCATGAATGGCCTGCCATAGTTAAGTCCAACTTAAAGTTAATCTTAGTCTTTGTGAAACACTCTCCAGAAGACAGGTGTTATGAAATCCTTTGATGTGTAGAATGGGATGCGGTCCAGTCCCTTGGGTAGGAGGATCAGGTGAGAGAGAGGATATGGACCCTCTCTCTCATCCTTCTGTTTCCCCCTCCAGAGGATTCTACAAGAGAGAGAGAAAGAGGGAGAAAGAGAGAGGAGGGGGGGGGGGAGAGACAGAAAAAGAGAAAGAGGGAGAAAGAGAGAGATAGAGAGAGAGAGAGAAAGAGTGAGAGAGAGAAGAGAGAGAGAGCGAGACAGAGACAGAAAAAGACAGACAAAGAGAGAGACAGAGGAAAGGAAGAGAGAGAGAGAGAGAGAGAGACAGACAGAGTGAGACAGACAGACAGAGACAGAAAAAGAGAGAGACAGAGAGAGAGAGCAAGAGAGAGGGAAAGAGGAGGAGGGGGTTGGGGGCTATGCTCATATTTGCTGGAAAGTTTAATATCTATTTTTATGTGCCATATGGGCAATCACATCTAATTTGTCTAGTTTTTTCAGAGGTGGAAATTGATCATAGTTTTTTTAGGTCTAATGGGCAATATTTAGTTAATGCTGTTGTTGCAATGATAGTCTTCTAATCTGTCCTTGAGGGGGGGGGGGCCCGGGGGGGGGGGGGGAGGAGGGTCGTCTGGGTATACAGAGATGGAAATTGATATTGGCATGTCTGCCGAGGGGGCAATAACATAACATTTAGAATCAGAGAATCAAGCCTGTATTACTGTATGCGTGTGTGCATGTTGAGCGGTGGAGGTCAAACCTAGAGGTTGAAATTGATAATCATCTTCACATGTCCATTTAATTAATGTTGTATTGATATTCTCCTAATCTTCCAGGGGGGGGGGGGGGGGGGCAAATCAAGAGTGGGAAATTGATTTTAGTTCTGTAGGTCAAATGGACAATCACATTGTATTTACATGTATACATTTAATTTAGAATCAGGGCCAGTTTTAATGAAATTCTATCTGAAGTTAGAGAGGAATAGAGAGAGAGAGAGAGAGAGAGATGGAGAAAGAAAGGGGAAACTTACATGTTCATGTGTACATAGAGGTATAAATTGATATTAGTTTTGGCGGCCAAATGGGCAATTACTTGTAATGAAGGCTGTGGCGTTGATTCACCTTGTTCCATTGCTTGATCCCATTGGGAAATAACTAGTTGCCTTAGAAGAAGATTGTTATTGGTTGCCTAATGGCCCATCCTATCCCATTTGGACTCTGCTACTGTAGGAATCATTTATATTAAAGGGCGTGGTAGCTAAGAGCTAAAATGGTGTTAAATTGTACCAATCATAGAAAATAATAAGTGCAAACTAAACTAGGATAGATTGACAGTATTGCTTGAGATAAAGTAGACACATTAACACCAGGTCACACCAAATATAATCCTTGTAGCCATGCGTGACTGACACAGTGTGAGAGTGACTACTTTACGTCAAGCAATACTGTATAAAAAACAACTTCACAACTTACCCAGCTTTATATGGGCTAACTGATTGAAAGAGTATGAAGAAAAAGCAGTAGCACTAGACCATGCATACAAAAGTTGGCTTTGTGGGATTTGTGTCTCGCCATTTATTGTATTAAGTACACCCTAAGAAATAGGGGTGCAATTGGGGTGCATGTTTGCATCCACCTACACTGTACATTGTATATGTACAAGTGTTTGGCAGAGGGTGCTGCTACTGTTACAAAATGTCTCCCTTACAGTGTATTTCTATAAGTGTGTAGGACCTTATATATTTGCATCGTTCCCTTTTTGTCTTTATCAAACAGCTTAATAAATGCTCTTGGTAATTTAAAAAAATCAGATTACCGCAGATGCAGTTTCATTTTAAAAACATGAACAAATGCTACAATCAGTAGAAGATATGAAGTTAGTCTATAAATGAAGCTGCGTGACAAAAACCTTTATTTTCTTTATAAATTGAATGATCTTTAACTTATTCTCTCAATGTCTCATCAGAAATATTTGCTCATCTTGAAGTATAGCTTGCGAGTCCAATTATAGATTCACAATAAAATAGCGAAAAATTAGTGCTTCTTAAAAAATAGGAAAAAATACAGTATTTTGTTCCCGTAAAATGATAGGGAACAGTAATCCCAAGAATTTGGAAATTAGCTTAAAACTGATGAGGTACTTGTTTTGAGAAAAGAGCCAACATTTTTTTATTTTAACATGCAGGTGGTAAAGAAGTCTCTATGAAAGACTTTTGGCATTTTACCCAAGATCGTTATAGTTAACAAATAATGAATGGTTATGAGTTTAATAGTGCAAATATTTTCACGAGTTGAAAGATAAACATTCTGTTTAATGAGGCGTCAGCCGAGTTGAATAGAATTAACGTACATGTACGCATTCTGCATATAACCAAAAATGCACGCCCATGCAATAGAACATCTATTGAATATCATGTGACCAACAATCCTCCAATCAAATGACAAGGATCCACGTAGGTGTTGTATATTAAAAAAAACACTATATATTCTCTTCAGGCCTTATCAGAAATCTTTGCCCATCTCTATATAAAGCACATGAACTATAAATCAGATTATATGGTTGGTTGTGTAATGGATTCATATGAAAGCATTCTCCTTGGTTGAGGAGCTATAATCAATGAAAGGTTTTAAGATGGTCTAGTGAAGCCTGAATGCCAAGGTCAGATATATATAGGACCCTGGATTGATTGAGCACATCTACATGGAGTCTGGTGAGGGCCAGAAGAGCATTATCTCTGGTACATGTTAAAGTACAGTACATGTATATGATCTGTTGATCAGCTCATCTTTTAGTATTATTTTCTGTACCCCTGATCTCTCACCTTTTTTTGGCATTGTCTACTCTTTGTATTATGACCGTGTTCTTTTATCTTTGTCATGTAAAGTATTGTCTTGTCCCTTTCTCGTCTCTCTTGGCATCTCCCTCCCCCCCCCCCTATTTTTGTAGTTCTTTTTGTAGTTACGGACTTGTTAATTTAATTACTTATTATTCCTAAGTTTCATTTGAGGTGTTCACACTTGTACAAGCATTGCTTTTTAGTGGACCCCTCTGTTTCCAACCTGTTTTCCTACATTTGTTTTAAATGCCTATAATTGACTTGTAATGTTTTGTTGGAAACATAAATAAATTGCAATTGAAATTGAGAGCTGAGAGAGCGCTGCATTGAAGTTTATTAAAAATCTGTGGAGAGCGATAAGAGCCTCATCGATGAGTAGAGTATATTGTGTGTTGAAAGCCTGAAAGATATTAACTCATACTCATGACAGAGTTAATGTCCTTCTGGCTCTGAGAAGCCAATATTGTCTGGGGGCTGTTTCACAAAGATTCTAAGTCAAACTTAACTCTAAGTTGGACTTAAATATTATGGAGAGCCATTTGTAGCCTTATAATGAAATACATTCAAAAGCAAAATTCAAGTATTTTAGACTTTTCATTAATTCCCCTTTAAGAACATGAATTCTCCCAAGATACTAGAAAATATGAATCAATTGACTTAACATTTAATGCCTTTAAAAAAAAAATTACAAAACATTTTCAAAGACGTTATCGGCTTTCCATAATTTTTAAGTCCAACATAGAGATAAGTTCAACTTAGGATCTTTGTGAAACACCCCCCTGGTTAGAGCAAGAAGGATATTACCTTTGTGATGAAGTACATTGTCTTTTAAGACCCAGAAAGGTGCTTAGAAGTTTCTAAGATGTTAAAGCCCTTTGAGGAACAAAAGGGCATTATGGCACCTGTTATCAAATATTTCATGTAACAAATAAATATTTCCCCCTATTGCCTGTTGAAAACTAGACAAGCATATTCTCTGTAAGTGCATATACCAGGGGAGAACGGCCGGCCATAGTTAAGTCCAGCTTAAAGTCAATCTTAGTCTTTGTGAAACACCACCCTGCTCAGAGCAAGAAGATCTCAGTATCAGCTTTAGAACATATTCTTAATGAAATTACTATTTTTTTAAAAATTCTATTTCATATTGATGTTTGTATTTGTAGGAGAATGCTGGTCTGATCAACCTTGAATGGATATTTGAGATGATATCTGATGAGATTGAGAGAGCACCTAAGTACATCTATCTGGTAGACATCGTTCCTAACCTCAGGTTTCTCCTCCGATGTGGAGCCCTCACAGCTGATCCAGAGTATGAACTCAAGAAATTCACGCAGAAGGTATTCCTTGACGTTACCAGTTCTTCCCCTTTTCCCCTTTATTTTCTTCCATGATATCTTTTTCTGTTATTTGTATTCTTTCATATCTGCCCCCTATTGCTTCTTCTTTGTTTTTGTTGTTGTTCTTCTTGTTCTTGTTCTTAGTGTTGTTGTTATATTATTGTTAGCATCATCAATCACCATCACCATCACAATCATCATCATCATCACAATCATCTGTAACTTCATCATTGTTCTTATTATCATAATCCATCATTCACTAGCATTTCATAATTTCTTTTGCTCCATAATTGGAATTATCAAGGTATCATCTCCTAGTTTGGAGGTTGATTGCAGCCCATTTTTGTTTTCTGTTTGCCAACCGAGTACACCTTTGCAGTAATAATTCCACTCCATGTCTCAATGGTCCCCTCCCAATTCTTGGTTTCCCTCTAGGCCCTAGAAGATAATAATTTTAAAAAAAAATACATTAAAAGCAAAGGTGAAGTTTACATGAATAAAATAGCTGTGTATAAAGATGTAGCGAGGATAGATGGAGGGAGGGAGGGAATGAGAGAGAAGGAGAGAGAGCAATGGAATGCACATTAAATATACATGTCATGTCTGTGTATACTTTGGATTTCATAGAGGATAATAGAGAGATGGCCCAATGAAATCCACATGTCAATTAACATTCCTATCTCCGCACCTCACGCCACATGTTATCTCATGCCTTGCATGCTATGCATCATGTGAAAAAAAAAACATATATATATGTCAACGCAGTCATCCTTGCCATCATGCAAAAAAAAAAGGGGGAAGACAAAAACATAGTTTGTTTGGAGCCAGAAGGGTGTTAACCTGTATACTTTAACACAGGTTTAATACCTTCTGGCTCTGAACAGATTCTACTTGTAAGTCATGGCATGCCATTCATTCTAAGTATCATGGGGTAAAACAACATGTCAACACAGTCGTGCTCGAAATCATGCAAAAAGAAAATACACAAGGCATTGCATTCATGCACTGCACACATCATACAGGGAAGAGAAGAAAAGGAAGAAGAAGAAGAGAAGAGGAGGATAGGAGGAGGAGAAGAGATGTAGAAGAGGGGGAAGAAGGAGGAGGAGAGAGAGAGAGCGGGTGGGGGGAGAAGAAGAAGAAGAAAAAAGGAGGAGGGGGAGGAATATTGCAGTGACCCGCCTCATCATAATCAGCTTAATTGCATCATGCAAATAAAAGAGACACATACTGCAGTCATACATTGCATGAAAAACTAGGCGAAAATCGCTGCAGTCCTCCACATCATGCACAAGATAGCATGCTTGATATTGCTATCCTGCCATGCTTAATATCAACAACATAGAAATCTCTCTGCTCCCTGCCATAAGAGAAGAATAATATTATGTACATGTATGCATGGCCTGTCTCATACCTTCATCTATGTGTGTCCAATGCCAACAAATGTGGAATGCACAATCCTCTGCTTGATGTCAAATATGTGGTATATTTTGCCTGTCATGCTTTCCAACTCATGCTTTAAACAGATCTGGAATGCATGCTTATTTTAAAGTATAGTGAGTTACCCTGAGATTTTAAAGGTTCATTAAATATTTAAAAACTTGGAATACATAGTGTATAGTCAAAGATCGTGGGGCACCCTGAGATTTTAAAGGTTGGTTAGTTTTATGTGACTCCTAAGAAAGCCTATATGTTTGTAAGTAAAGCGAACAGGGGACCGACTGCTTTAAGTCCCGTCTAAGGGACTTGGTAATGAGGACTACTACCTAAAACCAAGTGCATCAACTGTAAAAAATGGGGTGAAAAGATCAGAAATTGCAAAGTGGTTCAATAAACGTTTATATATTCAAGAATTAGTGGTTGATGTTTGATGCAGACCCTTTTTCCCCATCATTAATGATCCGTGAACAAAGAAAAACATTTGTTGTCAAAGGGGGGGGGGGGGGTGAAAAAGTATGCATCTTGCTTGTCTAAGGGGGGGGGGGGTGTGAGGGCATATTGGCAAACTTTATTTTAAACAATGTAGTATTGCATTTGACTCTTACATGGAGGGAAGAACAAAAACATACATTTACTTGCGATTTTGTTTTCTGCAGTTGTATATCATTTAGGATATTTGTGATTGATTTTGTATGATATACAACCTTCAATTCTTTTGGGAATCCACAATCAATTCCAGTGTCAACGAGACAAGATGACAAATCAAAATAGATTTATGAATCATTTATCATCCTTTCTACTGGTTGGTATAATATCAAGTGATATTAATATATTGCTACAATTTCAATCTCTCTCTCTCTCTCTCTCCTACTCTCCCTTTTTATCTATCTTTATCTCCATCTACTTATTTGAGTTTCCATGTATATTTTAGTGTACTAGTCAGATTCCCCCCCCCCCTCCCCCTCATTTTGAGCTCCCTATGGTTGTGACACTTGTTGGTCTTTTCATCCCTATGACTCTTAACCTACAATACAATTTGTTTTGACAATAGTCTCTGATTCTCTATGTGACTTTAATAATATAATGTACTGTACGTGTAAGAACAGTATTAGACAGATTAAGGCCATATTACAAAAAATATACATTTTTAGCATCCCCGCCCGCTTCCTTTTTGGGGGCCGCCTCTTTTTTTTTTAATAACTTTTTTTTTTATTTTTTTAAACACATTGAAAAACACTGCTAAAATGGATCTTCTGATTGGAAAAAAAATTTAAAAAATGTTGGTGGCCATCTTCAAAAATAGCCCGACTGTCGGGTAAAATGTACCGAGCGGTCATTTTGAGTGGCCATTTTGAAAGAAAAAAAAAAGGGGGCCTCTTTTTATTTGGCTCAATGCAATCATTCCATTCTGTATTTCTTCACTCTCTGCAGTACCCGTCATACTTTGCACTGAACCTAGCCATCCATGAGAACAAGATCCTTGAAGACGCAAAGGCACACGGGGCTAAACACCCGGATAAGATGAAAGAAGGAGGGCAGAGTGATGAAGCTGATTCATCTAGACTAGCAGTAAGTAGATCACAGAGAGAGAAGGAGGAGGTAGAAAGGGATGAGGGAGGGAAGGAGAGATAGAGATGGAGAGCAGAACAGAGCAGAGAGAGTGAGAGAGAAGTTAAGGCACACAGGGCTAAACACCCTGATAAGATGAAAGAAGGAGGGCAGAGTGATGAAGCTGATTCATCTAGACTAGCAGTAAGTAGATCACAGAGAGAGAAGGAGGAGGTAGAAAGGGATGAGGGAGGGAAGGAGAGATAGAGATGGAGAGCAGAACAGAGCAGAGAGAGTGAGAGAGAAGTTAAGGCACACAGGGCTAAACACCCTGATAAGATGAAAGAAGGAGGGCAGAGTGATGAAGCTGATTCATCTAGACTAGCAGTAAAGTAGATGAGAAAGAGAGAGAGAGGGAGGGAGGAGGAAGTAGAAAGGGGGGGGGGGGAGGAGGGAAGGAGGGAGAAAGAGATAGAGAGGGAGAGAGAAGTTAAGACATATGAGCTTAACTTGCTGTTAAGACTCGTAGCCAAGTGGTTTAAACACTTGACTTGAAATCAAAGGTTGTGGGTTCGATCCCTGACATGGCACTAATATCCTTGGGCAAGACATTAATCTACATTTACCACTCCATACCCAGGGGAGAAATGGGGACCTGGTAGGATGACCAAAGCATTTGTATTGCCATATGCCCTCACTGTGACGATATGGTATGAATTCACCCCAGGGAGTGGAGATGGTACACATTGTGCGTGAATGAATCCGATGAACGGAGTAAATCTGTAAAGCGCTATTTAAACCCAAATTTTTATTATCAAAACCATTTTTCTTCCGTTTCTCCTACATCCTTCAGAGAAGAAACGTCTTGTACCAGAACAGTGTCAAGGCATGGCTAGGGTATTTCCGTAACGATCACCGGCTGGTTACCGTTGATGTGTCATGCGGTGTGAGTGATCTCATCTGGCATCGAGTCTGTGATTTCTTTGGTCATGATCTAGAATGCCTGCCCAGGAAGACGGTCAATACTGTCGTGCTATTTGCTTTCAGTGAGTATATCATTCTGTTTGCATGGCATCATAAACAAAATAACAAATCATAAATACAGATACTTAAAGAGAAGGTTGAGTTCTGGGAAGAGGTGAAAAATAATTTGTGAGCATTATCATTCTTATTATGCAAGTGTGGAAGAACATCAGATAAGACATGTTCCCTGAAAAGCATGGCTCTTTAAGGGGAGCCTTCCAAAGTTGCGACTGTGCCCGGACGCGTCGGGGCGCGATGAATAGAACAGTCGCGTCTCAAGAGACGCATTGAGGCGCAAAGGGGCGCGAAGGGGCGCAATAGTCACCCTCATCTGATTCTTGCATATGAAAAGAAACTGTCTATTGTTGGTATAAACCCGCTCTATTCTTCTTGCGCCCTTTTGCGCCCTACCAGGCGATGGAAGATTATCTTTCGCGTCATTGTTCTCGCTCGGGATGCGCGGTACAGCTTAAACTTGATATATAGCAAGTATTTGTCGGCCAAAGCCTGTCTTCCCCTCCTCCGGTTCTCGTTCTGATAAGTGATAAACATTCCATTGTTTGTAAAAACTTGATGTATTCTTCTCGCGTCGCGATCTATTCTTCTCGCGCCGTTTTGCGTCGTAACGGGCGGGGTATTATCTTCTCCCTAGTTAAGTCAAACCTCAATTTAGGCCTATCCATAAAAGGTAGCTTCCTGTACCGTTTGCTTTTTTTTTTTTTTACCTGACTGCTACATGAAGCATATGCTCTGAATTAGGCAAACAGGGGACCGGCGGCTTTAAGACCTCTCCGAACGAAATGTAATGTTGAGTTATGCCTTACCAAAGGGCACTAGCATATCGACTTGGTTTCTAACCAGGGAGCTCCCGGTTACGAGCTGCTCTGCTCTACCACTGGGCTCAAGCGCCTCCCTCCTTTTAAAAAGATCTTTTAAAATTTGCGTGTTTTTTGGGTTTTTTTTTTTGTTTTGTTTTTTTGGATTAAGAATCAAAACATGTTTGGTATGTTTTTGTATCTGTGCAGTATGATTTCAAAATTTCACTTTCGCCACTTAATTATACAAATCTACGAATAAATGATTCGAATGTTAGAGCAGAACTCGATGTTTGTATTTGTGTCCCTGCCCGTTTTGCGATCATTTAGTACATATAGCGCAAAGTAGAAGTCGAATGATAAATTATCACCATGAACTGCTTAATGTTTTGTATGGCATTTCCATTTGCTGCTCAACTTTATCGCCATCAAGCTACGCTTTTTGTTTACATCTTCATGACACACATGTTTTATAATCTCGATATAGTTCCTAGACTCTTTTTTCTATTCATTCCACTTTTAAAAAGAGCTATGGAATTATTATGATTTAAAACGCATTATGGACGGGCAATTTTCGAAGGCAAATCTCTGGCGTGATATCCTGCCACAGCATTTTATGTTTTTTCCTTTAGAGCGAACTTTTCTTTTGTATTCGCTCCATACAGAACTCTACTTTATCAAACAGCGAGGTGAAATGAAAAGAGCGTCATCTTGAGTAGATCTTTTGTTTGATGTTATCCTCCTTATCCCTAATAAGCAAACCTTCAATTTATTAGAACCAAGTCAAGGGAGGAGAAGAAGAAAAAAGAGGATTTTACTGACAAAATATATATTCTTCCAAGCTCAGGCTCTGACAACGCGTAGCGTGAATATAATGACGGGAGAGAAAGATAATTCCTTTGTCCATTATTAGGACGCTAGAATAATATCGCGATGTGGGAATTATACAAATATGTTGATAATCATTCAAATTACAAACATGACAAGCGTCCTAAACAGTAATCGATTTGCCGACTATAACCGCATACATGTATTCATTCACATCATTCGCCTTTTATTTTTTTGTTGTTGGGGACAATCAAGCTCGCAATTAAACAGCCATTAATCGTACATAGTCATCTTTATTTCACATTTCATACAGTCGTCACAAAAATTAAAAGGAGGCGTATTAAACCCAACAAAAATAAAATGTGTGTTGATTGCCCCCCGAAACAAAGACGCTCCCACCAGACAAGTTCATGCTGTGATGTAGCAATGTACATCGCAAAGCTTCCACAATGAATACAAAAGAAAAGTTCGAATGCTGTGGCAGGATTTCACGCGGCCGAGCAAGGCTATTGTTTGATCGCTATAATTGTCCGACTTGCTATAGATTCTTGTTTAGGTACACTATTAAGGCTGCGTATTATGTGTGTGTGTGTGTGAGGGAGGGGGGCGGCGAAGTGAACGGCCGGACGTAAATGGCAGAGGCCCATCAGGAGGGCTCCGCTCGCTAGTTATAAGGACCGCTATTCATTGGACAACTATTCATGAAGACCGCTATTTGTAATTTTAGAACATGGTCATTATGCATAAGGGTCATGAATTCGTAATACGATATCCCCCTCCCCAAAACTAAATAAATAAATAGAAAACTAATGATGCAATAACAAATAATGCCCGGTAATAGGTGATAGCCGCCTATGAGCGGAACAATGGGCGCACCAACTATTAGCTGCTCAAAGAGCTGTCTTTTGTCATTGCGTTGCAATAACAATGTCCTTGTAAAAGTTACATGTACTATAATATCCGTATGCTATATAACACCCGATGTGAACATGACGTGTTCAGGCCTTATAACTAAATACAGTGCACCAATGCAGTGCACGTTAAAACAAGAGACTTTACTAGCGCTAGCTAACAAATATGAAACGTCAAAACCTCACGAGCAATTGATGACAACAAATTGTTACGTCAAATGCCACCACCAATACAGTTTCTTCGCGAAGAAATATTCAATCAAATTTCATGTTTGGAACATTTATATAGGCGATTTCGAATGGTTCGAGGTGAAAATAACGAATATCGTGTCCGATAAACACTCCTTCTTTCTTCAAGGTCCCATACGATTCAAACATAATTTACAATGTTTATTTGCAAATAATAATCTCTCTGGGAGTATATCGATTTCCCCGATAATGCAGATATTCGTTTTTTTTTCGTAAAATTAGTTTTATAATTTTGCAGGGAGACAGTGTTCCTTATGATTCGAGCAGAATTTTGGTGAGTGCATTTCGAAAAAGAGCGTCTTTCATCTATACCGAAACGTTTTGATAATGCAGGCTCCCTACAATACGATTATCATTTCTGTAATATCTTTAATTGCAGATGTTTGTTCGTTTCGTATGACATATTTATAAACGCCCTATAATCTTATTTCAAGCAGAATCTTACAATGTCTTTGATTATAAGTATCATTTTGAAATCACGGTGTTAAAATACAATAGCTGATTTTGCGAAGATTTAGAGAACCTACGTTTCTATTCTTTAAAGCGATCTTGCATGAGAATGAACAGATTGATGATATAGATATATGACCTATTTTGATCGGATGACAGAACAAAATAATGCAATATGAAACAATAATGTGCCAAAACGTACAGAAAGAATACAATTATACATATCGTTTCTGTTTTGTTCGTGAACAAATTAATATAATTGAAGTATTGAACACATTGATGAACAGAAATGAACAATCATGCCAACGTCAATGCCTAAAACACTTCGATGTTGGGAGGGAAATTTACAATCAGAATAAGAATCTAAATCAATGTCATGTACGTAAAATAATAATGAAACAAATCAGTAGCCAAAGTGAAAATTTTAGAGTCAAATCTTTCAAGACGAGAGCGGACACACACGCGGGGATTACATGAATAACTAATGCGTTGGAACGGGCGCGAAAGCTTTCAAAGTTAAGCTCCCATTCACAAATTCACAATTCACAAAGAGCGCTTCGCCGTTAAGCGCACCGCCCCCCCCTACTGAGTGTTATGTAGGGTACGCATATGGGCATTTCCACGGTAATAGGGTACTTCTGTGTGTGAAAGAATAAAGCGCTTACAGAAAAATTAAATAAATATCCTGTGGCTTTCTGTGTTTTTATTTTCATTGTTGATGGTATAAAGAAATAAAAAAGACAATTCCATGCACTAATAATGTCATTTGGTTGTGTTGTCCTCTTTTCTTTAATGATTATTATTAAAAATTCCAAAGTACAATCAGTAAATGTTGAGTGGTGTGATTTTGAGGGTGATGCAAATAAAAATTCTAAAAAGAAATTGATGTTTCATGTTTTGAAAAGAGATTTTGATGCGGGTGGATTACGGCATTGATCATAGTTACGGCGATTGAGCTTTAAAGAGGGAGAGTGAGAGAGTTGAAAATTACATTGGCTGAATGAGAGATTCTGTCCACCTGTGTTACGTACGTTCAGAGTGAATTTTCCCACAATTATTAGTTGTGTCACCCAACAGTTTTATGTGCTTTGCAACTCTTTTGATGAAGGTTGAAATGTAGACCAAGAAAAAAATCGTCAAAATAAACGCAAATAGAGATAAAATCTATTCAAAATTTGGAGTGCAATATTCGGTCCAACTCACGAACGTACGTAACAACTAAAAAACCGGACCGTGGCGTCCGCGAATATGACGCATGGATAATCCACGTATCAGTCAAGTGAACCAAGGCACTGCAACGTTTGATTGTACTTGCAATCCATGCGCTGACTTCTACAATCGCGGGGCCGTGTACAGCTCTATAACTTCTGTCCAGTTTGTGCGTACGTTCACGGTTGCTGGTAGTTAGAACGACACGTACGCACGTATGACAGAACATGTTTTCTGTCCTATTTACGTACGTGTCGGACGTGAGCAGCAGACGACATCCGATCGTAATTAGATTAGGCTTTGAAAATCGTGGAATGGTACGTATTTGTTATTCAAAATCTTTTTGAAATACAGTAAAAGATCATAATATGTTTCCGAAAATGAGTCATGTGTAACTTTAGTGGTGTACGATTATATTTTCCTCTTCTGGTCTGCTAGTGCTAAATTTTAACGTGTAGTGATATTATTACATTACAGTCCCATATGTAGCTTTTCATGTATGCAACACTGGTAACTCTCGCCGATCTCGCATTTTCAATAGGTGCAACCGCAACCCAATTTAGCTCACGCAAAAAAAGCAACTGCAGTTGCCTAAATCAGGAAAAACAAAAAAACAAATTTATACTTACCAACAGCTTGCTTGATTAATTAATGTTGGTTATCTTCAATAAATTGTGTTTTCTTCAAAAGGTCGCATTAAAAAAAAAAATTATTTTACTTTTCAATGGATGACATTTTATACACAAGAATTATTTCATTATTGAGCCTACACTAAATTATACAAAATATTGCATCTACATTACCTGAGTCATATCATTGCATTGATATTTTACAATCCTTCTGTTAATCATTTAATGCCTTCATGTTTCAAAACCAGGAAATATCTATCTGTTTGGAGTGAAAATGTGCATGATTACTATTAACGTGAGAAAATCTTAACAAGTCAAAAAAGAAAAAAAAATACAAATACATTTAAATTTGAATTAGCACAATGGATTTTAAACTCATGATTTTTTTCATCTTTAATTCTTTTGATTTCAGGTGAAAGATGTTGTGGGAGAAGATCTTGTCATCAAGTACATGGCCGAGTCGGAGTCTCATCCGGGGCTATTTATATGGCCAGCACGTGAGGATGTGTCTCGGGAATGTAGAAAACAGATAGTGAAGAAAATGCCTAACCCTGTCCTTCGGGAAGACATCAGCAGCACTAGATTACAATTTTTCACCTTTGCAGAACTCTCCCCAGAATCATGACTTGTTCCATACAATTTATGAATGTCTTATTACTCATAGATTGGTTAATAATGAATCGAGTCATTCCAACTTCTTCAGAGAACTTGTGTAAAGTCCAGCACACCCGATATCGTCCCAAACCATCGGTTTTAAAATCCTTACAATATTCTCTGACTCTCGTGTAAGAGGAAAACCTAGAACTGCGTGTATTGATGTTAAAAAGGAGACATGATTAAATGGCTGGATCGTGCTAATTTATTGTTCTCACGTTGTACTTCAGTAAGGTTTTAATCACCTCAATAGACTTGTGTGTTATGAAAACAAATAAAATTCATGGAAAATTGGCACAAAGACACAATTATTTACTGAAAATATTTAATGAATGCTCAATTGAATTGATGCATTATAATATGCAAAATAACCCATTGAGTATGCAGTGTCAAATCTTTTTTGAATTTCAGATCTGAATTACATCAAAATGATTGTTATAAATACATGTATTTGATTTGAACTTACTTGAAATGAATGATCATAATTTTGAGCAAAAATAGAATTAAATAGAGCATTTATGAAAAATTAAGAAATATAAAAGGTAAATATCATACACATTGTAGTTAGCAGATAAAAGAACTCTAGAATAAAAGCATACAAATCCTGTATAGACAATTTGTAATTAACGACATGATGTTTGTGAAATATCAATGAATAGTGTTTGCCTTTTATTCTATATTGTGTCAACTACTTTCCCAGTCTTGATGGGAATTGATTACAAGCTAATGCTTACATGTAGTGAAATGCATGCTCAATATTATTGTTTAACAGTCTGTTATTATTTGCAGTTGGTCAAAAGATTAATGAGAGGTGAGATAAGATTTCAAAACTATCAATTAATCTATTTTACAGATTTACAAACCGTATATCAGTTGGCAAATTCATTGATTTCATTATACTTAATAATTAAAGACCATTCACATTTCACTTATTCTCCATAAATCTGCAGCTTTTGAAGTTCTGATACGGAACACATGTAACATTGGCCAGGCAGTGATTTGAAACAAAATGAATTTACAATGACCTAAACACAAAACAATTTAAAATGATCAATACAATGAAACATTTTAACCTATGCAACGCTTATGAATATATTGATTATGAAATATGTGTCCCAAAACAGAATTCAAACAAACGTTTAGATGCCTGTTCTGTCCAACCGTTACATACGTTCCCTATTCTTATTAATTGGTTCCAACATGCATCAACAATTATAACTTCTAGATTTTATTTTATCCTGGAATATATGAACATAGCATCAACATCCAGTACACAGTGACACCAAATTAATAGAGTACGCACCATTAAAACATGTGTGAAAGATTTATTCATTCAATAATACATGATACATTGCAAACATTCCTTAAATATTTGTTTTTCTGATTCACAAAAAAAGCTATAAAAAAAAATTAAAAAAAGAAGCAAAATCTGAGATGATTGTTAAATTGATGTTTTATTGATACTTAACTCACATGAATGAACATTGCATTTATATATTGAGCAAATAATAAATCAGAGGTAATTTAAGTTACAAATTTCTGTCCAATGTTACATACGTTCCCCCCAATACATGTCCTACTTTACGACCTCTGCAAAGTTAACATGAAATCACACTTATCTTTTCCCTCATAAAAATATAGAATATAGATATTGGACAAGCAAAGGGAGAAATTTGATTGCTCTAGGGGTGAAAACAATTTTGACCATATTTACATCACAGAAGTACCCACTTAACATGGAAATGCCCATATGCATGTTCCCTCCTTTTGAAAACAGCCCCCTAAGTCCGGTGTGTAAAGTCAATACGGGCCGGACTTTTGTGTACTAGACGAGCCGGACTTTGGTGCGTGAAAAGTACCCCTTTATAACAATAAGTCTCCAAACAATAGCCAGATTTGAAATTCATATTGTGAGCATGTGCTTAAATAGTTATATCGGGATTTCCTGGTTATATTGAAGACGGGGGCTAATATTGTGTACATGTGTGCCAAGTATTTCTCCCTGATTGTTCGACCAACATTAAATTACTATTGTCCAGCTGACTTTTCTTTAGGCTTTTCTACCCTCGGCGCTGAAGGGCAGTGGCGGATCCATGGGGGGGGGGGGGGGTATTTTTTTTCTGGGGTTTGCCCCCCCCCCCCCTCTGGCGCTCAAGGGGGGGGGGGGGGGGGGTGCAAATTTTAAAATTTTCGAGGGCCAACAAAAAAAATGTGCTCACTACCCCCCCCCCCCCCCCCCCCCCCCCCACTGAGCGACTTTTCGGCCGGCGCGATTTTCACATTTTCAAGAGCAAAAAAAAAAATTGGGCGCCCTCCCCTAAGAAATCCTGGATCCGCGCCTGCTAAAGGGATTGCGGAAAATTTAAACACTATTTGTGTTTCGTGATGACCCAGTAGAAGAAGAATAAGGGCTAGCCCCCCCCCCCCCCCACCCCCTAAAGAAAAAATGGCCCAAAACAACGCAATCATTATAAATTCCGTCTACTACTTGATACCAACACGCGCATGATGGATCATTATTTAGACAGCTAGTGAGACAGTTCTGTTACGAGAAGCAATTGAACGAATTGCCATGGCTTGTATTATTTGTTTTAGAACGCACTACGCTCTTTCGATACCACGTGGCCCCAATTAAGCACAATATATACGTATTTCAGTTCTTCTCAACAATGACCTAGATCTAAAACTGGCCGCGGCTGTAACCCCCCCCCCCCCCCCCTTCTTCGTAAAGAAATATTCGTTAAAATTCTTTGGAACAGAATGATAAACTAATTTCTTCTTGAGATATGTTCGAGGTGAAATTTCAAACATTATTTCCTGGTAACGCTCTTCTTTTTGTATGCATGTTCTATTCTTACGATTTAGGCATAATTTACTATGTTGATTTGCAATTGATAATCTCCCTGGGAGTTTTGCGATATCCCCGATGATACGGGTACAGTGTATTTAATTTTGTTCGTAACATTAGTGTTTTGCAAAGAAAGAACATTCTGAAAATGAGCGTCTTCCTTCTAACGAAACATATTGATGATGTTCCCGACAATACGGATATCATAATGCATAAACAAAAATCGTAATACAGATAAAACGCTTTTTAAATCAAATTCAAGGAGAAACTACGACATTCTTGATTAAGTATCATTTTCAACATCACGGATTTTAAAATACGTTCTCTAATTTTAAGAAGATTCAAAGGATCTATGTATTGAAATAATAGACTGATGATATAATTATATGATTTATAATGATCATACGACAGAACTGTTTACAAGATGCAACAAAAATTGTTTTAAAAAAAACAAGAAAATCGAAACATGCGATAACATCGCTATAAGGAAATATAAAATTACAATTAAAGTGTCAAAACATGCACGAGGAAAACAATGTCAGAGAGAGTGGGGTTAGTATAAAAATAAATTTGTTTTTTTCGTGAACAAATCAATTTGTATTAAAATTGATACAGTATATTGAACACAATCATGAACAGAACAGGAGGAGATGAAAAAATGAACAATCATGCCAACGTTAACGCCTAAAGAACTCCGATTTCGAGAGGAAAATAAACAATCAGAACAAACATTGTAACCAATGTCATGTACGTAAAATAATATTAAAACAAATCAGTAGCCAAAGTAATGCTTTTCAGAGTCAAATCTCGCAAGACGAGAGCGACACACAAGCAGGCACTATACATGAATAACTAATGCGCCGGACCGGGCGCGAAAGGGCGCGAAAGCTATTCAAAGTTTAAGCTCCCAAAGTTCCATTCACAAGTGTCAAGTGCTTCACCGGGGCGCGCCCCGGCGGGGTAATTTCGTAACAATGAGACTCCAAACAATAGCCAGATTTTAATGAGCTGGGAACCATCTGAAGTCCTCTCGTATCCGACGCAAAAAGGCGCAAATGGGCGCAATAAGGCGCCTCCTTTGTTCTCATATCCTGCTCTGCGCCCCGACGCGTCGCGGCACAGTCGCAACTTTGGAAGGCTCCCCTAAATGCCTTCATATTCTAAATATGTCATGTTACATCGTAAAACTCGGGGGTAGAATTCTTACGCCACATGTTCGTGTAGTCCCATATACATCTTTCTGTGAACAGTGTTTGTAACTTTACCAAGACTTGGCCAAATTTCTTATAATTTTGATGATTCCAGAACCTTGCAATACACACAAATTCGTATATGCTAGATGATCAACCTTTTCTGTTCGATTCCACACCGTTTCTCTCACAATGCAATCGCATGACCAGAACTCAACTTCATCTTTAAGAGGCCAGGGGCGTGTTTCACAAAGACTAAGATCAACTTTAGGTTGGACTTAACTATGGCAGGCCACTGAGGAACGTCAGAAATCTACAGAACTTACAGATTTTTTCGGATAGTTCATTGTTGAAGAAAAAAAGTTACTTACATTGTAAACTTAAGTTATATCTAAGAATTGGATTCATACTAGGGTAGGGGATTTATGCCCTTCAAAAGTCTTGAACCAAATTTGAGGAAAAACACCTTAAAATTATGATCTTTAAGGCGAGGCGTCAAAAATAAATATACCAGCCAGCGGCAGCTAACTGCACTTGTGCGTCCTGGCTGCAATAGCTCAGCCGGCTACCGCTGGCGGTAGGAAATGGCATTCAAAAGCATTCGCCGGCTGCCGCCTTTCGAATGGAAACCGAGCCTCAGATCCCAGCCTGGCGCAAGCCGGGTGGGCTAATAAGTGAAAAATAATTGCCCCAGCCAGGCTTCGGCTGTAATTGCAGCCTCGATGCGCCAATACGTGAGGCGGCAGCCTGCTGGTATCGATATTTTTGACGCCTCGCCTAACATTTTTTCCTTTTTGTACATCCCCTGAGAGACCAATTCCATTCTAGTATCTTCAATACTTGGTTTTTTTTCTTCAAATTTAATTGCAATGCTTTCTAATATTATTTATTGCTTTTCTTTTGTTTTGTAGATGGCTACGACTACTCGGCAATAGATATGCAGAGATACCATATGGAACTTATTCACCTTAAGGACATACTGCCAAAACCTGATATGTCGGCGGTAAGTATATCTCTCTTTTAAGAAAACAAAAGAACAAAGAGAGATACAAACAAATAAACAAACAAACTAGCAAACAGACAAATAACGAAATGAACTGTATTGCAGATGGATAGAGTATAGAATTCTTATAAAATGAAACTTTTGCAAAGCCATTGAGTTGCACAAAGCGATCCTTCCGTCAATTGGTGTCTTCTTTTTTATGCCTCCGCCACCGAAGGTGGTGCCGGAGGCATCATGTTTTCGGGTTGTCCGTCCGTACGTCCGTCCGTACGTCGTACCGTACGTCCGTCCGTCCGTACGTCCGTCCGTCCGTCCCGTTTGACCGTTATCACAATATCTCAAGAACCATTCAAGATTTAAACTTAAGACTCGGGAATAGTATTTATCACCATAGGAAGACGATCTGATTACATTTTGGAGTACGTAGGTCAAAGGTCACAGGTCACAGAGGTCAACTTATGAAATTCCTTGTATTGAGTTTGTTAGCGCGATATCTCAAGAACCATTTGAGATTTAAACTTCAAACTTAAGGATAGTATGTATCACCATAGGAAGACGATCTGATTAGATTTTGGAGCACGTATGTCAAAGGTCAAGGGTCACAGAGGTCAACTTATGAAATTCCATACATTGAGATTGTTATCATGATATCTCAAGAACCACTGGAGATTTAAACTTCAAACTTAGTGATAGTGTGTATCACTATAGGAAAACAATCTGATTACATTTTGGAGCACGTAGGTCAAAGGTCAAGGGTCATAGAGGTCAACTTATGAAATTCCATACATTGAGATTGTTATCATGATATCTCAAGAACCACTGGAGATGTAAAAACTTCAAACTTAAGGATAGTATGTATCACCATAGGAAGACGATCTGATTAGATTTTGGAGCACGTAGGTCAAAGGTCAAGGGTCACAGAGGTCAACTTATGAAATTCCATACATTGAGATTGTTATCATAATATCTCAAGAACCACTGGAGATTTAAACTTCAAACTTAATGATAGTGTGTATTACCATAGGAAGACAATCTGATTAGATTTTGGAGCACGTAGGTCAAAGGTCAAGGGTCACAGAGGTCAACTTATGAAATTCCATACATTGAGATCGTTATCGCGATATCTCAAGAACCACTGGAGAATTTTCACTTCAAACTTAATGATAGTATGTATCACCATAGGAAGACAATCTGATTAGATTTTGGAGCACGTAAGTCAAAGGTCAAGGGTCACAGAGGTCAACTTATGAAATTCCATACATTGAGATTGTTATCATGATATCTCAAGAACCACTGGAGATTTAAACTCCAAACTTGTTTAAATTGCTCTATGGCGGAGGCATCATTTTCGACTGCGCGCAGTCAAAATTCCATCTAGTTTTCTTCAAAATTGCATGTGTAGCAAATGAGGGACTGTGCCGAGAAGAAAAGAAAGCAATCAAAGTGCTCAATACTTTTATCATCCTAACCCAAAACTGCTAACCACAACTACTTTATTAGAAAAGGTTAAAACATATATTCTCCAAAAAAAAGAAGGAAACACTGATAATACCAACAGAAAAACAAAAAAATTAACTACTTGTCAATAAACTAGAGGTCCTAGTATAGGAATAACAGCATAAGAATAGACATTTCTGCATTGGAAGCGTGTCGTGCGTGGTTGTAAGTTTCGTTTTAATGAATTATTTTTTTGTGCCATCATGGCTCATTTTTTGGTTGCACAAGGTTGGCAGCTCTGCTAAACATTAATATTTAAAGGCCAACTGTACTACGTATAGCCACTTGCACCCTCTATATAACAAACAATACCTAATCGGTGATCATTGGTCCCCCATGATCCTCTTTTTCTTACATGTATTATGTTAATTGAGAGCTGATTTGATGAGATTTGATCACTTGTCCAGTGACCTTGAAGGGTGGTCTAATCTCTTCTGTACACTAGTACAGATTGCCGTTAATATTTGTATATCTATAACATTAACTGCTGACTTGATCTTGTAGGATGCAGCACTACACACTCTAAGCAAACACATCGACAAGACGGCGCCCACGGCTGAATCATTCTGCGTTGATCTGAGCAGCACAACAATCACAAAAGATATGGAGAGGCTGGATCATTCAAAGCGAGAGGTATGCCTGCCTGGCATGGTTCTAGGACATCTACCCCCTGGACATCCACCCCAGATAACTACCCTCAGTCAACTACCCCTAGGACAACTATCCAAGGGGGAAGTTGTCTGGGGGTACTTGTCCGGGGGGTAGTTGTCCCGAGGGGTAGTTGTCTTAGAGGGTGGTTGCTCTAGGGGTAGTTGTCCTTGGGGGGTAGTTGTCAGGGGGGTAGTTGTCCCGAGGGGTAGTTGTCCTAGAGGGTGGTTGCCCTAGGGGGTAGTTGTTCCAAGGGGGTAGTTGTCCTAGAGGGTGGTTGCCCTAGGGGGTAGTTGTTCCAAGGGGGTAGTTGTCCTAGAGGGTGGTTGCCCTAGGGGGTAGTTGTTCCAAGGGGGTAGTTGACTGGGGGTGGTTATCCAGGGGTAGTTGTCCTAGAGGGTAGTTGTCATAGGGGTTAGTTGTTCTAGGGGGTAGTTGACTGGGGGTGATTATCCGGGGGGTAGTTTTCCTATAGGGTAGTTGTCCTAGAGGGTAGTTGTCCTAGGGGTTAGTTGTCTTAGGGGGTAGTTGACTGGGGGTGGTTATCCGGGGGATGGATGTCCAGGGGGTAGTTGTCTGGATAAGGCCTGGCATAGCACCTGGTATTCAAAGTCAGCATGCATGCCCTGAAATTTTCATTTAATTGAACTTTGTCCAGGTTTTTGGGGGGTGTTTAGTTCTGGAATGTTGGGGGATCATGAATTGTCTCTGAAGCGTAACTTTTGCCACTTTATTCTTGGGGTGTTGGAAGTTAAAAGGACTTAGTTATTAGTTTGATAACAGAAACACAAAATCTAAAACTAGAGAGTTCCTAAACTTCTCAATCTGAAGAACTCTTGCAAGTTTGTTTGTGAGTTGTATAAGTTTGGAATGTTTTAAAATCGGACATAGCCTAAGAAATAGAAGTAGTCAAAGAATTCAGTAATGTCTTTTGATAATAACACGTTATATTTTAATATGGAAGGTTTTTAAGGTGCAAGATCAACTCAAAATCAAACACCAACATACATTTTTTTTGCAAAGGACAGTTCAAATATGGAACAGACTACTGCGGTATCTGTTGTACTCACTGCAAACCAAACTATGTACGCTCAGAGAGGCTGCACTTCCTGTTATCAGCATGATGCAGCCCCCCCCCCCCCCCCCTAGCCTGCTGGGTCCTACTAGCTATCATAGGACCCATGCATTGTTTTATTTAAACGGGCATACCCAATTTGATTGTATATATATATATATATATATGGGACCACACAAACTTGGCAAGGAGCTGCGATTGGGATTACATCAACAAGTTAAAAGTGAAAAAACATTTAATTGTGGTGGATATTTTGTTTAATGTTTCCAACATTTGAAATAGATTCAAACATGATGTACCACTAAGGAAAGCTGAATAATGAAATATCTTATTCCTCGTTTAATTCTGTCTCTTTTATTTTTCTAGTTCCGTAGAGAGATGAGGTTTATTGAATGGCACGACACATTCTTGGACAAGTAAGCATACATTTTTGTTAATTTATCTTTGTTTTTGTTTTTAATTTCCAATCTTGCATATAAATGGAGGGGAACGGCTTTGTAATTGAGTTTTTACAGAGGTGTATCAATCAGATATGATTATTTATGTCTGGGGACCTACCTTTAAGAGTAGAGAAGCGGCTAATATCTTCTTTCAATCGACCCCTTTGATACATGTTGATCATAAATTGACTGATTTTAGGTTCTTCAAATTTCCTTCTTGCCATTCTATGTCTCATTTATCTTCAGTGTTTAGAAGGAGAGAGAGAATGAGGAAATATCTCAAACCTTTTCTTGTTTAGGCGAGGCGTCAAAAATAAATATACCAGCCAGCGGCAGCTAACTGCACTTGTGCGTCCTGGCTGCATGTTTTAAATTAGCTCAGCCGGCTACCGCTGGCGGTAGGACCCTCAATTAACTCATGATGTCATCATAATGGTCTCCGAACAAAAGCATGCGCCGGCTGCCGCCTTTTGAATGGAAACCGAGCCTCAGATCCCAGCCTGGCGCAAGCCGGCTGGGCTAATAAGTGAAAAATAATTGCCCCAGCCAGGCTTCGGCCGTAATTGCAGCCTCGATGCGCCAATACGTGAGGCGGCAGCCTGCTGGTATCGATATTTTTGACGCCTCGCCTTAATGAAATGACCTTTTCATTCTCTTTTGTTTTGTGACAAGAAATTTGTGAAAAGGAGAGGGAGAGAAAGAGAGAGAAAGAGATAAAGAAAGAGAGAGAAAGAGATAAAGAAAGAGAGAGAGAGAGAGAACACAAGTGAGAGAAAAAAAGGAAGAGGGGGTGGGGAGGCAGGGAGGGGGAACAAAAGAGAAAGAGACAGGCCTGATAAAAGCCCGATTTAAATCGGGTTTCCCGATATATTTTTATTTTTCCCGATTTTTTTTTTCTTCCCGAAAAAAAAAAAAAATCCAGATTTTTTTTTTTTCTTAAATTTTTTTTACCGATTTTTTTTCTTCCCTTTCTTATCCTGATTTTCCCGATTTCCCTCTTATTTTCTCTATTTCTCCATATTTTGTCCTATTTTTTTCCCCAATTTTCTTACTCGAAAGGGGGGAATGTTGTTAGATGCCATTTTTTCCCCGCAAATCCTCCTTTTTTTTTGGTGCTCACTATCACCCCTGGAGAGAGAGGGGGAGGGTGGTAGAGAGATAGAGAGAGAGCAAGCAAGAGTAAAGGAAAGGGACTTTGACATATATATTTCTTATAATTTGTTCAGCTAGCTACATCTTCATCAGCTCTGAGAAGAAGGAGAGGGGGTGAGGAGAGAGAGAAAGAGAGAGAGAGAGAGAGAAAGAGAGAGAGAGATAAAGAAAGAAAGAGAGAGAGAGAGAGAGAGAGAACAAGGGTAGAAGAAAGGGGCTCTATCTCATTTAGTATCCTCCTTTCTTCTGCCAGGTACATCTTCATCAGCTCCGAGAAGAAGGAGAGGGGCCGCAAGTCCAGTCTCTTCATTCAGACCTTCAAGGTCATCGCCACCACGGAGAACGAGGTCTGCCTTTTCCCTCCGGAGACCGACGTTGGTCTGTGTCAGGACCTGGCCTTCTCGTTCGGGCACCATAGACACCCCTCGGCCAGATAAGGAGGGTGCAACACTACCCCCTCCACACCCCTCTCCTCCCCTCCTCCCCTCCCTCTAGGCTCAGTGCAAAAAGGTTGTAAGTTCAGCGTTGGTAGGTCTGCAAGGAGCTTGTCTTTAGCCGACAACAGTGTTATAACATTCCATTAAAACAAGTGAACGCACATTGACTGGTTTTAGGTGCCTCAAGGGCTTATTTCAACGGATCAATACCGTTTTAGAATGTTACGTTGGAAATGTTTATTTGCATTTGACACACATATGTTTGAGAAATTGTCTCTTACGCCCTTTTGGCGGTTACTGGCGTGATTGTCCACTCTGTGAGATAGGCGTCAATGGAGAAAAGAAAGAGCGCTATTTTAGTTTTGCTCGTACTTACAACCTTTTTGCACACTCTATATGAGCTTGTCTGTATATTAATTGATCTTTTGTTGTATTTTTAAACTATGTTGATTTATAATCTATATTGGATTCGATGGTCATTGTATTCAAATTTGTCTGAAATATTTGACTTGACATTGTGAAAATAAAAAATGAAATGTTGTATACATTATAATTCAAAATCAAACAGTTTGTTTGTTTACATGTATATAGATGTACTGGAGTTAAAAGCAATGTAGATTTCACAGTTTCAAAACAATTGAAAGTTATTATATATGAATATTTTGTTGGTTGCCACAAATGTGTAGCAAAAATGGCAGTTGATTTACAAAAAAAAGAGAATTTTTCATAGAAGGAATTTGTTGATGATTATTGTAAAGTGATTCACAGGCAATATTACATTGGGTTGTATTCTGAAAGTGATCTTATCTTTTATTGTCCTAAGAGTATGTTGATTGTCATATAACAACTACATTACACAGGCAATCGTTGTATGAAACATAATCCCTATAGACAGCACTTGACCCCAAGTTTTGTTCCAACTGAAGTTGTTACGACAATCAATATGCTTTTCACTAACATAAAGGCTAATATACCTTTTAGAATACAACCTATGGACTTTTGAACTCAATTAACACAGGACCAATTGACTGCAACTTGAAATACATGTACAGTATAATGATCAAAATTTTGAACCGGACCTTCGAGCTCACCGCATCCACTTTAGTATGAATTTGCATTCAACAAGAGCATTAATAAAAATAGCATATCTTATTAACCAAGGTTCTGAATAAATACATCAATACCGGTATAACAAAAATTACAAAGTTGGGGGATCACTAATTAAAACTTTTACGCCAACTAGTATCCTTAAAGTTGCTCATGCATGGGTCTATAGAGGGCAGCATACTGAGCCAACGGGTGTTAGGCTCCTGTGCGTGCTAGTGTCCCTTTATGCGTGCGTCCGTGTAGGAAAGTAAGATTCGTTGGCTCAGTGTTCGCCAAGTTGCCTACTTCACGAACGACTATATACTCATGTATGAACATCTTTTAATTGACTTGAATCTGAATTGTTAGTGTTCATATCATTATTCAGAACTACGATTAGAAAGATGCTATTTGTTTAGATTTAAAGCCTGTCTGCAAGAGTTTTGCCAGGAGGGAGTAGACCACCTAGCAAGGCCATTGACAGATGGTTATCTCATCAAATCATCTCTCAATTAACATAAGAAAAATGGGATCATGGGGGACCAACAGGTACTGCTTAGGCATTGTTAGATGGCGCAATTAGATTCAAAAGTAGTGCAGACAGGCTTTAAATGCAACTGTGATTTCTTTGAAAATCTGATCACAAAAAGATTGAATTAGACGGTGGGCTTAAGATGACTACTCAGTGTTTTGAATGAGCTTGCTTTGTACAACCATTTGATGACTAACAGGAGAAGTCAATCCTGGGCCCGGTTTCATGAAACTTATTCTCAATAACATGTTACAATAACTGTTATAAGCTACTGAAATCCTGGCATTTGATTGGCTGAGAGCAAGTTTGTCATAGAAATTTAACATTTTGTATTGAAGGCAAGTTTGATGAAACAGGGTCCTGATTTCAAGTTGATTTCAAGATGAACAGAAAATCCGAGAAACAAGGCAGCTACTGGTGTCCAAACATTTCATCCCATTTCCCCATTTCATTCTTCATTTTCGGACTACATATTGCTAAAATATTATTTTGAACAAATTGAAATATATTAGCAAATTTCCAGGCATATTTGGTTATTGAAAGTCAACTAATAGCCCTGCAGTGGAACTGTGAGAGGAATTCCCTCAGGAATTCAGCATCTCATCGATATGATATCTACAATTTATGAATCTTTTACAAAAATGGAGAGCATTGTTTGCTAAGGAGATCAGAGAGTTGCCAATTTGATCAGTGATCCTAAAAATGTATTTAATTTTTTTTTTTAATCGCTCTAAAAAAAAAAAAAAAATCACCAGATTTTCCTGTCAAAAATTTGGTCTGCCCATTTTCTCTCGTTTTCTGGTATCATCTTGATCTCAATATAGACTATCTTTGTACTGTTTTATTCTGTATATACATAGTTTGTGTGTTTTATCACTTAGTACAACACTTTATCTCTTTGGGCATTATATGCCTGTTATTACTCTGCTAACAGTTGATATATATACAGAGATGGGCTTGTAACTTTGGCATCCATGTTTTTGCATTAAAAGAAATACATATTTTGAGAAAGTATCTCAAGTGAGACGTTAATTTGATGAAAATGAGAGACTAGAATAGATGATTTGGGGATCGTATTGCTCTATGTGTCCTGCCAGTAATATGAATACTTCACATTTTAATTTGCATTTTTTTATTATTATTTTTTTTTTGATTTGTAATTATCACCTTTCATATTTCATTTTCTGATTTGAAAAGAATGTATTACCAGGTAGATATTTTGTCAGTACAGTCAAACCTGCTTTAGTGACCACCTGTTTACAAGGACCACAATTTTTGTTTCCCTTGAAAATGTGTATTTCATTAAAACATGTACTAAAGGAACCTGAACTTGTGATCAATAACAAGTTACAAGCTACTGCTATAAGCTACTAAATTCATTGCATTTGAATGGCTGACAGCAAATTTGTCATAGAAATTTAGCAGTTGTTATAGATAACAAGTTTTATGACACTGGCCCCTGTTCATAAAGACCACCTGCCTATGAAGACCACTTGTCTTGTCTCCCTTGGGTGATCTTTATAGACAGGTTTCACTGTATTTGGTTTTGACATGATATTGTAAACCCATCCAAGAGAGTAGACCTACAGTATACATGTATGTACAGTATATGTACATTCAATCTAATGAAGATATGAACATAGAGGGCGCACATCAACCTAAAATGATATGTTGGTGAGGAATGATTCCATATCTTCTTTTCATATGCATGTGCAGGAAAACTTGTCTTAGCAGCTACCTCTCTTTAAAGGCCACCTCTCTATAGTGGTCATGCATTTTGTCTCATGAGAGAGAGAAGTGTGTGGAACCTGTCTTTAAAGGCCACCTCTCTATAGCAGCCATGCATTTTGTTTCCCTCCAGAGGGAGAGAGAGAGAGAGAGAGAGAGAGAGAGATGTTGTAGCACCTGTTCACAGTGGCCACTTTTTTTTCTCTTTTCCTTGGGTGGCCTTAAAGGTACTATGTCCCATTTGCAGGCCCAAAAAGTGAAAAAGTTCAATTCCAACTGCATTTGAAAGATAATACTAATTTAGAACTTCCCTAAAAAAGGTGGGGCTTGAAAATGTCTTCAAATGGGAAAATAACGACTATTAGTTGTCAAATCGACTTTAGGGCTATAGAGCCCAAAAGTAATAGTCTTGATTTTCAGACATTGTACCGAATGGTCATACGTTTTATGCTGCGCAAAGATTCAATCAGTTTAATCTTGGCCATCACAAGAAGTGGGTTATTGATGTAGACAAATGCTCATGTACCATTTACAACTCTTTTCATGTATGTTATTACCAAAGAAGAAAAAGAGCCAGTCAGTCACTCAATAGTGTCTGACAGTGAAGTCTAGCAAGTAAACGGTTTTCCTTGCATAATTTGAATATGAGGACACTGCTAGCGTTTAAATTTCACAGATAGGACATACATGACATATTCATAATTCCTGCAAAGTTCTACAGCATTTGAGGTTGGCTGCAAAAGCGACATAGTACCTTTAATAGATAGGTTTGCCTGTATCCCAATGTTTAGGATTTGAGTGTATCACCGATAGGTTTGCTCTCACAAAATAAATTCAACTTAAAACACGTGGAAAATTCATATTTAGGTTATTTTGAAAGGTAGTAAAAAAACTTGTGGTGTCATTTGTTTTACAATTTACCAGAAAACAAGATTAGCTTAAAATATTATTTTGGGTAGTCATACTATTTTGCATGTTCATTGACTGGGTTCCATTTTACTATCGCTTGCAAGCCCTTTTTTTTATTTTGGTGCTTATCCTGGTGTTTGCTATCGTAGGTGCTAAGGTTTTACTTATTTTAAGGTGCTTGTGTAACACCGTAGAAATAATATTTTTAAAGTTCAACATTCCTGCCTTTGTTTATCTCTAAACTCATGGACCAGTCGTCTTCTAAGGCTTAGAATTTGGTAGAACACAGACTCTGGCTTTTAACAAACAAACTTAAATGAAAGTGCTGAACAATAGATTATTGTATACCGGTAGTAGAGGATGAAATGAAATGCAATGTAATTGCTAGAGATACTTCAAGACTGTAACCTATTTTTTACTTGCAATATCGACAAAAAGTTTATCATTTGTCCCATTTATAGATAAATTTGTAAATCTGATCTTTTCAATGGTGTTTTTTTCCCTACCTTAGTTTTGATGGGGTAGTATCGTTTTCATGCAGTGCTCATCGTTTCAAGACTATAATGGGTTTTTTTCAGTTCCGTGCAATGGTCATCATTTCATATGATTTAAGTGCAAACGGCTGTATTGCAAGACTATCTTTGGGTTTTTTTCAGTTCCGTGCAATGGTCATCATTTCATATGATTTAAGTGCAAACGGCTGTATTGCAAGACTATCTTTGGGTTTTTTTCAGTTCCGTGCAATGGTCATCATTTCATATTATTTATGTGCAAACGGCTGTATTACAAGACTATCTTTGGTTTTTTTTTTCAGTTCCGTGCAACGGTCATAATTTCATATTATTTATGTGCAAACGGCTGTATTACAAGACTAATGGGCACCTTGATTAAATGCTTGGCGCATACACCTGTAGAATTACGTAAATGTATATAACCAAGTGTATATTTCTATTTTTTTTGCTAAATGATTGTTTTAAAAAAACGAGGCTGGAATGATTTTTTTTTTTTTACATGTTCTGTCAAACTGAATATCATTGTAATATTAGTATCTGAATTATTTCATATTTTGAAGTATATTTATGATATAAGTGTGGCTTTTAAATGCAGTAGTTGATTGTATGTTTGAGTGTGCCTATGTCTCCTGTTAATTGCAATCAACATGGCTCAGATCTGACATGGAAATCTGCTTAATTTTTTTTTTTTAATCGATGCAGCAAAATTAAAAAATTATTGTCTGTTTCGTGTGAATATACAATGGAAAGTTGGGATAAAAACAAGGAAAGCCAGGTGCAACAGTGGTCTTCAGCATAATGCACTGCCTTACAAGGCTTTCCTAACAATCTTCAGAACTCTTTGGGTCCATATTCTCTGTGTAAATTGCAATAGAATCGGGAGGCGTCATGGCTCAGTAGTAGAGCAGTGGTGTCATAACATGAAAATCCCAGATTCAATACCGAGTCAATGAGATACCTAGTGCCCTTTGGGAAGGCATTAATCCTTATTACCAAGTCCCTCGAAGAGCACTTAAAGCCGTTAGTCCCCTGGTTGCTCACTTACAAGCATGCGCATGACATGCCTTTTTGGCAGTCAGGTTAAACAAACAAAAAATTAAGTCTAAATATCCTAATTGAATCGGGCCACTTATTTTAATGTATTTGACATGAATTTCTGTGGATGCGTTCAAATGTTGCATGTGTATCCTAAGATCTGTGTGAATTGATATGCAGAAATGAATTAGAAAACAGACTTTTACCTCACAGTAGAACCTTTCAAGTGTGAATGCAGCCACTTTTTATTACTGCAAAGTGCTTGACTTTCTGCGAGTGTGTTCCAATGTTGCATATAATAATGGAATCGTAGAAACCACTTAAATGCAGGAAGAGAAAAGAGACGGAAGCCCTTTTCTCTGCACCTTATTTGCAGAGATTCATGTATGTATACATGTATCTTCAAATGTGAACTAGGCTACCAATATCAGTGTACAGGACTTGACTTTGTGTGGTTGCATTCACATGTTGCGCTTACTTTCAGACTCAGCGATAGCAAGTTTCTGAAAATATATTATGCAAAACTTCTCTAGTAGAGCCAGAGAGTATATAGTTTATCATGTTCTAGCTAAGCTGGCTTTCAAAAGTAGTTTTATATATTTTACTGATATATCCTCTCATTTATAGGACTATTCAGTGTAATGATTTTACATCAGAAATGCTTCTGTTGTAATAAGTTTTAAGACAATTGTTTTATATAGTTGCAAGATTACTTGCATGTTCTAAAAACATGTTAACTTGAAAGTGTGAATGTACCCACTCATCTTATTGTGGGCCTTTTCTACTAAGCAAAACTTGATTCTACTGTCCCAATTATTGTTTTGAAAGGTAAAACTTTTTTTGTGTAAGAATTTTTTTTTAAATTCTGTCTATTTTGTTCCTTTCTCCACAATATAAAATGGTTCCTCGTTAAGACTTATAAATAATGATAAAATCATTTCATGATGTTAATCTTTGGGACCATCTTTCCCCGTTTTAATGAAGAAAAGTTAGAGTTGTCTGAAAAATAATAATTATAAAGAAAACTTTTAATATTGAGTGTTTGCAAATATATAATCTGGGCCCTTTATCTTAAAAAAATGATTTGAAAAGCAATTGACACAAATCAATAACAAAGCTGCTAAAAGCCCAGCAAACTGTACTATTTTGAGGAGCTTATATTAGTTATCATTACCAGTTATTGATAACTAGTTTTCAGAAAGAGAGCCCAGAATTTGTTTGTTTTGTTGAGTTCTCAGTTGATTGATAGTTCTCATTGATTTGAGGCCGTTTATTCTGATTTGTTTGTATGCATGTATCTGCACTTCATGCCAAAAAATGAATAAAACTCTGAAAAGATGTTCTTTTATTGTAAACAATATTCTGTACTCTATAATGTTGTTTGTTCTGTGGAAATGATCATAACATTTCAATTTGTCTCCATTAGTTACCATAGAAACAGCCAATTAAGTGAAGTAATCAAATTCATTGGTTCAGCTTGATGGCTATTGTATATGCAATGATTTTTTTGGAAAAAAAGAGTCCTATTAAAGTTTGGAAACAGAGAGAGGGAGATAGATATATATATATATATATATATATAGAGAGAGAGAGAGAGAGAGAGAGAGAGAGAGAGAGAGAGAGAGAGGGAGGAAGCAATATACAGATAAAGAGAGAGAGAGATTGATAGAGAAAGAGGGAGACAGAGAGCAAAGAGAACAAGATCTAGAACAAGAGCTTTCATATAATGTAAAGGGGCATTTATCATAACCAAAAAAAATGCAAAACAAATAGAAATACATATCCATTATATATTGCATGATAATCATAATTCTTTATTTCATCAAGCTGTCCATGGCCTCATATCAACTTCTCTAGATAAACACCAAGTACATGTACAAATATATCAAAATTGGTGACATAGTAAATGCATATGAGTATACCGAAAACATGTAAAAAATATATCAAAATTTGTGACGCAGTAAATGTATATGTACATGTATGACAGCAAAAGTTTCCTGGTAATTTACTTTTGATTGTGAATTTCTACAATTGCTTATCTAAGATACATGCATATTTAACTAATATGTAAAGATAACTATATGTGTACATGTAAACAAAAACCTGATGAAAACAATAGAAAATTAAGGAATTTTTTATTCAGCTCAAACTGTAAGATAGTTTCAATTGTGTATGTTGCAAGCAGATCACACCATGCCTTCGCCCTGTTTCATTAAACTTGTTATCAATAACAAATGTTAAATTTCTATGGCAGATTTGCTCTCGGTCTCAGCCAAGCCAATGCCACAATTTCATTAGCTTTTTAGTCATTGATAAAAAGTTTTATGAAACAGGGACTAGGTGCTTAGAACCAAAAGGTCACTAACTATATTATTTGAAAGTAAATGGTTTAACATCCTTCTGGCTCTCACCACCAGTGTTCGGTCACAGACAAATCTTGTCTCATAGTTTGGCGTTTTTGCTTATGGTCTCGACCACTTAAATTACGAACAAATTAAATACAGTAAATAACTTTATGCCAACCCGGAGAACCGCATAAATGTATCCGACATAGCAACAATGCATTTCAATATCAACAGAGTGGTGATATCAAGACATGCATGTCCTATGGTATAGGCAGTCTAAATTCATTTCCCAGTCTCATTTCATTTTAGAAATGACTTACAATGAAAATATAAACATTAGATAAAATGATCATGATTCTTTTATTTTGAAAATGAATTACAATGAACATGTAAACCTGTAAAATTCTTACAGATGTTTATTTCAGTAAAATGAACAGAGACAATCTCATCCAATGTTGAATGCAATTTTGCTATATAAGAAATATTTTCTTAATAACAGTTACAAATTAAAAACATTTACTTTAATAGTGAAAAGACTGAATCAGACAAACCTTCGTGTACGGTGTAGATATATAAACAACTACAAATGAATATACATGTACAAATGTTTCTTAAAACTTCATTAAACATTAATAAGGTGCACCTGGGTAGATAGTTTTTCAATTTCTAATCATCTCTACATTGAACTTATAAAAAGCAACGGCCTACGTGTATTCGAGCATAATATTGATGTATATAAACCTTCATGCGTCCATGCAATCTTATATGAAATGAACAGAATTTCTACAAAAGTCACAAGTCATGATATGATGTAAAACAATGAGTTCAATAAAAGCATATGATAACGGTGTATCATTTCTTAGGAAGTAACAGTAAGCAAACTGAAACATAATACCCCTTTTAGAATATTGATTGATATAGATAAGTTGCAAAGTTGTTTTCGTCTGTTAATCAGAACTATAAAGAAGTGGCGACCGGAAGACCAACAGGATTACCTTTTCTTCCGTATACTGTTGATGTTGACGTAAATTCATTTCATTTCAATTATCAAGCCATTTCTAATTATATATTTTTTTAATGAGGATAATATCAATACAATACGTAATGGCTGCACAGCTCAAGTGAGTTAATGGTTATATTTTGCCATTGATGGCGCTGTTTAACCAGGCCTCAGTTTCAGTGTGAACAGACATTTGAGCCCAATTAGAGGGGTAAGGAAGAACAATACAAGAATGGTACAATAATGGAAACATGACATAATTCCACTAAATGGTTATATTTCGCCACTGATGGCGCTGTTCGTAATCAAGCGTCTGTGTGTTCATCAATAGGCAATCGTGCCGGTGAAGCATATACAGGATTATCAATGCCTCCGCTAGATGGCTGTAACATAGAAAGTAATATGAAAAAATAGAAATGGTTGTCACTTAAATCATTTCTTGCATACAGAATTGTGACTACACTCTCAGTTGACACGCACTTCTGCTTAATAAGATCACAAACATATTTACAAATTAACTTTTAGAATACAGATTGAAAAGTGAATGTATTCATAGTGATTAATATCAAGGAAAAATATTCAAGAAGTTGAAAACCAATGCTTCATGTAAAAGATATCTGTCACTTATAAAATGTCTACTTCTCCTTCATTTCAAACATGTCTTTAACAACTTGTCTATAATGCATGAATTCATATCATGCTTGAAGTAGTAGAATTGATTCCAAGAAAATGATAACAAAAAATCAGCCTGTGAAGAAAGCCTTGCCCATCGCCTATTGTAATGCGAATAGCACATTTATGTGATTATTGTATATGGCGTATTTGGCTTCATCTGAATTGAATCCTCGCAATGTAACCCTATAGGGTCTCTATTTGCGGTTTAACTGATTGAGGGTGTGCAGGTGGACCACTACACCGGGGGTTTCCCCTACTTTTTTGTGATAGGTGCAGATGTAATCCAAACATGATCTATGCAGCATTTACAACAAGGGTATTGATATCGTCCTTGATCAGGCTTCTCAAAAATCTTTGTGACTGGTTTGAAACTCTTCCCTATTTAACTCACTGAGTGCTGAATTCTCTCATTGTGATATGCTTAACACAGGGACCACCCGGTTCACATAGTCAAGGGATTAACTGAGATCTTGTGCTATCAAAATGAAATCGGTTTTAAAATTACTTACCATGCCCTCAGAAGGGTATTCTCCAAACATGCTTGTATCTACTTCTTGTAAAGCAAACTGTAAAAACAAAAACAAAATTGGAAATAGTAATCTTGAGATTTAAAAATCATTAATTTATAAAATGTGGTTATCTATAAGACATGGAGGGAGGCATGATGATTTTGTTAGCTCATTTGTTGGTCTTTGGGGCTGTTGGTCTAGTAAAAATGTTGTAATTCTTTTGTATTTATTTGTTTTGTCGGTTTCATGGGGTGTCAGGTTCATGACCCTACTGGAATGACCCTTTTGAAAATCAAAAAACATAAATGAATAAAATCTTTACAAATTCAAGTTCAACTTTAATTTATTTAATTCCTGTAAAAGCATACAAACTTACAAATCAGAAAAATAGCACAGATTCAAATCATTATACATGGGATCAAAGGTACCATAAAAGACCAAGGCGGTCTTGTCAACATGGTTTCCTTATGAAAAAAGTTGAAAGTAATCAAAAGCAAGAGGAGAGTATATTTAAACATTTAGTTACATGAATATGCTAAACTCAAGAATAAAAAAAAATTAAAAAAAAACGAATTTAAATGATTAAAAGATGTAATAACACAAATAATGATATATTTAAAAAAACAAAGAAGTGTAAGACCAGACAACTGGAAACAATCATTATTGACTTTATACTAAAAATTCACAAAATAACAGAAATTTCATTAATTTGCTCTTGAAAACTATTATAACATTTAAATACAAATACTTACGTTAGGATTGCCGAAGTCTTTATCGAATCCTGGGTTTTCCATGTTCTTTTTGAGAGGTCCTAAGTCCCCTTTGCCACTGTTAAAGATACAGGTATAATAATTAGACATCTAATAACAGTAATATTTTTTGTTTGTTTGTTTATTTCAATACAGTGATATGAAACCTACCTTTAGCCGCAAGGCTTTTTTTCAACAAGACCATATACAAAAGAAGACATTTGAAAAATAACATATTTATAAATTATTCACAAAGAAAATTGAACTTGAACAAATTACAAAAACTAAATAGAAGTTATATGCAAAATATTGTGAGAAAAGGAAGAAAATAGATAGTAGAGATAACAGAGACAGTAGGGAAAATAAAATAATTAGACAAACAGAATTTTGTATTAATAGTCATAGTTGTATAGTGCTTAGTACAATATTCTTTAATAAGCATTTTACATCCCCCCTGGTCATAGGATTCAATTGTTGTCCCACATATACGGTACATACTCTCTACCCCCCCCCCCCCCCCCCCCCACTGCATAACAGGTGCACAAATGCTATCTCAACCACGATGACATCATGAGTATGGAACACCAAATGAATGATTCCCTCAAGCGTTCATTCATTCATTCATCACCAAAATGTTCCAGATAAGGTCATTTTAAGCATTGCAATATTAAAGCATACATGCAGAAAATGTAACCAAATTTATAGCGGAACATGCAGATCCATAATATGATTGAAAGTAGGTACAATTTGTTTTATACAGGTTGGGTGTAAAACAAGAACTTTAGTCATTCTTTCTGCCCCTGCACCAAAACATGTAGAAACATAGAATGATCATACATAAAAACTCCATATTCACTCATACCTCCTGCGCTTGCGCCAAAACAATAAAGATAAGACCACGACGATGAAGAAGATGATTCCAAAAGTTGCCGACAGACCTGCGATCAAACCAGCTTCAGGATTGCAAGAGGAGGCGGAAAGAGATATAGATATGAAACATTAGAAAATAGGCAAACAACTACATTGTACATTAATTTACTAGTAGAAAACATTGACAGAGAGAGAGAGAGAGAGAAACACAGAGAGACAGAGAAGAGAGGGAGAGGGAATAGAATGAGAGAGAGAAAGAGGGGGAGGAAGAGAGAGAGAGAGAGAGAGAGAGAGAAACACAGAGAGGCAGAAGAGAGAGGGGTTGAGAGAGAAAAAAGGGGGAATATAATGAGAGAGAGAAAGCGGGGAGGGGGGGGGGGGAGAGAACAGAGAGAGAGAGAGAGAGAGGGGGGAATAAAAGAGAGCACGACAAAGAGAGAATAGGGGGGAGAGAAAGAGGATGAAGTAAGTTATAAATGACAACAATTAACAAGACAAAATAGTTAAAGAAAAAGAATAGAAAAAAAAATTGAAAATGTAGAAAGTCAAGAATGTTAAGAATCTTTTACTGCTTGTGTATTTCAACAAAACATCCACTCACTCCTCAAAAAGACTCTAATTTTCATAAATCAGGACTAAATAAATACAATCATAACTAGAATATCAAACGGATATTTGGAGACAATACATACTGTTGCTTGTGTAAGGACTATGTGTAGCTTGTTGTCCAGTAGTCTCCTCACTTGTGGTGGAAGGTGTTGATGAAGACGATGTACCTGCGCTCGATTTAGGCTTAGTAGCAGGCACTGAAATGACAACAAAATATGAATTTAATGCACAAATCCTTCATTCAAATTGTTGCATTCATCTGTTTATGAATAATTGTATATCAATAGTCAGAATACAAACTGCCTATATTACGTGTTGCTAGGTAGGACAAAGAGTTGCAATTGTAAACTTTCAAAGTTGATATATTATAACGGAATGACATAGCAATGACACACATTAACCTTATAATCAATCCATAGGCAAACACTGTAATATCATCATCTTGAAACAGAACACATTTCGTGTATCCCTTGAGGAGGCTTTACATACAGATTTCACTTAAAGGAAGTAATTAATAAGTACATGATAAGTAATTATAATAACAATTTTTATCGTCCAAATCATTGTCATCAGGATAAATTATTCTTTGAAAAAAAAAATAGAAAAGCAGAATTTCCTGGGCATGAAATTTTAACAATTTGATTTTCTTTAATCTGTTAAAGATTTTGTCAAGTTTGGATAGGAATAAGCATAACTGAAAGGCTGTGTCGGGGTTCGAACCCACGACATTTGCATTTAAAGTCAAGTGCTTATACAAACCACTCTACTACGACACCTCTACCCCTTTGATATGTTTTAATTGTATTAATTAAAACATTAATGATTTGATATAATCTTACCAGTAGCAGTAGTGGGAGCCATTGTAGTGAATGCAGGTAGGCTGGATCCAGACGCGCTGCACTCAGGAGTAAAGGTCGTATCATCGATGGCCAAGTGACCTGATGACCCCTCACCTTTGACCCCCTCTATGATGACCTATAATTCAGATTTAAATAATGACATCATCAGGGCTCCATGGTTATAAGAAGTTGCAATTCAAATCAATCACAAAAAAGTGAGGCAAAAGTGAAGAATTAAAATGTTAATTTTTGCTTCAAAGCCATTTTGACTTCCTTCTACGCTACCAATTTGACCCCTTCAATAATTCCCTGCTATACAAATATAGACATTATTAAGTGTTTAAAAAAATGTTTGTTTTTCTTTCATGGCTTGGAGAGTCAAAGAAAAGCTGCGCTATCTCAATATTTACCTGAAAGATCTCATCACTGTTCAGAGTAATGGCCTTCTTAACCCACATCAACCCGTGATCAACTGAGTCTGTCCAACGGAGCAATAGAGGGCCTCCTATGTTTGTGCGAGTGTAGACATTCAGAGTACCGCCAGTCATCCCGGTCATGTAGTAGAAAAACCGCATCTATAAAAGTTAAATTCACACTAGATCAAGGCCTTACATTATCATAAAGTATTAAAATGGTTTAACTTGTGGCAGGGGTGTAAAAAGCGAAAATTATTAATTACCCCTCAGGGGGGTGTTTCACATAGATTTTAAGTTGAACATATCTCTAAGTTGGACTTAACAATTATGGAAAGCCGTTTATTTTAAAAGGCATAACATGTTGATTCAAATCATTCATATTTTCTATTATCAAGGAGATTTCATGTTCTTGATGTGGAATTTATGAAAAATCTAAAATACTTGAATTTTCACTTTTTAATATATAAAAATAAATCACATTTATCGTAATAACTATATTCAAGAAGTCATGTCTTAATTAATTGCATTACATTCAATACAGTCGTCTGATCTATCTTTATGTCTTATACAATTTCAAACAAATATGTATATTTTTTCCTTAGAAGCTGTTCCATTACATATAAACGTATGCTTTGAACAAGATTCATGAGAGTGAAGACCTTTTATTAAACCATGGCTTAAGCAAACCTGGAGATTCCTGTAGTAGCCCTATTGAAATGAGTGCTTTCAGGAGTCAATGGGTCATATAATTCAGTTTTAGGATCCACCATGTGCATTTGCAAGAATTTTCGCAGACTGGTACAACTGTTTAGAGACTCACCTTGCAGTTGGTATCACTTGCCCTGATGATGTAACTTCCAAGTTGTGTTATGTCTCCAGTCTGTGCTCGGTTTTGTGGATCCATATACAAGTAATATCCTGTAGAAAAGAATCCAACAAAAAGAGTAATAATGATTTCACACATGTTCTTAAAAGCAAGAAAAAAAAGAGGACATCTTATTTATAAATAGGCAATATCTACAGTGGAGGAAATCGGACACAAGTATGGCAGTTTTGTAGACCCAAATATCACAAACGTTTAATACCACATGTAACATTCTTCATCAAAGAGTTCATAGATTTAATACTCGCCCAAGGGTAAAGTGGTTTATGACAAACAAATCATGAAAATATAATTTGAAGAGTAGCAGAAGGTTGTGAAATCATCCTTTTTTTGCTTCTGGCTTTAAATAGGCAATACATTTTAAAACAAGACAAACACGACTCTGTTTCCTATATGCCTCCACCCAAAATTCAGTTAAGGAAATGAATAAAATTATTTGTAATATATCATAATGAAAACAGAAACATTTAATCATATGTCGACTGATGACTTTGATCTTGACCTACTAGTCCCAAAATGTAAATTTTTATTTTTTATTTTATTTTTCAGTAAAAGGAATTCATTAAAGCAATTCTAATGCATAATGATAACTAGACAAAGAATATATAGTACAACATAATGTACTAGTTATCAACAAAGTTACTTAACAAAATATCTGCCAGTTCTTATTATGAAGATCACACAATCTTTCTTGAAATTGATTATACGTTCCATATTTTCAAAATGTTTAAGAGCTTGTAGAAGAAAACGAAGTAGTAGAAAAGTCCAAAATAGTGGAATAATGTTTTGCAATATATATACAAGTAAATATTGAATATTTGGCAAAAATAATAACTGTATTGACAAAATAGAAATGATTAGCAATGAGAGTACAAACATTTTTTGTTCATCTTTGAAAAAAACATTACATACATTTTTTTTCTTTTAACAATGGAAATACAAAGAGATCATACTTTTTCACAATTTAGAATAAATGAGCTGACGTCTGTTCATGATTTTCACAAAAAGTACACATTGTAGAAATGAAATTGGATCATCATAGGCAACACTTATTCCTAAACTGAAATATACTCTGTAAACTTTTTCATGATCAGTATTTTGTTACTTGCATAATTTATTTGTTCTATTATATAATGTAATACTGTATGGTTTATATATATCAATTTTATTTGTGGATATTTGAGTGGAGAAATAGATCAAATCAAATCAAATCAATACATTTTGAAAGAAGTTCAACATTTTCTTCTTTTAGCTTACCATCTTCAGAATCTAGCGTGTGGTCAAATCTTAATTGGCTCATCTTGCTACCTTGGATTCTCGTCCAATCAAAAGCGTCGTCTGCTACCTGACTCCAGACACTGCACAGGTCGGCCTCAAAGTCACACTGCTTGTAGGTAGCTGCAACCAATAGGCAAATATAATAATAATAATGATAATAATATTTGGTTCTTGTATAGCACATATCACATTATATAATGCCTCTATGCGCTTCTAAAGAGCTTTGGGAAATATTATCCTAGCTTTAGCTCCGACAGCCGTAATCAGTGCACAGTGCATTTCAAGGAATAATCCTAACAGGTACCCATTTACCTCATCTTGGTCGAGTGTGGCAAATGTAGATCAATATCTTGCCAAAGGACATCAGTGCCGTGACGAGACTCGAACCGCGGACCTTGTGATCCACAGTCCGCTGACATATCCACTCGACCACGGCACCTCTATCACAAATATACACAACCATCGTAGAGTTGTGGAGATGAGAAATGACACTAAAGGATCAGGTTCAATAAAATGCTACCTTTATAAGAAATGACTTTCAATATTCTGTTATGTTTTGTTACATTTGGGATACAGGGGGGAGTTTCACAAAGATCCTAAAGTTGAATTTATCTCTAGGTTGGACTTAACAATTATGGATCTTTGAAAATATTTTGTAAAAGTTATTTTAAAAGGCATGAAATGTTGATTCAAATCATTCATATTTTCTTTTATCAAGGAGGTTTCATGTTCTTGATGTGGAATTTATGAAAAGTCTAAAATTCTTGAATTTTTGCTTTTTAATATATTGTATTTTAAGGCTACAAATGACTCTCCATAATGTTTAATAATAATAATAATAATAATAATAATAATAATAACTTAGAGTTAACTTTAACTAAGGATCTTTGTGAAACACCCTTCAGGTACAATATGACTTAAAATGCTACTTTTATAAGACATGTCTTCAATATTCTGTTATGTTTCGTCACATTTGGGATACAAAATTACCAAATAATTTTGATGTGCACATGAGCAACAGTTAATTACTGCCCATGGTCCCGGTATAATTATCATCTCTCTGATAATATTTAGATATTGAGTGGAATAAACACACTAAAGCTTCTCTGATCATTGTCCTTGTCTCTCTATTGATGCAGCACTTATTGGTCAACTCACATTGGCTGTTTGGGGATAGCTTTGGGATAAATAATGTTTTCTACCCTGACAGGAGCCCACTTCTGGCATTTGTTTCTCAAGGTCATGTACAACAGTCTTTCATCAATTCACAATAGTGATCGCATGGCACTGGGGGGGGGGGGGGGGTGTTTCACAAAGACTAAAATCTAATTTAAGTTGGACTTAAATATGGCAGGCCAATCATGCCACTGGATGATGTCGCCATTGGTCTCTCAACTATGATCTTTAGATATTATTTTTGCCTTCAATAATGAATTATCAAATCATGTAATTTCTGTAGATTTGTTACCACGATTTGTACGTCCCTTGAGAGACCAATGCCAGGAATGGTTAGAGGATCGAACTAGTGGCATGAGCGGCCTGCCATAGTTAAGTTCTACTTAAAGTCAATCTTAGTCTTTGTGAAACAATCCCCTGAATAAGTTATTCTTTCCTACATATGGTGGTATCGGGATTTGATAAACATTTATAGTACTTACAGCAACTGGCTTCATCGTTGCCGTTGCCGCTATCTGTACAGCAATCCTTCGCCAAGTCACACTCACTGTCCTTATCATAGCACTGTTGATCACTGCACTGGTAGGAATCGGTAGGGCAGGACTCAGAAGGTGAGTAGGCATCAAATGCACAGTCATCGAAGCGGATGTCATCGACCGCGTAACCTCCTGAGACAGGGTTGTTCTGTTTGTTTCCTGCATCTATCAGGATCTACACAGAGAATAATAGTAACAATAATATTGGATATTTATATAACGACATATACACCATGCATGGTTGAGCACAGATTTATGTGGTAATAGTTAGAGCACCTTGCTCCAAGTATTACCCCGGCTCTGCTAGGCAGCCGATATTGGCGCTCACAGCCTTCAAAGAATTTCTTCCTACCGATACCCATTTAGCACTTGGGTGGAAAGTGGCAAATGTATATTAATATCTTGCCAAAGGACATTAGTGTCATGGCGGAACTCGAACCACGGACCCTGTGATCCACAGTCCAACGACTTATCCACTAGACCACAACACCTCTACAATGAAATGGCAAATCCAATGGATGGTAAAATAATGACCTGTAGAGCATGTGTGTTGTGTGTGAAAGTTGGTGTGAGTGTTTGTGTGTTTGTAACTGGGTTTCTACATGCAGACAAATCAAATCAAATCATTTATTCACTCAATATAAAAACAGATACATAGAATTGCGAATAAACGCATACATGTATAACAAATATTAAAAAAATGTACATAGCAAAATCACTAGTTGACAGCACAAGTAACATAAATTGAGTGGGGATCAGATTAAAGATCTATTTAAAGACTTGTAGCAGTCATGGATAATTAATAATTTACATCTGGGAACTAAACTTTAACGTCACCATGTGAAAGACATGAATCAAGGTCTGCCAGAGTCACTTTGTAGATGAACAGAAAGAGGGGGAGAGAGATCAAGAGAGAGAAAGGGAGAGAGAGAGAGATACAGATATGAGCCCTATATACAAGAAGCCAATATAATTTATAGAGTAGAGTTAGTCAGTATCATAGGTGGAACAAAGCGTTCATATACTGAAACCACCAGGTTTCTCTAAATGAAATTAAAGCTGACCACTTACATTAAAGTTAGCCAAGCATGGAGGGAGAGTGATTATGGCCTGTGTCCACTCCTCGCTGACCGCATTCGCCTCGTTGATGGTCATGAGGGTTCTCTCCTTACCGTCCACTTTGCGTTTGATCTCCAGGTTGCCGTAAGACGAGCCATAGATGTAGTACCACACCGACACTATGCAGGTTATTCCTGTCTGGCTGAATGTTGGACTGATCAAGGTGGAATGTTGATTCAGAGAACTCCCACTGGTGAGGCCGTCAACATAGTAATAGATTCCTAGAAGAGAACAGGTGTGTGCAGGGATGAATCAGGAAAGAGCAATCAGTTGAGTAATACACATTCTAACTACAGTTAAACCTGTCTAAAGCAACAGCCCAAAGGAAACAAAATACGTGGTCTTTGTAGACAGGTTCCTTTAGTAGATGTTTCAATAAGACACTATTTTCAAGGGAAACAACAAATTTGGTCTTTTTAGGCAGAGCAGGTTTGGCTGAACTTGCATAATATTGGTTCAAATATGAGCCTCCCATCCTAGTCTTATGTATTGATTCTGTAACATTCTGCATCAGAAGGTATTTTTATTCGATCCACAAAAAAAGTTTCTTGCAATACAAACGCCTCCATGCTCCCCCCTCCCCCCCCCCCCCCTCATCACATGCATTTACATCTATAAACATGAATTCAATTGATATAAAATAAAACTGAGAAGTGCACTAAAAAGTTATTTTGCTATTAAATTACACTGTAATTTATAAACAAATGACTATGACACAGCAAGAGATATAAATGAGAACCCCCCAAAATGCTCTTTAAATTCATAAATGATATGAATATCATTATATAAAATCTGAATTAAAATTCACAAGCTAATTGTTAATTTCAAGAAGACATTAAACTTCTCTTCCTTCGTCATACCACAGTGTGGGTAGTTCAAATACGATACTGCACTTATCTGTTGTATTCTGCAGAATGTGATATTAAGACAATGGCCCCTCATATGCTTACCCATAGGACTGCCTTTAGAGTGGTCAGAGATGGGACCAGCATAACTCTTGACCTCTGAGTTATTGAACCTTGACCAATCAAAGTCATCGTTGACCCCCTGTCTCCACATACACATGTCAACCTCAAAGTCACAGGCGGATGCTGGAGAAGAAAGGGGATTAATTTTAAGATATAGACACGCATCCATACGATATTATGAACTAGTATAATATATACTGAGTATAAAATGACAAGTTTCTTAAAATTGCAGATATCAGAATAAAAAGGAGTACATGCATGAGTCGAGAAACAGATATCATCATTGTTCAATATGTCTTGCGTTGCAGCACAAGGAATGGAGTGTGTAGAATACGGAATATAAATATCCAAAGAAAAATGGATAAAATCATTACGTGACCATATGCCCAATTTTTATTTCCTGCGATATATAAGACAACTTTTCTTACAGTGTGTACTTTCTTTTCATCCTGTTACATCTTACTCAGCACATTCAAAATATTTTTGACATAGGAATTGAAAAACGAAATCATGAAGAAGTGGTGGCCAAAGAGCAAAGACCAATTTGGTAACTCTTTCATAAATTTCCTCAGTGGCATTACATGAGGTGATAAAGATGTCAAGAAGTAATACTTACGGCAGTCTATCTCATCAGAAACATCATCGCAATCAAATATAAAGTTACAGAACTTCTCTGAGGCGATGCATGTACCATCTTTGCAGGCTCTCTCACCATCTCCACAATGCGGGCTATCTATAAGGTCAAAGGTCAAAGGTCAAAAGTCAAAATATTTTAAATCAAAAAGTCAAAAAGAGAATCATAACAGATATCGTCACATAAATCTCTGTACTGTTGTTGCTATACCATGCTAAGGTGGGATCTGTTACAGGTGAGCCAGGATTTTCATTTTGATGGCATGGGTTTGAATCCCACCGCTGCCACCATGTTATTAGCGCTCTTTCGCAAACATGACGGTAAGGCGAGCGAAAGAACAATCTGGGCATGAGCCAACCAGAATTTTTTCTGACCTGTTTGATTTTCAGGACCGTATGAAGCCATTATAGCTTTCGTTCCCTAAACACGTCAACAGATTTGTATCCCCGTAATTCTCCTGTAGTCTTTGCTTCCGTCGTGTTTGCGAAAGCGATCAAGTATCAGGACAGCTAGAGCATCACACTATTGCAGACATCAATGCTGTGAATTAGGTCTTTATTTACCCATAATAAAGATGGTATTAAACCATCTATCAATAGAGGGCGCTTTTAAACATTTCATCTCATGAATGTTATCAACATCACCACATGATTCCAGACATTGATTGGTTCAACAGTACAACAGGGTCTTCAGTAGAAAGCTCATCGGTGAACAGATAAATTTAACCCCAATGAATCAATCAATGTTCTTCAACAGATGCACAGAGTCTATCAATTTGTGTTTGATTGATCACAATTTCAAAAGTTCCTAAGTTTTTTTTTTTAATCAGAATTTGCTCAAACTTTCACTGACCCAATCCTCACATTTGTCTGCTTCTATTCAAACCAACATAATATCAGGGTGGACTTTTCCTTTAATCATGTTCTCTTACCAGTAGGTTGCACGGTGACAGGTAATGTCTGATCAGAGTCTTTGATGCATCCTGGGGTCATTGTGATGTCATCAAGGGCTATGTTGTCATCCAGACCTCCAGCAATACCTTCAAAGTAAACCTACATTAAACATAGATGGAAGAATGAAAATGGTTTTAGCATATTGGATTTATCTTGATATCATATTAATGTCTACAAATGCATTTTTTCATTGTTCCTTGTTAGTCCTACACTTATTCCTTTTGTTGTTTTCAAAAGTTTTGTTTTTATCAACTCTAAAGATGATCTAGGGCAGAAGTGACAGCCAACAAAATGCTGTATCTCACACATGTCTACAACAGTTAAAAGTGACAACGCTATCAATATGCCCTCCTCAGTCTAGTGATCTGAAAAGCTTTTATCCTACAACTAGTTCATTAAATAATAGTAATAATAACAACAATTAATCTTGATTATTGTATAGCTCCTAATATGTAGTATCATCTGTAAGTGATTTACAGATAATATCAATACCCTGGTCATCGGATTGATTCACACACAGGGCTCACCATCTCCACTCCCTGGTGAGTATTCCTGCCATATGGTCACCATGAGGGAAAGTGGCAATTACAAACCCAAAGGATTTCTTCAACCAACCAGGTACCCATTTTTCTCCTGGGTATGGAGAAGGAAATGTAGACTAATATGCCTTAATTGCCAAAAGACGCAAGTGATGAACGTGAATCGAACGCACAACCAAGTCTAATGCTTCTTATTTTGTGTCCATCATCTGTGCTCAAATGTTCTGCCACGCTTTTGCACACTGAAGAGCCTTCTCATTTGCTGCCACTAGGTCTTCCAGGCAGCATTGGTCATCTAGGAGTGGGTATCTTAATAGGTGTGACATAGACTGCACGGATGTTCCACACTCACAGTCACTGTCTGTGGAACATACGTGCTCAAACCACATGAATGTGAAACCTCTATAAGATTTGATTCCTTAGCAGCTGGGGTAAAACATAAAAACAATCAATTAATATTGTACCTTGAATCTGTATCCAGCATCTAGTGGGACCGAATTCTTAACCCAGACATCTCCTGTAGATTCAGTCTGTGTCCAGGTCCTTACAGGATCATCATGGGTGGATATTTGGGTCAGGACACTCAGACGATTCACATTAGCTCCGTTCATGAAGGCCCAGAAACGAATCTGCAAAGCAACACAAACAAGGTAGTATCCCAAAATGTATCTACATGTGCATGTATACATTATTAACCTGGCATTTCTTGAGTTCCACTAAGAAATTCCTGTAGCAACTTAGCATCTTTCTACATGTTGCAATATTCTGCCATGTTGAAAAATATGATTTGTAAAAGGATTCAGCTAACACAGTGCACACTGATTTGACTACTGAAAGCTGATTACTTACTCATATTTTGCAAATTTAGCAACACTTAATTTTGTATTTGACTGTATCCATTGTTTACTAGATCTATTTCACTTTCATTTATTTATTCGTTTTAGTTAAACAGGGTAACTCTCAGTATTAAAACTGTTTTCCTGAGAGGCCCTGTACAAATTATATGTTACAAATACAGAAGAAAGTGAATAAAGTTTAAATACATATACATTTAAATGTCATATCATGGACTATTTGTTTTGTTTTTTATTTTTTATATGCAATAAATGTTATACACCATGCATTGCTGCCTACAACAATCAGTCATGAACTGACCTCACAGTCACCAGGGTTTTGAGTTCTAGAATAAACCAGCCCATCCAGCAAAGCCTTCTTGTTTGTGTCACCTTCTGCTGAGTCCAGATAGAAATAATGGCCTAAAGAAAGAGATTGGTTTGATTGGCATGTCAATATAGATACATGTAACAAGTGCCAATGACTTTGGAAATAGAAGCAATGATAATTATTAGAATTACAACAATAATATTCTGTTTACCCTTTTAAGGTTCTGTACCCACTCCAAAAAAAAATAAAAAATAAAAAATTGAATCAAAGAATTTCTTCCAATCTATTTATTCATTACTTCTAATCTTTTGTCCGGGTAGCCCATTCACCCATAAATAGTGGTCTTCCATGGGGCCTCTTAGGGTGCGTTTATCTTGTCTTCACTAGATATGTACATATCGAACCCCACTATCGAACCCCACTATAGTACGTGATTTGCAGGATGTCGCGTTTATCGTCTCTTCACGATTCAAAATAAAGGCCTACGTCTCTGTGCAGCTGCTTTGCGCCGTTTGATCCGGGAAGCAGACAGTTTCTCAGAGGTCAAGTACACACACATGCTTGTACAATAACATGACACAGCACATGGCACGTGCTAGCCTCCGAACCGGAAATTAACCAATGAGGTCCGATTTGTATGTGGGGTTCAGAACAGCTTTGCGTTTATCATCTCTCAGAAATGTGATTCTGGCTGTATGTCACATTCAAAACGCACCTTTTTCAGCGTTACAATATGCCCATATCTAAAGACGTTTGAAAAAGGTTTTGCGTTTATCACCTTAAAAATTTGGTTGAAAGATGTATGAGAAACCTGATTCTAGGCAAAAAATTGGTCAATAAACGCACCCGCAGAAAGATATAACACAGTAATAATGGGCATGGCACAAACAAATATTTATTTGCAAAATAATCATATATCTGTAAACTAGTTCATCTAGGCTCATTTTCTTCTTCTAATGATGCCTGCATCAAGTTCCAGCCATATTTACTAGTGTACTTAACATATCATATTTTAGAGTAATTAATGGACCCATGTGGGCAAGGTGTAGGTGTGGGGATCATATGGAGCTATATCGACCGACCCTTGATAAGCAAATACAATGTCAATGTAGCTCATCATCAGACTTTGGGAAATTGCTTGGCCACTGGCTATTTTGAGATTAGCGGCATTTGTTGTCATAATGTGCATCAGCCAATCTATACTAACTTAAAACTTACTTCAATTCAACACATACATGTACCTATTAGACACATATGGGTGTGGTAACTTCCATTATCACTCACCTGTTACTATCCTATTCATAGTTGTGGTTATCAAAAGGGGGGCTCCATCGAGAGACCCTTGGAAACAAGTGAGCCATGCCCACCTATAAATCTACATGAACTTTATTATTAAACTAATCTGGGCGTGGTCATTAGCACTCACCTGTTGGGTTACCGTAGGTGTGGTCATCATAAGGGGCTCCATCGAGCGACCCTTGGTATCCAGTGAGCCAGATCCAATCTAGATCATCATCAGAATCTTGACTCCAGTCACAAACGGTGCCAGATTCAAAGTTACACATTCTGTAAGCACCTAAATAGAGCAGAATAACAATGGACAATTAGGCATTTCACAGTTAAAATCTACATACCAGTAGTTGTGTTTCTTTATAGTTCAAGTTCAAGTTTATTCAAACCAAATCAAACATAAACAATGGTACAAGATTATAACAGCAAGGAACACAAGAATGATTGGTTTGGGACCCCAGTGAAGCACAGCTTGTGAACAGGGCCCCTTTACACAGTAGACTATACAGTAGGTATATAATGGCAAGGAGTAACATATTTACAACGAGTATAACTCATGTGTATGTAAGAATGTAACAACATAACAAATTATGCAGATGAGTATACCCCCCACCCCCCAATTACTGCCAGAGTAAGCCCTAGCATGCTTATGTCAAGTCTTATGATATATCAAAAATGAATATATATATTGTCATGAAGTTTCAGAATAAACATTAAATATAGTCCAAGTATTTATTTCTACGACCTATATACAAAGGCCACCAATCTGTCAAGACCTCATTCACCTATCATGTACATTATAATCTCTTCTCCCTAAAGACTGTCACACTTGTGCCTCTATATATTTTCCTCTCCTTTCTGTCTCGTCTCTCCCTATCCCTATCTATCTCTCTATCTCTCTCTCTCTTTCTCTCCTTCATATCATTGTAGGACTATGATATATGTATACACTTGTATGACATTTTGTTTTTTGGGATTTGATTTAGTAAACTTCATGCAATTCAACCCTTTAGCTTCAATGTTGACTTTTAAAAATAAATACCAAATACTCCAGAAACACAATATTTTTTCCATAGACATGTTCTCTCATTGAAACATGTACTAAAGGAGCCTGCTTATAAAGCCCTGTATGAGTCCTCCTTGAATGATCTTTCTATACAGGTTTCAGCGTGTACACTTACTACATGTCTTTTCATCAGTTCCGTCCCCGCAGTCATTGGAGTAGTCGCACTCTGCAGTATACGGCACGCATAGCTTGTTATCGCATAGGATCTCGCACGGGATGTAGGAGTTGGTTTTGCAGTTGGTGAACGAGATGTCGTCCATCGCTACAATGTCATCGTCGGATTCCACAGATGCAGCCATGATGAGCTGGAGAATGCAGGAACAAAACACAGGACAATAATTAATGGCCAATGCCTAATCCGCCGTCACCCTTCAAGTAGTTACCCGAAGAAAACTCATGACAACTGATAATTATGGAGAAATTATAAATGAATGAAAAGATTTTCTCTTGAAAAACACGAATAATTTGCTGAAAAATCATATAGATATCATGGAAAGGTGTAAAAAGATTTGTGGCTAGCTGTGTCTCGCATGTGATGTCACAAATCGTGACGCTCTACTGAGGACCACTGAAGGCAGAAAATCTGGATCTCAAAATAAACATTTTTGAGAGATGATTACTGCAGCCCCAAACATATTTTGAAGAGGGAAGTTGTTATGTTTGATCAGTCAGGCTTCCCCTTTGCAATGATATGAATTTTGCATCAATTAAAAACTCTTTTGATTCTTTGGGTGACTACTTTAACCCATTCTCTCCTAGAACAGGTGGTTACTGTACCTAACCCATGTACAAAAACTAAGCCTTATATTTCACATACTACAGGGTGCACAAAGAAAATGAGCTTGCGTCCTACCTGATAACTTGTCTCCTTTCGTCCCATTCCAACATGTAGGTTCATCCAAGACGACGTAGAGGTCGTAGAAGGGCTCCATATCTTATAGCTAGGATCATCACCTACCTGCACCTCCAGCTGGAACTCTACTGTTGAACTGGATGTCTAGTAAAAAAAACAAAATCATCAAAATATTTTATTATCCTTTTTGTGCCATTCAACATTTGATATTCATCCAACAATTTAATTGAAGACAAAGTTGAGTTCTGGTCATGCGATTGCATCGTGAAAGAAAAGGTGTGGAATGGATCAGAAAAAGTTGATCACGTAGCATGTAAGTATTGGTGAGTGCTGCAAGGTTCTGGAGTCATCAAAATCATAATGAATTTGGCCCAGTCTTGGTAAAGTAACAAGCACTGTACACAGAAAGATGTATATGGGATTACACAAATGGTGTCGGGCCTACTTACTGTGATCTTTCTATGCTCATTTCTCGGCCAGTATACATTTTCTACAAAAATTGTTTGGCAAATGACATTTATTTGTAATCTTGAACATTCAATGTAAGTTTTGTTTAATCATGTGAGAATTCATTTTCTTTTTTTACCAGAACTCAAGTTTATCTTTAACTAACTGTACACAGAAAGAAGTATATGGGACTACACAAACATGTGGCATAAAATAAGGCTCACATTTTTAAGCTGTTACATGTCATAGTTCGAATATGAAGGCATATGAAGAGCCATGCGTTTCAGGGAATATTTTTTCTCTGATGTTCTTCCACACTTGCATAATAACAATGATAACACTCACAAATTGGTTTTCACCTCTCCGGTCAAGAACTCAAGCTTCTCTTGGTTATAACAAAATATATTTTGATCTTTTGTTTTCTTTTCTGCTTACATTTTTATGATGAAAGTGTTAACATAAAACACACGACACATACCTGATAGAAGAACCACAAGTCAAATTGGCAATCGACCGAAGTGTGAGGTAGAACAGGACTGTAGAACCTTGCAAACTCACTGAATTGTCCATTGCCAGGCATTACTTTCATGTAGTATCCTTAAAAACAATCACAGAGTGGCGATGTATCAGCATACTTAAACGATTTGCTTATATAAACTTGAGAAGTTTTTCATTTCAGTCAGTTTGTCAAACTAATCTTTTACTTCATGATACTTTCATGCATATGTATGGGCATCTAAACTATAATAAACAAGAATATATCATTATGTTTATCTGATTTGACTAACATGAATTAATCAAGCTTGTAGAGGTCCAATCAAACAGCCAGTCTGGCGAGCTTAATTGTCAAGCTATCTATCACCTAATATTGAAAATGATAATTACACAACATTGCATGCTGTGTACTAACCTGTCTTCAGGAAAACCACTATTAATAAGTTTTTAAGAATTCCACCTAAAACTCATAACATATACATATTAGCATTCAAACCATACAAATATGTCCAAATGATAGCCCGCATGTTGTCCCCAGTTTTGTTTTTTCCTTTTCTGTTTACTTTTTCGCAGATAACAATAATAATAATATTCAGCTTTTATATAGAGCTTAATACAATGTCTCTAAGCGCTTTACAGATATACTATTACCCTGGTCACTGGATTCAGTGCTTGCCTGCACACACTGTGTGCACAATCTCCACTCCCTTGGGAGCATTCCAGATACCTACCACTTTGTGAACCCGTATGATCAGTCTCTGGTATCTTGCCTGCCCCACCTTGTTCCTGCTGCCATATGTACTCTCCATAGCTCTGATCATACCACCCACAAAGCCCAGCTGAGTCAAACACGCATGGTCCTGAAATACAATAGGAATAAACCTGTTTCAAGTTCAAGTTCAAGTTTTATTTATCTTTTTTTCATAAGACATATTAAAAATATGACATGAATATAACAGTTTAACAGAATATGGCGTTACAATAGAAGATAAGGTGACCTTGGTTGAAAGCAAGGCCTGTGAATTTTAGGTACCTCATGAGCAGCTTATGAGTATGTCCTAGAAGAACAAACTCGTCGGATAAGAATAATGCATACATTTAAATGCTTACAAACTATTAAAAAAATGTCACTTTCACCTTTTTTGTTTGAGTTCAATCTCACCAGTGCTTGTTGCATGTAAATATGTGAATAATTTTTGTTTGTTTGTTTGTTTTTATCCCACTGTTCCCACAATAATTACAAGATCATGTTTCACATCATATCTCATCATATCATATTGTACTTCACCATATCACATCATATCACATCGTTGCTCCATGTTTGTTCCAGGCTCTATTTTGTCAGAAGCACAGCGTTAGGGTTACAATAAGGTACAAGTTTAGGTTTGGGGTTAGGGTTAGTTATTGGGTCCAGAGTTGAAGTTACGAATTTGGTAAGTGTAAGAAACTATGGCAGAGAAATGTCCACAGGAGCAAGTGTCGTACAACCGTTGTATAAATCCTTTATCTACAATCAGGAACAATATCTTACCACAGAATGCTTCATCTGATTTATCAGGGCAGTCCTCCTGATAATCACAGTACTGATCGCTGTCGATACAGGACTGATCAGCACACTGCCATCTATCCTTTCCACATACACCGAGGGTAGTAGATGCTGGTGTCGTTGTACCGGATGGAAGGCCACCTGGTGCAGAGTTGAAAACGAATGTTTTGGCCCCAAAATGAATGAAATTTTCCATTTATATGATGCTTCATTGTATTTTGTTTTTATTTTTCAGTTTGCAATATTGAATATTAACAATAATAATAATATTCTGCCTTTATATATTGCCTAATACATGGAAAAAGTGATGAGCCTAAGCACTTTAAAGATTTATTATTACCCAGAATATATATATATATACCGTATATTATAATTTTGTTTTGACGTCACTCTGATAAGTTTCTGTAAAGGGACTTAAAGAGAAGGCGAAACATAATATGTGGACATTTCTATTATTGACATGATGGTCTTAATGAATATACATGAAGAAAACTGTAAGTATTCATGTTTCTCAGATTAACTAATATTAATTATACTATATGTAAAGTATCTATTTTGTATATACCTTTGTATTGTATGAAATATGTTGTTTAGAAATGAAATGTCATGTTATTTTTTAACTTGATTGTAAATTGTCATGTAATTCAGCTGAGGCTGCGAAATGATAATAATAAAACAAACTGAACTGAACAGATAGAACCAACCATTCTGCTGCAGACAGTCTGGTGTAAAAGACGTGTCATCGATCCCAATATCACCGTACGGACCGTCAGCCCTCACCACCTCTATAACAATCTGGTAGTTAGGTGATCCTGCATCTGGGAGAACAAGATTGGCTAGCTCCCAGTAATCATTTGAAAACCAGTTCTTGGTGAAGAGGAGATTCATGTAGCCTCCTATGTTTGTCCTCTGGTAGATGTTCAAGGTACCAATGTCACTTCCATACATATGGTACCAAATGCGCACCTAGAAGAGATAGAGAGAGAGAAAATAGAACTTGAGCCTGAAATAAAGTCTACTACTACTTGACCTACTAGAGATCTACTACTATTTATACTACTATTACTACTATATACTACCACTACTACTACTACTACTACTCCTATATATACTACTACTACCACTACTACTACTACTACTACTACTACTACTACTACTACTACCACTACTACTACTACTACTACTACTACTACTACTACCACTACTACTACTACTACTACTACTACTACTACTACTACTTCTACTACTACTCCTATATATACTACTACTACCACTACTACTATTACTACTACTGCTACTATAATATTTACACTACTACTACTACTACTATAGGCCTATATATATAAATATGTGTTCAAGTGATAAGTGCACTTATCCTCGAGTGCAGATAGATTGTATTATTCATTATCATTATTAATATGACTGATTCTCCCCTATGATACTCACGCTACAATCAGGACCGATAGATTGGTAAACTGGGCTGATTAGCCTAGCTGTGTCACCGTCCTCGTAGCCATCAGTGCTTGCAAGCAGTACCATATAGTACCCTTTAAAGAGAGGAAGAATAACAAATATAAACACGGTCACACTCGCACTAGATGCACTACAGCAAAATACCTCTAGCGCCATCTCAGGTGAGCTGTAGCAGTATGGTCCGAAAACTCGCTGCTCTGTTAACTGCGCTGTTGGTTGTCGTATAACGTTCTCTGTGTGCTAAGTGGGAATTAGGTGTTGGCTTATACGTACTGTAGGCAAAATGTGGATATATAGGCCTATGCTTGAGACACACAATTTGGTGGTGAGACAAGCGTGTTGTGGTCTAGTAAATAAATCACCAGACTGTACTTCACAAGGTACAGGGTTCAAGTCCCTGCCGAGACAATAACATCCTTTGGTAAGACACTAATCTACATTTGCCCCACTGGACCCAGGTGTAGTAAGTAGGAACCTGGAAGCCACCAAATTCTCTGGTTGCTGGATTGATAAAGCAGTGGTAATGTTATCTACAGTCTTTTGGAAGTGCATTTAGCTGTCATATCATAATGTGATATATGCGCTATACAGGAACAGAATATTATTATTATTCTCATTACCAAGATACTGTGTAGTATGATCCCGACTTGGGCCACTGCGGAAACCAGGTTCCGATGGTCCGCTCATCCTGGTGAACTCCATTTCGTCTTCGGTATCCTGAACCCAATCACAGGTATCATCCTCAAAGTCACACATGTCATAGGTACCTGAAGAGTTGAAGAAAAAAACAGAAAGGCTGAAATATTTAAAAAGGTACAAACTATCGGTGAGCAGGTACTAGAATCAAGGGGCATGCACTAATCTTGCAAGGCAGATGAAAGGTGAATGAACAATGCCACTAATTTTATTTGGGAAATTTTGGAAGGGTCCTATAGAATTAGTGAACGGTTCTACTTGGTTTTTTTTACACGGCTTAGATTACAATTCATTCACACGTTACATGGAAATGTTCAAGTTTATACGAAAATGCAATGTGTCAACATCTTATTTAGATAGTTATCAAGCTATTATTTGTCAAGGAAATTTTTTTCATGCAGTAAACATAAAAACAGTGAAGATTCTACTCAATTAGTAAGAAAGCTTGGATAGCAATTTCATTCACAATTTATATGGAAATGTTCAAGTTTATACGAAAATGCAATGTGTTCATATCTCATGTAGATAGTTATCGAGCTATTTTTTTTCAACAATTTTTTTTTCTTCAGGAAGTTAGCATAAAAATAGTGAAGATTCTACTCAATTAGTAAGAAAGCTTGGATAGCAATTTCATTCACAATTTATATGGAAATGTTCCAAGTTTATACGAAAATGCAATGTGTTCATATCTCATGTAGATAGTTATCGAGCTATTTTTTTTCAACAATTTCTTTTTTTCTTCATGAAGTTAGCATAGAATAAGTGAACAATTCTATATGGTTTTTTACACAGCTTGGATTAAAATTTCATCCACACTTTACATGGAAATTATCAAGTTTATACAGGAATGAAATGTGTTCACATCTTATGTAGATAGTTATCAAGCTATTATTTGTCAAGACAACATTTTTCATGAAGTTAGCATACCATTAGTAAACAGTTGTACAACAACAAAAAATTAACGCAGCTTATATGACAATTTCATTCCAATTTATATGAAAATGTTCAAGTTTATACAAAAATGCAATGTTTTCACATCTAATAAAGATAGTAATCAAGCAATTATTTGTCAAGAAAACTTTTGTTCATGGTGTATGCTTGAAATGAGTAAACAGGTGTATTCGAATTGTTACATAGTTTATATTACAACTTAATTCACACTTTATATGAAAATGTTCAGGATTATACGAAAATTCAATGTGTTCACATCTAATGAAGATAGTTACATATATGTTGCTTAATTAGCTTATCAGCAAGCTTATCTAGAAATGCTGTAAGTGTTTCTGAAACTTAAAGCTAATCTTGAGCTCTGGGATGGGTATCGTATGTCTAGAGAACATGGCTTTAATTATTTCTGGGGTGTTAATCCTGCAGTAGATTGATTGTTTGTAAAATAAAAACAACATCACAAAGGCTTGCTGGAAATCATCTTCAATAAAAACCAAATCTTTCATTTTCGCATGGTCACCTGTGTTGAGCACATAGAGTAGGGTCTACTTACCTTGATTTCCTTGATCTTTATCAGCTCAATTCTCAGCCCCAATACATTTTCTACCAAAATCGTTTGGCAAATTTATTTATTTGTAATCTTGAACAATCAGTGTAAGTTTTGTTGGATTCTGTGAGAATTTATTTTTTATCATTACCAGAACTAAAGCATATCTTTAAAAAAAACAATCTTACTGCAGATATCGACAGCTTCATCAGACGAGTCTCCGCAGTCATCAGTGAAGTCACAGAGTCTTGTTAGTGGGATGCAGGCATTATTAGCACATCGAAACTCATCAATCTTACAATCCTTGGCTTGAGGTACTGCATCAATGAATGAGGAAAGATGAAATATAGGGTAACAAACATTAGGGTTGATATGATATTAATAATAATATTCAAGTTTTATAACAGAATAAATATTACTGAATTTTCTATGTACTTTACAAAATCAGTTTCTGACATGCAATCGGTATAAACAAGCAATGTAGAAAAAATATTCTGTATTGCATAATATAAAAAAATAACATACAAATATGAAATGTAGCTATCATAAATATTGCTAATCATATCATTGTATGTATTATCATTTGTTATATTTATTTTACTATTATCAGTATAACATGTATTCCTGGTATAGCTATTTTTACTACTGTTCAAAACCTGTAATTCGGATTTCGAGTCACGACTGTTTTTTATTTCAATAAACCATTACTACTACATTTTAACATAATCTTGTGAATGAGTTGCATCACCTGGTAGCGTGTATTGGGTATTCTGCAGTCAAGCTAAGTTAAACATACCGTAATAATAAATCCTGGATACATATTCTCCCGGTATGGAGTGGCAGTAAAAGTGAGGTCCCTTTACCTTGTAATGTTTATTGAGGTATTCTGCACATTAATTAAGTGGCCTAGCGTGTGTATCATTCAACCACATTTTGACAAGATGGATACATAATCCCCTGGGTATGGAGTGGCAATATTAGTGGGATGCTTTACCTGGTAGTGCACACTGCATCATACTGATATCGTCTATTGCTACATCACCAAACACGGTGTAGGTTCGCACTGACTGGAACTTCACCTGGAGAGAAAGGAGGGAAAGAAGATATTCTAAACAAATTTTAGATACATCTAATAGTGACTCGGTACATTACAGGTAACAATTGCTGCTGGAGCATTCTTCCCAGAACCCATTTGTTGTTCTTGAAGAAGATGATCTGTTGGGGAGGATACCCGGTATTTCCCCGACTCCCAAGCTTTTATCAAGGCATCATCAAGAACTTCCCCTTCTGGATGTAGAGCTGAAGAGAACCAAAGTCCTCTTCTCGTTTATACCAATCATTTACAAGTTTTAAAAAAAACTACAATTGTTTGCGTGTAAATGAACGGGTTAGGGTTAAGGTTATAGAGTTATTCAAGTTCCTTCTGGAAGATCTTACATTGAATCCTCCAGAGATCCTGCCAGGAACTTCTCCTCTTGGATGTAGAGCTGAAGAGAACCAAAGACCTTTTCTCCTTACCAATCATGTGTAATTGAATGGGTTAGGGTTAAGATTAGGAAGCATGTATAGAGTTATGCAAGGTCTTACATTGAATCCTCCAGGTATCCTGCCAAGCGCAGCGATGCCTTCATGCCAGGTATCCCCCTGGCTCCCGGTCTGATACCAGGGCATCATCAAGATCTTCTCCTCCTGGATGTAGAGCTGTAGAGACCCGATGTCCTCACCGTACATGTGGTACCAGAAACGCACCTCGCATGAAGCAGCCGCGTTGCGATGCATCCTGGAGGACAGCACGGCCCAGCGCGTCCCAGAGTCCGGGGTGATACCAACATACATGTACCAGCCTAGGTAATAGGTAGTGGATATGACAAAACTGAGTGGTTACAAGTGAGTTACGTACATAATCAAATATAGAATAATAATAATATGAATGGTGGCTTCTTTCATAGCGCACCTGGCCAGCCCGATCATTACCCTGGCTTTAGCAAGGCGGCCATTACGGTGCACTAGCGTAGAAGGTTGAGTTCTGGTAAAAGGGAGAAACTAATTCTCAGCTTTCTCGTTCTCTTTTTGTCGGTTTGGAAGAATATTATTGTAGAAAGGTCTGGTCAAGGTAGTCCTTCCAATGCCCACATACATGTATTTGAAATGAAGTAAGTTACTTACTTGATGAAATATAGAAGGTCAAGTTCTGGTAAAAAGGAAAAACAATTTCTGAGCTTTTTCATTCTCTTTTTGTCCGTTTGGAAGATATCAATGTCGAAAGGTATGGTCAAAGTAGCTCTTCCAATGCCCCATACATTTATTTGTTATGGAACATGAGGGCCCTGAAAAAGTTAAGACTAAACTGTGATGCCACTTGTGGGTGTGATCCTACATATCCATTTTGTGTTCAAATTAATTAAAGAATTTCAAGTCAATATTTCAGTCTAAATAACAATACTCTACACAATTTGTGGCATAGAAAGGGTTAAAAACATTTTAGAAATTACCAAATGCAGTAAGTGTGGTGTGATCGAAGGAAGGACCGGTGTTTGAGTCTGGCGTATCTCCTTGGTGTCGTATGAACTTATACACATTGTGTCCAGAGTTCCACCACCAGCAGGTGTCATCCTCAAAGTCACATGTTGTTCCTATGGATATAATCAATTAGATAGTATACTGGTACTGGTAGATGTGTGTGTGTAATTGGGTTTTTACAGACGTGTATCAATCAGATATGATTATTTACGTATGGGAAACGACCTTTAAAGAGAAGGTTCATTGATTTAAAAAACTAACTTTAATGTCATCATTGCAAAGGTGACACTTTGATTGGCCAAGGTTATCAAAAGCCAGTGCTTGGAAACATTCGAAGTAATGATTATTAACAATTACAAAATGCTTAGATACAGCCCCGACATAGCACCTGAAAAGCTCCCGGTCGCTGCTGAGATATGACGTCACATGTTGAACATGATGTGCACAAGCAGACGATGTCCCATGACATCTCACACAATTTCAGTGTCTGTTTTGTTATCTTTTCTTCAGTTAGTTCTCTTACTTCAATACCTTCAGGCAAAATGTTTAATCTATTGCCTCACTCTTAACCCCGTGCATGGTATTATTTTGATGAAAAAATGCAAGGATTAAAAAAAAAAGGGAATCCGTCGCTTGTAAACAAAATAAGACGTCATTGTATTTTCAGCTGCATACACCGTGGCAGGTTCGGCGTTTCAAGAGGGAACAATAATGACGTCCAGCTATCATTCCGGAGGTTTTTTAATTTGAAAGTGTGGTTTCTTTGATCGTTCATTAACCCATATCCTGTGTATTTACAAACAAAAGAATTTAGTTATCAGAATGGGGGTCATATCCCTTTTTGAATGGTGTAAAATTCCACCACATTTATATACACTAAACTCATTATAATTTGAGAAATATAAGCATTGCAATTATGTTTATTCTTTATGGGATGTTGTCTGCTTGGGCAGGGTTGGTTCATATTGTGACGGCATGAAAACTTTTTTTTTCCGGCGAATCTCTCGCATATCCCAGATGCTATGGAGGTTGTTTTATTTGTATTTTTATAAACCACCCGATATGTAGTTGACCTAAAACTTGCATAATAGTCATCTAATAGCTTACCAGTTTCTAGTAATACGCTATTTGCCGTATTTGTGATTTTCTATGAACCCGCACTTTAACGTCACCCTCCAAAGTATTGACTCAGTTTCGAAACTGCGTATTCGGCAGAATCAGTTTGTAACTTTCATTGTTAGCTGGATTACAGGCGTACGCCACAACGCCCTTTTATACTGGTACTGGTAGATGGTTATATATAGTACTGACTTTGGTATGTAGCGACGTGTGCCCTGCTCAAAGTCAAATGGCATTTCTAGAGTCATTTACATATCAATACTATAATAATACATGTAGACGATAATATACATATTATATTGAACTGACTTCAGTAATTAGCGACAAGTGCTCTGCCTCTGATCATTTAAAATATTCATGTGATAGTCAATAGATGGTAATACTATCATAATACAGGTAGAGGGTTTTTTCATGATGGTACATGACTTTGATAATTACCAAAATATGGGCCCCTTTGCATAAAACTTAGAATTGATAGTAACTTTGCGATCAACATTAACCATGGTAACATTTTACTCAACAAATCACGGTCCCCACGAAAGATACCATAAATGGCAAAGTTACCATCGATGCAAAGTTTTATGCAACGGGGTCCTGATCACATTACGGAATCTGGTTTGAACAGTGCGGTGTGAATTGACAAACAAATCAAGGTTTCCATGGAAGTTACCATCAATTTAAATTTATATGCATGCAGTTAGTAGAGCGTCCGCCTCACAACCAGGAGGTCGTGGGTTCGAACCCCGGCCGCGTCATACCAAAAGACGTTAAAAGACGGGAGTTGCTGCTACCTTGTTTGGCGTTCAACAATAAGGGATAGAGCAACGTCGATCTGGCGCTGCTCAGTGGCTGCCAGGCTCACGATCAATTCGGCAAAAAGAATTTCCATTTTCGGTTTAACTTTAAAAAAAATTAGAGTGGACTTTAAAAGATTATTATGATTATGAAAATATTGTGTTGCACCTACCACAGTTAAGCTCATCCATCTGGTTAGGACAGTGCGGTGTGAAATCACAGAACTGACTGTTAGGTAAACAGGTCTTATCATCATCATCACAGTAGAACTCACAGGTTGATGGAGGAGCTGAAGGATAAAAGATAAAATGCCCAGTGGTATTAATTCATATTCAATTAAATTAAATTCAGTTCAATTCATTTATTTCTACAAAATTCATAAAAACAGTAAAATGCGTTAAACAATGTTTAAAACAAATCCTAATATTGCATTATAATTTTTTTAATGCAATAAGAACAATTATAAATTACATGACAATTGAGTGTAATGTGGAGGGAATAGCAAATATAAATATTGACTTGATATAGGCACGATAAAAAATTAAAAATTAAAAATATTACAATTTTTATCACAAAAGAATACAAAACAAAACAAAATTATTAAATTAAGATTTGAAGAAAAAAAAAAATCCCAAATAGTACTTTTTCAGCGCAACCTTAAAATACTTGAAATATTTCTGGTCACATGACAAGCTCTCAACCAACCAAACACCAATAAATTGTTGATGCAGATATAATAATAAATAATGGCACAACAATAGTACTCAATAGTAAAAGATAACTACCTGGGCATTCTCCTTCATAGAAAGCGATATCATCCAGGGATATATCACTGGAGAAGGATGTGCCAACAGAAGCAATTAACTGCAACTCGTAGGAATAGGCACCGTCTATTACATCCAATGGTACCTGGGATTTAAAGGATATACAATGGTGTTATTATCTAAGGTATGATTATATTAATCTGGAGTTTGAAACCAAATACATGTAAGACTTGAAGCCTATCTGCACTAGTTTGGCCAGGAGGGATTAGACCTCCCTGCATGGTCACTGTCAGGTGGTTCTCTCATCAACTCAGTTCTCAATTAACCTAAGAAAAAAGGGATCATGGGGGACCAGCGGGTACTGCTTAGGAATTGTTGGCTGTATAAAGGGCAAATTAGCTACAAGTAGTGCAGTCCCACTTTAAAGGGAAGGTTGAGTTCTGGGGAGAGGTGAACAATAATTTGTGAGCGTTTGCTTTGTTATTATTCAAGTGTGGAAGAACATGAAATAACAAATGTTCCCTGAAAAGCATGGCTTTTCAAATGCCTTTATATTCCAAATATGACGTGTAACAGCTTAAAAATGTGTGCCTCATCTTTCTGTGTGTAGTGCTTACTAAGACTAGGCCAAAAGACACCAAAACTTATATGCTACATGATCAATTTTTCTAAATTATTCCACACAATTTCTTTCACAATGCAATCGCATGACCAGAACTCAACTTTAGCTTTTAGGCTTATTCATGCACATACACCAAGTTTCCATTTAGTGTGTAATCTTTGAATTAGTGGGGGCTCTAGAATTTAAAGGAACTAATTCCTAAACCATCCGGGTCGGGTGTGGCAAATGTACACTAACATCTTGCTATATGAAATTGGTGCCCTTTCCTGATTCACCAATGAATAGGTAATGCTAATGATATTGACTGGCTTATCTATCAGGAGATACAATGACGTTTTTCAGTCTCATCAGCGCCTTTGATTAGGCAACTAGATATTCACGCTTTATAAATACCTGTATTGGATTAGATTAGATTGGATTGACCACGTCTACAACTCGGTCAATATGATTTCAGTAAGGGCAATATTTGTTGGTATCTCCCCCAAGGCCAGTCAATATTATATAATTATCTCACCAATTGTTGTCGCCACTGATCGCCTTTGTCGCCTTTGAGTGTAATGATATTGGTGAACTTTGTTTCTGTATCTGCCTGCCTCTGGACGTAGAGGTTACCCACACCAGCTCCATACATGTGATAATAAAACTCCAAGCATCGCTTCTGCAATGCCAGGAAATCACCAGACTTCAAGTAGGCCATGTCATTCTGAGACTTCCCAGACGCCTCAATGAAGATATAGGTACCTGGGAGAATTAAGACAGATTAAGTTTTCAGTGTGAGGTGCCATGGTGAAATGACCTCTGACATGCCTCAATGTAGATATAGGTACCTGGGAGAATTAAGACAGATTAAGTTGTCAGTGCGAGGTGCCATGGTGAAATGACCTCTGACATGCCTCGATGAAGATATAGGTACCTGGGAGAATTAAGACAGATTAAGTTGTCAGTGTGAGGTGCCATGGTGAAATGACCTCTGACATGCCTCGATGTAGATATAGGTACCTGGGAGAATTAAGACAGATTAAGTTGTCAGTGTGAGGTGCCATGGTGAAATGACCTCTGACATGCCTCGATGAAGATATAGGTACCTGGGAGAATTAAGACAGATTAAGTTGTCAGTGTGAGGTGCCATGGTGAAATGACCTCTGACATGCCTCGATGTAGATATAGGTACCTGGGAGAATTAAGACGGATTAAAATGTCAGTGTGAGGTGCCATGGTGAAATGACCTCTGACATGCCTCAATGAAGATATAGGTACCTGGGAGAATTAAGAGAGATTAAGTTGTCAGTGTGAGGTGCCATGGTGAAATGACCTCTGACATACCTCAATGTAGATATAGGTACCTGGGAGAATTAAGAGAGATTAAGTTGTCAGTGTGAGGTGCCATGGTGAAGTGACCTCTGACATGCCTCAATGTAGATATAGGTACCTGGGAGAATTAAGACAGATTAAGTTGTCAGTGTGAGGTGCCATGGTGAAATGGCCTCTGACATGCCTCGATGTAGATATAGGTACCTGGGAGAATTAAGACAGATTAAGTTGTCAGTGTGAGATGCCATGGTGAAATGACCTCTGACATTCCTCAATGTAGATATAGGTACCTGGGAGAATTAAGACAGATTAAGTTGTCAGTGTGAGGTGCCATGGTTAAATGACCTCTGACATGCCTCAATGTAGATATAGGTACCTGGGAGAATTAAGACAGATTAAGTTGTCAGTGTGAGATGCCATGGTGAAATGGCCTCTGACATGCCTCAATGAAGATATAGGTACCTGGGAGAATTAAGAGAGATTAAGTTGTCAGTGTGAGATGCCATGGTGAAATGACCTCTGACATGCCTCAATGAAGATATAGGTACCTGGGAGAATTAAGACAGATTAAGTTGTCAGTGTGAGATGCCATGGTGAAATGACCTCTGACATTCCTCAATGTAGATACAGGTACCTGGGAGAATTAAGAGAGATTAAGTTGTCAGTGTGAGGTGCCATGGTGAAATGACCTCTGACATGCCTCGATGTAGATATAGGTACCTGGGAGAATTAAGACAGATTAAGTTGTCAGTGTGAGGTGCCATGGTTAAATGACCTCTGACATGCCTCAATGTAGATATAGGTACCTGGGAGAATTAAGACAGATTAAGTTGTCAGTGTGAGGTGCCATGGTGAAATGACCTCTGACATGCCTCAATGAAGATATAGGTACCTGGGAGAATTAAGAGAGATTAAGTTGTCAGTGTGAGGTGCCATGGTGAAATGACCTCTGACATGCCTCAATGAAGATATAGGTACCTGGGAGAATTAAGAGAGCTTAAGTTGTCAGTGTGAGATGCCATGGTGAAATGACCTCTGACATGCCTCGATGTAGATATAGGTACCTGGGAGAATTAAGACAGATTCATTATTGTCCAGTTGAAAATGGAATTTCTTGGTGTATACATGGTATATGGGTATACATATACATGTACTGTATTCATATAAAAGATAAACTCAATTAAACAATTTTGAGTCAACAAAAATGAAAACAAAACCAATCAAACATAGATATAGTCATGCATCAAAAATAATCTGATGAAGTGACTTACCATAAGGTGTTCCGAAAGTATGATCCGCTGTTGGCCCCGTACCACTAGAGACTGTCCTTCCCTGGATGCGCTGCCAGTCAAAGTCGTCATCCTTCTCTTCGTTCTTCCACGTGCAGAGACTGGTCTCAAAGTCACACGAGCCAAACGGAGAGCAAGGATTGGCGCTGATGAAGACGTCGTCCAAAGATATGGCAGCATTCTCAGTGTAATCTATGGTAGAGGCTTGGAACCGGATCTAAAGAGGGAAACAAAACAAATCCAATGTTACCCCATAGCCAGCAGGAACTGGGTGGCTCCTATGGGAAAGACAGAACCCAGAAGTCAACGGGGGTTAACAAGTTAGAGCACATATTCATAAAACCATATTCAGGCTAGTAAGCAAATAATTACCATTGGTGAAGGTGATGGGACAAACTATCACTTCCGAGGCGATCTGGATGTAGCTATCTTTCCAAAGCGAAGCGATTTAGCATTCCTTAAAGATGATTTTAATAACATTTAAAGAAAGTCAAAGATGTAATGTGAAATGATCTCAGACATGTATCTTTTGTTGCAAGGAGAATAATATGCGACTATACAGCTGTTTAGAACACTGTTCATCTAGTTTTTCATTTTGCTTTCAAAATTGTAGCTGAGCTTTGAACTACATGTACCTAACCTTTAGTCCTAGACTTCATTACCTTGTAAAGACTGTCGGTATCATTAAGGTTCAGCTCCATTTACATGCCATTCATAGCAAAGAAAAAAAAATTATGAGAAGAGAAAAGAGCAAGGAGAAGAGAAAAGAGGAAGAAGAAAAAAGAAGGAAAAAAGGGGAAAAAGAGAGAAGAAGAAGAAGAGAAGAAAAAAGGAGAAAAAGAAGAGAAGAAGAAGAAGCAGAATAAGAAGAAAAGGAAGAAGAAAAAAGAAGAAAAGGAAGAAGAAAAAAGAAGAAAAGGAAGAAGTGGAAGAAGAAAAGGAGAAGAGGAAGAACAGAAAGGAAGAAGAAGAAGCAGAAGAGAAAAGAAGAAGAGGAAGAAGATGAAGTAAAAGAAGAAGGTGTATCATAGAACTCATTACCTTGTAAATGCCATCAGTATTATTGAGGTTGATCTCCACGACATGCCACTCATCTTCATGTGTGATTCCATCCATCTCCCAGAGTAACTCAGCCTGCCCAGTCACCAGCTGTACCTTGTATGCCTGTTAAGAAACGAGGCACCGGGAGGAGAGATGGTTAGCAAGAATCGAATTGAACTGAATTTAATCTATTGAACCATATAATGTATACAAGCAAAGCATACAACAGGAAAATACAATACATATTAAAACACATTTATAAAACCTTCAATACTAAGTCTTGTTGAAAACTAAATACTTATTATAGCTAGCCTATGTAATTAGTTGACAAGTAGCTTAGTGAGGGGTTATGAATATGGGACCAGGGGAGTGTTTTACAAAGACTAAGATCGACTTTAAGTTGGACTTAACTATGGCAGGTCATTCATGCCACGTTTTGCTCTCACCATTTACTGGCATTTGTCTCTCAAGGGACGTACAAGTCGTGGTCATAAATCTACAGAATTTACATTTTTTGATAACTCATTATTGAAGAAAAAATATTTTCTAATGTTTTTTCTTCTAAAGATCGTAATGGTAAGAGCAAACAGTTGCTTGAACGGCCTGCAGTAGTTAGGTCTAACTTTAAGACAATCTTAGTCTTTGTGAAACACTCCCAAGTGTTAAAATCTCTGAGCTTACTTTGAGCTGGCAGTATTTAGAGTTGGTCATGTAGTACCACATTTGAAAACACTGCCCATCTCCTGTGGTAGCTGGGAGGGGACCGCTGTCTACTATCGCAACATCTGTGTTCGATGAAAGGTCTGTCATATCAGCAAAGAAGACATGGCCTGCAGAGAAAGAGAGAGAGAATTAAATTGATTCTTTTAATGACTATGAAATAAATGATGACGAAATACATGATGATGAAATAAATGATGATGAAAAAATAGTAATAATAAAAGAAAATATGATGATAATAATAATAACAATAATATTAGTGCTACTAGTAATAATACTACTACTTATAATTATAGTAACAATAATGACAATAATTATAATAAATAGTTTAATCTGATTATAATAAATACAAATTAACACAATAAAATACAACACATGGATTTACAATACACTGTAAAACCAGCAAATTTCTTACATTTCAGTGATGGAAGTTAGAATCATAAGAACGTGTATGAAAATTATGGACATTTGGCAGTATGACAGTATTTATCAAGTATTTGTTATAAATAACTTCAATTTCAATTCAAATTTCTTTTCAATTTTCAATTTGTTCATGTTTCCAACAAAACATTACAAATCATTTATAACCATTTACACAAAATGTAGAAATGCATGTTGGAAACAGAGGGTTCCACTAAAAAGCAATGCTTGTACAAGTGTGAAAGCCTCAAATGATACTTAGGAATAATGAGTAATTAAATTAACAATTACCATATTCAGTTCGATAGGTGTTGTCTATGGCAGGGGCAGCTGATTGTGAGTCTGCTTGAATGACTTCCCAGTCAAACTGATCAGGACTCGTCTGACTGTAGTAGCATTCTCCGTTCTCAAAATCACATACATCTGTAGAAGAGAAAGATATTGGTATTAAAGCCCCACTTGTAAAGCTACTTATGCCCTCTATATAGAAAACAGTGCCTAATTGGTGCCTGTTGGTCCCCCATGATCCCCTTTTTTTATGTTAATTGAGAGCTTATTAGATGAGATAACCACCTGTCAGTGACATTGCAGGGTGGTCTAATCCCCCTGGCCAAACTAGTACAGACAGGCCTTAAAGAATAACAATAAATAACAATTCTTCTATTAATTTGATGTTATCGCCTGTTTGGAGTCGGAAGGGCGTTAACCTTAGGTTGAAGTATATGGTTAATGCCCTTCTGGCTCAAAACAGACGATATACTTCATTTCATTTGCACATTATAACTTCTAGTCTGAATATAGTAGTGTTTTCCATTGTAAAAATTACATACACATCTTAGAGAGAATAAAATATTGCATCAGAGACTAACAATAAACGTATCGTTTGTTTGCAGCCAGAAGGAAATGTATTGATTGTAAAAGTCACGAGTTAAAGCCTCCAAAAAATAGACAAGTATTATCAGGTCAAGAAATTGTTCAACTTTTAATCTGACTATAGCAACGTTCACTATTCTCAAAATCACATACATCTGGGGGAGAAGAAGATATTCGATTTAAGAATAACAACTACTAACCATTATTATATTACTTTGATGATATACTTCAATCTTCCACCAAATTGTTTCTTGCAAAGAATAAACTACATCACCTAAATTTATCTCAAAACTGTGCGATGCAAATCTTGACGCGATTCCGAAACCTCTTAACAGAACTGAAGCGGTGTAGCTACTACACACCTGGGCCTCGTGTTACAAAGAGTTACGATTGATCCAAATCAATCGTAAGTCCTCCAATCAATTGTAAGTTTGCAGTCTCCTATCTCTTATGTACATAGTTGCAATTTAATTCAATCGCAAATAACTTGCGATTGATATCAACTCTTTGTAAGATGGGGCCTAGGGGTTAATAAATACCCAATATTGTTGAATTAATTCATGTACTACTACAGTGATACTTAAACGTAATGATTGCAGAAAAACAGCATCTTTTAGAAAATCCTTCAAAGATCTGTAAATTGGCAACTCTTTATTACTGAATTGTTTAATTCCCATTGGCTTCTTATAGGAGCCACTCGGTTCCACGAGTCAATGGGTTGATACTCACTTGGAGTAGGGCAGGAACCAGGATGGAAGGTTATGTCATCTAAGGCGATGTCACCACTAAAACCATTTCCACGAACTCCTTCAAAGATTATCTGAAAATCAAGAAAACAAGAGCGTGATTGAGGGTGTTGCAAAACTGAAAGGCGTCTAATATTCTGGACAGAATCTATAAAAACAAATATTTTTACATCTGTGAACACTGAATACAAAATGTAGGCCTACATGTGTTAAACGAAAGCAATTTAAGGAAATTTCTTACCAGGGAGGTGTTTCATAAAGATTCTAAGTTGGACTTAACAATTATGGAAAGCCGTTAGCATATATGAAAATATTTTGTAAAAGTTATTTCAAAAGGCATAAAATGTTGATTTAAATCATTGATATTTCCTATTATCCAAGGAGATGTTATTGATGTGGAATTTATAAAAAGTCTAAAATACTTAAATTTTCACTTCTGAATATACTTTATTTTAAGGCTACCAATGGCTCTCCATAATTTCAAGTCCAACTTAAAATTTATTTCGACTAAGGATCTTTGTGAAACAACCCCAGGTACCTTACCTTACCTAGGTTGAGTGTTGTGAATGTAAATGTACATGCTGCATGTTTGTTAGCGCTGTGGCAGAGATCGGTCGATCAAGCTCACTATCCATAATGCGGAACAAAATGAATAGCAATCTTTTATGAATAGCGGTCCTTATAAATAGCAAGCTGAACCCGCAGGGATTCGAACTCCATACCGTGAAGTTTACAAACCACAATTTCAGGGACTTATCAACTGGACGAAAACACCTCCACAATATCTCGATTTGTGCTCCGGATGCATCTTTATGAGCCAATGTATTTCATTAAAGCCTATCTGCACTAGTCTGGACAGGAGGGATTCACTTCCATGCATGGTCAGTGATAGGTGGTTATCTCATCAAATCAGCTCTCAATTAACATAAGAAAAAGAGAATCATGGGGGACTAACAAGCACCGATTGGGTAAGTTTTCTATATAGAGGGAGCAAGTAGCTACAAGTAGTACAGTGGGGCTCTAAAGCATATCTGCACTAGTTTGGCCAGGAGGGATTAGACCTCCATGCATGGTCACCGACAGGTGGTTAACCCATCAAATCAGCTCCGAGTCTCAATTAACATAAGAAAAAGGGGATCATGGGGGACAAACGGGTACTGATTGTTTGCTATATAGAGGGCGCAAGTAGCTATAAGTAGTGCAGTAGGGCAAGTCCCTAATAAACTTCAACTCACATGATACGAGCCTGTATCTGTAAAGTGAATATGGACTTGGTTCCATCCAAAACACCTCCACAATTTTTTACAATCTCTCAATTTTTGTTCGGGACGCATCTTTAAGGGCCAGTACATTTCATTAAACTACCTAATAAAGTGGACCGTAAATTTCAATTAACTCACATAATATGAGCCTGTTTCTGTGAAGTGAAGATGGACTTGGTTCCATCCTGGTCCTCTGGGCTCTGTCTCCTGCCACACCGGCAGCTCAAGACCCTCTCTTTCCTCATAGACTGTGAAGGCGCCCATCTGATCTCCATACATCTGGAACCAAAACTCCATACAGTACCCGGCCACATCGACATTGTTCAACAGCTCAGAGTCTAATCGGGCAACATCACCGCTTCCCTCGCCAGACATCTCAGTATAGACGTAAAAACCTGAAAAACAGAAAGATATATACCGCATCAGTAAATTGCTTTACAGATATATTATAACAACCGTCTGACATCAACATTTTTCAAGAGCCCAGAGTCTAATCGGGCAAAATCACCGCTTCTCTCGCCAGACATTTCAGTATAGATGTAAAAACCTGAAAATAGAAAGATATAAACTGCATCAGTGTCTAATCGGGCAACATCACCACTCCTCTCACCAGACATTTCAGTAAAGACGTAAAAACCTGAAAAACAGAAAGATATATTATACCGCATCAGTAAAATTGCTTTACAGATATATATTACCGCCTCCATGGATTCAAGCTTGCATCTTTTAAGTAGTCACTTGAAGAATCTTTGCTTCATAATGAATATATGCATGACTGTTACATAATGAGCTCACACGTTATGTTCAAATTAAGAGTGCTGTTTTCAACCTCATCTCCTAAAATCATATTATTTGACCTCGAAATTATTTCTACAACATGCCCATACCTGTTTGATCCCCTTTGGTGTGGTCCGAACTGGGTCCTGTTCCTACACTGCCTGTAGATCCAGAGGCTCTGGTCCAGTCGAAGTCATTATTGATATCATGTGTCCAGTTGCAGAAGCCATTCTCAAAGTCACAATTGTGTGTGTCTGGTACTGTAGTGGAAAAGAGGAATGAACATAGATTCGTCCTCGTGGTAATATTTAGCTCTCATACCATAAATAATGCATGCAGGAAAAGATTGAATGTCATTGTATATATAATCTTTATAGCTCTGTTCATGACAGAAAAAATTACCATAGTACGTAGAACATAGGAATTAATTTGGTAATATCTGTACTTAATTATTTCTAATTTGCTAATATTATTTTCAGGAATTTCATTTAATTGATTTTGTGCTTTTGCTAGCTCTTTTCTTTCACCGAGAATGAATGTTGTAGGATTGATTCTAGGGTCTTTGGGCTTTAAATTGAAAAGTGTTACATGGGTGGCAGGAGAGGGATCCAAGAAGCGTTACACTTCTCTCACTATCCTGTTTTTAGTTTGCCTGATTAGACTTGTGGGGAGATTCAATGACATTTTGAACAGTTAAACTCTTGGCAGTGGTAGGTAAAAGTAAAGTAATGTAAAGTTGTGCTACACAACATTGCCAACTCCTCGCATGGTTGATTGAAGGGTGTTTCTGCACTAATTTTTACTACACTGGTGTCAGCGGTGGGATGTGAGAAGTGTTACATTTCTTTCACTAGCCGTTTTGTTTGACTGAGCTTTAATTTGAAATGTACATATGCACAGGTGGTAGCAGTACATGTAGGTAAAAAGTAAAAACTTACAGGATGTTTTAAGATTGGTTGTGGTTTGATTAAGTGTTACTGTCACACTGATTGCGGGATGGGACCAACCTGGTGGGTTGTACCCCCTGCCCCCAATCCCTGGATCTTGCCCCCACAGTAACAAAACACTCTAAAACTTGGCATGTATGTGTAGATAGGGAATCTTCTAATTAATAAACCCAAGAAGTAGTAGGTAAAATGAAAGTTATGTAACGTTGTGTTACACAACAGTATATAGTCACGTGATGGCTCAGTGGTATCTGGTCCCTGGTTTGAAACCACATGATGCGCTAGTGCTCTTTAGGAAGTCCCTAGGAGAGGACTTAAAGCCATCAGTCAACTGGTTGCTTACTTACAAGCATGCCAGTATATGCTTCCTTAGCAGTCAGGTAAAAACAAACAAACAAACTTACATGATGTTGGTGGAGGTGCAGGTTGGGTAGGTATCTCGATGGGGATAGAGCAGATGGAAGGATGCAGAAACATGTCGTCCAGAGAAACATCACTGGTGTAGTTGTACCCGACTACACCCTCAAAGATCACCTGAAACACAAACATCAAATAACATCAGAGATATAAGAAGCATCAATGATGAGACAAGCATTATAAGACTCTACTTAAAGGGACTTGGTATTAAACATTGTTAAGATGAGAGAAAATGGTGCTAAGGTAGTAACTTCATTGCAAGATGTACAATTAAAGACAATATTAAAGTTTGAATGAAAACAGACTATTATATTGATGAAAAAATTGGGACAAATCTATCTGATCAATTCATTGATTCTCTCAACTACATCATCACAATTTAATTACATTTAAGGTAACCGTAAATTGTCACAAAGCAATGAATTGGCTCTATATACCATTCCAGATATTTAGGTGTTGAGAGAATTTCAAAGCCTGTTTTATGTATTAAAAAACATTTTTTTAAACACTGTTTGACAAAAGTTGATTAAAATACTTAAATGTTATCTTGCCAAAGCCAACGGCTGTCATGTGCCCCCCCCCCACCCCCCGGGCTGCCATCGCCTCAAGCTTTCATGCTTATGATAGTAGGCTACTGCATATATCTGGATTCTTCGATTTACCTCTATAATTTCAAGTTTTCAATAATATCCATTAATTCTTTTGTAATTAATCAGTTGTCACCTTTATTTATTTCAATCAATTATAGTATATATAATCATTGTTTTTTGGAATATTTGGTATTTGATTTTTCCATAAATGCAGAAACATTTGCTTTAACAAAGATCATTCGTACCCAGAATGTTGAGATTGCGTCCACATTGACCTTGGCCTGAAGCCAGATGTCACCATGATTCTTGCTCTGTGTGAAGACTAGTTTAGGGGCCGTGTTTTCAGTGGCAGTGTAAACGTTCAAATCACCCATTCCAGCTCCATACATGTGATACCAAAAATCCATACAACGTCCTGCAAAGAAATAAGAAGATATTATTATTATCATTATTTATTTTGCGATAAAAATTAGAAATTCACAGTATATACAAAGTCAACATAGTAAATATAATTATCTTAGAAAGAATAGGGAAAGAGAAGCAAATGAGAAGCAAGGAGGAAAGAAAAACTGGTTACCTATGGGCCAGGGTTTACAAAAGTGAAATGCTTCACTGTTACCCAGAGGACCGTCGCATGCCTCTGGGCAATTAACAGTGAAGCATTTCACTTTTGCAAAACCAACTTAATATCAGGGTGGTCTTCCCCTTTGAAATTATAATAGTTGCTGTATGTTGCTAGAAGTGTTTTTATTTACATAAATGTACTCCAGCAAATTAGCTGCTCTTTATTTACATACTAAGAGCAGTACAATAATAATAATAGTGGAGTCTTATATAGCGCTCATGTCTGGCACATTGCCACTCCTGGCTTACTATTATTTTCACCCTGGCTTTAGCACGGCTGCCGTTACGGCGCTCAAGCATTTAAAGGAACTAATCCCTGCCAGGTATCCATTTACCTCACCTGGGTAGAGTGTGGCAACTATAGATTAACGTCTTGCCAAAGGACAATAGTGCTGTGCCAGGGATTTGAACCCGTACCTTGTGGTTCACAGTCCAGAGACTTTATCCACTGGACCACAACAACTGAAGAAAACAAAATTGTTTCAAACTTCACAGGAAATAGAATTTCAGAATATATATGTTGAGCCTACCTCCGGTTGCAGGGAAGTGTTCACTGAGTAGCCATGACTTGCTTCCTGCTGTACGGAATGACCCCTCTATGAAGACATAGTGACCTGCAGAAAGGAGGAAACCGTGATCAATACTGGTATTAGCAGTTATGACAGGTTCAGTGACCCAATCAGAATTATACATCAAGTGTCTCTCTAAGAACCTCGGTCTTGAACCATCCATTTCAGCATTTCATATCCTGTTGCTCCACATTCTGTGATTAAATCATCTAGAAAGCCTTTACAAGGTATTACCCTCTTCTAGTGATGATTTTAAAAAAGGAAAGTGATCAAGTTCCTAGGATGGGCTCAAAACCATGTCACAGACTTTGCCAAATTGAATTGAAGAGGACATCATTTAGACCTTCTTCATATATGTTCATGACATTTGTGGTCCTTCTTTCCCTCTTGTGTCATCCACTTCCAGATTCCATGATCTTTTACTGGTTCATCATCTTCCCTTCACAACATTTGACCCATACATCTCAGTCCACTTTTCTTCACCACTTCCACCACAGTTTCTTCCTGACCCAACCTTGACATGACCTCCCTTGTGTATAGAACCGAAATATTGTAAACAAAAATTTTGAGATAATTCTTCCCCCAAGAATGACTGAGGAAATCTTATTTCTTTCAAGCCTATCTGTACTATTTTAGCCAGGAGGGATTAGACCTCCCTGCATGGTCACTGACAGGTGCATGGCTATCTTGATCAAATCAGCTCTCAATTAACATAAGAAAGGGGGGACCAGGGGACCAACCCAAGCCATATCTGAACTTGCTCCTTTAACTTTTACATAATCCTTAATGATCACCGATTAGGCATTCTTTGCTATATAGAGGGCGCAAGTAGCTCTAAGAAGTGCAGTGGGGCTTTAAATCATCAGGAAAAGGAGATGTAAGTGTTACAAAATCTCACCATATCCAGTCTGTAATGTATGATCAATGCTTGGTCCTGTGTAACCAGACGACGTCGTGTAGCTCCCTCGTATCCAGTCAAAGTCATCGTTCTGGTAGTCGTTGACGTAGCCGCACATGTCGTACTCAAAGGTGCAGGTGCCCTCTTCGAGGCAGAACCTGTCGTCGATGTTGACGTCGTCGATGGCCATGTGGCTGCCGGTGGATGGGCCTGTTGATGTGAGCTCAATGTAAATCTGTGGAATATAGAAATCAAGATGATTGTGTTAGCCTGATATGTTTAAGTTTTGCTACAAACATTTAAAGGGACTTAGTAACATTGTTTAGATGAGAGAGAATGGTGCTCCAATGCTAGATGTACAATTAAAGATAATCTGAAAGTTTGAGTGAAAACAAACCATTATTAACAATAAAAATTGGGAAAAACTGATCTGATCGATTCCTTAATTCTCAATGTAAATCTGTGGAATATAATAATAATAATAATAGCTCACATTTATAATGCGCCTAATACTTTGTTTCTAGGCGAGGAACATATTATTACCCCGGCCATCGGATTCAGGCTTACCCGCAACACAATGTATGCACATGTTCCACTCCCTGGGAAGCATTCCAGCTAGTCGCCATTTTACAAGCGCCACTTGCTAATCCAACCACATTAACTTTCGCATCCTACCGGGTACCCATTTTAACACCTGAGTGGAGAGTGGCAAATGTAGATCAATGTCTTGCCAAAGGACATTAGTGCCGCGGCGGGACTTGAACCGCGGACCTTGTGATCCACAGTCCGGTGACATATCCACTCGACCACGACACCTCTACATATAAAATATATATAATATAATCACATTAATATTCATTTGTAAAGCGCAATAACTAAGTGGATATATTCTATTGCGCTCTTTGTAAATGCTGTGCTATATATACCATATGAACAAGTGAGTTTTAAGTCTTGATTTTAAATTATCTAATGATGGGGCTTTCCACTACGGGCAGTAAAAAGAAATGACCGGTCTCCGAGGGTTACTTGATAGAAATCAAGATGACTGTGTTCGCCTGATATGTGTAGGTTTGCTACAAACAAATCATCTGTTAAGAGCCACCATCATCAACAGCACGACACCACTAGCGGATATATGCCCATTTAAGCGAACTCAATTTAAATGTATCGCTTTAGTATGGCTGCTATGATTATTTCGAGGAATTAAATCCTGTTAGGTGCAAACCATGTGATCCACTGTCCGGTGACATATCCACTAGATCATGAGACCTCCACTCAAATGACCATTAATATCCCCTGCTGCAGCTTGAACTTTACAGATCAGGGGAGTGTTTCAAAAAGACTAAAATCGAGTTTAAGTCGGACTTAACTATAGCAGGCCATTCATGCCACTGGTTGCTCTCACCATTATGATCTTTAGATACTATTTTTTCCCTTTAATTATGAACTATAAAAAAAAAGTAAATTCTGTAGATTTGTCACCAAGATTGGTAGGTCTCTTGAGAAACCAATGCCATTAAATGATGAGAAAAAAATAGTGGCATGAACGGCCTGCCATAGTTAAGTCCAACTTAAAGTCTATCTCAGTCTTTGTGAAACACTTCCCAGATTCCTTTTCCCTTCAGTAAAAAGAATTGAAAGAGAGAATCTTACCTTGTAGCTTTTCTCTGGGTCAGGAATCACTTCCACCTGTGCTAGCATCCACCTGTCACCCTGGTTACCGGTCTTGGTCAAGCTAGGACTAACAAACAGGTCCCCATCATCCTGTCTATAGACTGAAAGAGTTCCAGGACCGGATCCACTCATGTGATAGTAGAACGACACGCATCTAGGACCAGTGTGGGCATAGTCCTGGCTCTGTAAGATTCCGGTGGTACCAGCGAAATGTGTGCTGGTGTCCACATAGAGATAATGGCCTGAAGGGATGAAAAAATAGACACATATTTTACTAGAGGGTTTCCTCTTTCTCTTTCTTCTTCACCTGTCTCTTCCTATTTCCCTGCCTATCTTTCTCTCTCTCTCTCTCTCTCTCTCTTTCTCTCTCTCTCTCTCCCTCTCTCTCTCTCTCTCTCTCTTTCTCTCTCTCTCTCTCTCCTCTTTCTCTCTCTTTCTCTCTCCCTCTCTCTCTTTTTTTCTCTCTCTCTCTCTCTTTCTCTCTCTTTCTCTCTCTTTCTCTCTCTTTCTCTCTCTTTCTCTCTCTCTCCCTCTCTCTCTCTCTCTCTCTCTCTCTCTCCTCTTTCACAGATGCCTCTTTGCTTTTTCCTTTGCCACCTTCTGCCTCCCCTATATAAACTCATTATTATGTTTCTTTCTCCTCTATGACAACATTTTTCATACCGGTATAAATTAAGGTTGCAGTCTGGTATTGTTTTGTTGTTGTTGTTGTATACTTGTATATGTATTGGGTGTTTCGTTTTAACCTTACAACCTAACCTAACAATTAAAATCATTTAAATGAATTCAGGAGACTAGTGATAATATACACGATCATCAAGGTAGAAAAATCTTACTTACCTGAGCTTGTAAACGTTGTGTGATCTAGGATCGGTCCTACTCCTCCTGCACCAACTGCAGTACCCCATAACCAATCAAAATCATCGATACCATCACCCAGGTTCACCCAGTCACAGAAACCAAGCTCAAAGTCACATTCCACTGAAGATACACAGAAGACGTGAACAGTGTTAAAAATGATATAATAATAATATGGATATTTATATAGTGCCGGTATCCGCCAGGCTCTGACGCTCATGGCGCTTTACACATATTACCCTGGTTGTAGCCGAGCTGCCAAAGTAACTCAAGTATATCAGGTACCTATTTACACCTGGGTGGAGAGTGGCAAATGTAGATTATTGTCTTGCCAAAGGACATTAGTGCCGCGACGGGACTTGAACCCCGTACCTTTTGACCTGCAGTCGGGTGACTTATCCGCTAGACCAAAACACCTCTATATTATCAGATCACATTCTCATTTCTGGACAGACATTCTCGTGATTTATAGGGTATTTAGCGGAGCTATGCCTTTCAAGCCACACTGCATTTGTAGATTCCTTTTTCCTTATCTCTATCAATATTTATAAGACATAACATTATATTGCATTATGTCATTTCTATACGAGAATGAATATCGTAGTTGAAAATGAAATTTTATTGAAAATTGACATTCCCTAAGCAAGAAACGTTCTCAAATTGCACAATCAAGTGTTAAGTCAGTTATAGTTCCATTTCTTTGCTGCATGAATTGTCATCAATTTGAACTCAAGAAATTTTCCAGGAGATTTCATGCATGCGAAATTTGTAATCTTACAGTATTTTGTACATTCTACAACGACTGTCCTGGACAAGAACCCTCTGTAAACGGTGTGGTAAAGTATTTTGTACACTTTATTTGAACTGACAATTAAAGATTGTATTTTTGAGCTTCAAAATTAAAAATAATCATGTCGAGGGTCAGTGACACAAAGACGTAACTTAATTTTGGCCATTTTGAGAAAAAGGGGTTTATGTGTCACTGAGCACTTGGACCTTAAGGAGTTAAGTCTATGTTTCATTAGCTATTGAATTCAATGGGGTGTTGGGTGGAGTTAAGTCTTTGTGTTTCCTGGAAAGCCCACATTGTTCAAAACATTTTGATATCAAATACTTTGGCAGAAAATGGAATTACATCTTTGTGTCACTGAACCCTTGATATCATAAATTACAAACCTGATCCTGGACAGACTCCCTCTGTAAATAAGATGTCGTCAATAGAGATGTCTCCATACCAGCCGCCTGCCCTTACAGCCTCTAGGACAAGTTCATAGTTTGAGGTCGTTGCTATGTTCCTCTGGCCAGGCAGCCAGGCATTTGCTTGGTTTCCTTGCTTGGTCCAGACCTACATGAATGAGAAATTAGACACTTCAACATAGAACAAGGAAACACCAGAGACTTGTTTCTCAAGGCCTTTTTTTTCATTGACAAATGACAAAAATCAGTTTACTAATCTGCTGATAACCAATCAGAAATAAGGATTTCACTAGCTTATAACAAAAATTGTAATTTTTCACTAGTGACAAGGTTTGTGAAATAGGCCCGTGGGTAATTTTACAAATGTGTACTATAATTCCATTCTTCTAACACAAGCTTTACAATTGTTCTCTCTCATATTTTATGGGTTTTATCGCATGAACCACAATTGACTACTGAACCTGCAAACATGTGTAAGTCGTATAATATCTATTATTTGAAATCAATGGGAGCAAGTATATATAAGTAGATTGCATCATTCTTAATAGGTAAAAAATTAGATATTTTATTAGGCTGGGGACTGCCTCGACAGAACGTTTATTTGGTTCTTTTGCAATTTTTTGTTTCTTGTTCATTATCTATTTCTTTGCTGTAGACATGTTCTTTTTTTTTTACTCTTGTCTTCACTTTTCTTTTTTAATTTTGTGTTTTAACTTCAATGTATACTGTGCATCCTACATGTAATTATGTTCTCAATGTACAATGTGTTTCCAATCTACTTTTTAAATGGACTTGAATAAATTAAATTGAATTGAATTGAATTGAATTGAATTGAATTGCATGAAGTGTACTCCTGTGTAATGTATAAACGACAACAACAATGCTACTTCTACTGCTATTGCTCATTCATATACTACTACTACTACTAATACTAATACTGATGGTGAACATATTTTAGCTTGTATGTGTATATAGCATAAGTAACTAGAATATAGAAAGTCCCTATTTGCCTAGGGAAATTGTTATAAGAGAAATATCAGGATAGAAAATAATATGTATGCCTAGTATGTTTAATATAACATAACATTCACACTAAACTGAACAAAATGTCATCAGCATGGTTTAAATACTAAAAAATGAGTTATGTGACACATCTAAAAACTGATTGTTATAAAAAAAATTGGATGTATCATAAATCTCATTTCTTATCTCCAGACACATTACAATTACATACAACTTGTAATCAAAGGCATTATGAAAGAGGAGGATGCATTTTGTGCAGGTTTCTGTATACTTTTTATACTTAAAGATAAGCTTGAGTTCTGGTAATGATAGAAAATAAATTCTCACAGAATCCAACAAAACTTATACTGATTGTTACAACTAAATGACATGGGCCGAACGATTTTGGTAGAAAATGTATAGGGGCTCAGTAATGAGCATAGACGTAAATCAAGGAATAATTAGGGTTAGAACATATTAACCATAACCCTAACCATATAGACTAGCCCGACACCATGTGCTTAAAACAGGTCACTATTTGCAAATGAGACTTATGGTTTTTATTGAAGGTGATCTCCAGCAAATTTTTGTGAGTGTTTTTATTTTTTATTGTACTAGTTCAAACAATCAATCTACTGCAAGATACACGATTGAGAACGAGTTAGAGCCATGCTCTCTCAACATACGCTTCCCAAACCAGGGCCCCGTCTTACACAGAGTTGATATCAATTGCAACTCATTTGCAACTGCTATCAATCGCAATTATGTACAAAAGAGATAGGAGACTGCAAACTTGCGATTGAATGAAGACTTGCAATTGATTTGGATCAATTGTAAGTCTTTGTAAGACTGAACCCAGAGCTCAAGATTAGCTTTAATATTATTACTTACCACGCCTTCATTTTGCCTGTCTGTATCTCTCTGGATCACGTTGAACAGACCGATGGATAACGCACATACCTTTAATATTATTACTTACCACCACTTCATTTTGGCCATCTGTATCTCTCTGGATCACATTGAACGGACCGATGGATGACCCATATACCTTTAATATTATTACTTACCACCACTTCATTTTGCCCGTCTGTATCTGTCTGGATCACATTGAACGGACCGATGGATGACCCACATACCTTTAATGTTATTACTTACCACCACTTCATTTTGACCGTCTGTATCTCTTTGGATCACATTGAACGGACCTTTAATATTATTACTTACCACCACTTCATTTTGACCGTCTGCATCTCTCTGGATCACATTGAACGGACCGATGGATGACCCATACATATGGTACCAGAAAGAGAAGCAGTATGGCTGATTCTGAGTCGACCTGAGGGGGCCAGACAGTAAACGAACAAAGTCTCCATTCTTTGCAGGTGTCGAGGTTTCTAGGTACGCATAGTAACCTAAGAAAAGACAATTGATCAATTGATTGACCTGATGAGAACAAAGCATTCACCCTGTACATTTCTCACGTTAACCTCTCTAGATCCACTGTAGTCAATTGTAATAAAAACAATTTTTCAAGAGTCAAAACATTTTTGGATAAAATGTTATTCTGTCTTTCGAGCCATATCATTTCGTCTCGTATAATGTATGCTATTATTTCTTCACTTTTAATTTTTGTTCGAGGAAAGGGGGGGGGGGGGGGTTGCAGGGTAAATTCTTCATCCGGCGGCCAATCTTTCATAAGGTCAAATTGGCTATAATCATTATAACTATTTATTCATTTTCCATAGGACTCTGCTAATTTTTTGTAAAAAATGTCAATCCCGAAAAGGTTTTACTTTCTTTTTTTCCAACAAAATCCTCCAGTTTCAAGTGGTTTGCCTGCACAACCCCAATTGAATATATCGGGATGAGAGACCCTAGAGTTACAGTGATTCGATCAGTTGCATAACGTGAAGCACCAGGAGTTTCAAGTCTGACAAACATGAACGCTATACAAGAACCCAATATCATTATTATTATTATCATTACTATTATTTCGCCTCTCAGCCACATGCGACGCGACAAACTTAAATAATTAATAACCTGTTCCATCCGTGTGGTCAGACTGTGGTCCAGTGTAGCTTGATGATGTTTTCCCTTTACGTAATGTCCAGTCAAATGTGTCCGAGCCATTAGCCTGGGTCCAGCCACATAGAGTCCCTTCAGATGTTCCTGGTCCAAAGTCACATGTCAACTCTACAGGAAAATACAGAATATAGAGAGAGGTATGTAACAGTTATATTTTGGAATATTTACCATTTACTTTATTTAACGGTTTCACATTTAATTTGTCATACTCTATGCTTTACATCTCTTTTGCATCTCTTTTGCATCTCTTTTGCATCTCTTTTACATCTCTTTTACATCTCTTTTACATCTCTTTTGCATCTCTTGTGCATCTCTTTTACATTTCTTTTACATCTCTTTTACATCTCTTTTGCATCTCTTGTGCATCTCTTTTACATCTCTTTTACATCTCTTTTGCATCTCTTGTGCATCTCTTTTACATCTCTTTTACATCTCTTTTACATCTCTTTTGCATCTCTTTTACATCTCTTTTGCATGTCTTTTTACATCTCTTTTACATTTCAGCTCCTGACCTTTATCCCACCGCTGCCACCACTGTCATTTTTTTTTTTAAATTATCTATGCTAATAATGATAGTAATGTTTTATTAGGGATCAATACTAATGTTTAATGGTAAGTGCTGTACTATTATTCCCCTGGCTATAGCTGAGCTGACCTGGGTAGAGAGTGGCAAATATAGATTAAAGAGATACTGAACTGATGACATTTCTGCTCTAGCGTACTGTTTATTGCACAGTGCCATCTCATAGTCAACTTGCCAACAGTGCATAACCCAATACCTAATTCCCACTCCACAGAAAGAGGATTTCATGCAAGAACCAACAGCGCAGCCAGGGATGCAGCGAGTTACAGGACCATACTGCTACAGTTGACCCGAGATGGCGCTAGGGGGTTTTGCGGTAGTGCATAATGTCATAATTGGAGGGCTTTGAGCATCTTGCATGGTGAATATCTACCTATCTCTATCTATGTACCATAGCTTGGGGCGATGATGAAATGGACCTTAGTGCATAGCTTCTCCATAACTTTCTGCCTACAGCTGTTCTAGTTAGCTACTCTAATGACACTCCCCGTCCACTGTTTGATGTTATTAGTCCAAGTCCTAGTTGGTCTATATATACAGTCAGCCAATATTATACAAACCATGAAGTGTTTGATTTCATCTTGGGAAAACAAAGTTTAAGTCTGTATTCTCACTTAGTTAATTCATATTCCGACATTAATATTTGCTATCTATCACAATAATATTCCAAAGCTCTTTGCAAGCGCATAAGGAAGTTTTACTGTCCTTTGGCAAGACAATAATCTACATTTGCCACACTCGACTCAGATGAGGTAAATGGGTATCTGGTACGATTATTCCTTGAAATGCACTGTGCGCTGATATCGGCAGCCGGAGCTAAAGCCAGGGAAATAATTTCCAAAGCTCTTTGTGATATGCGCTATACAAGAACCGAATATTATAATTATTATCATAATTTAATATGCATTACACTAGAAAAAAAATATTATTATTATCAAATCTGACTAATTCTTTACCTGATGACTTGTCACAGTTGATAAACTTGATATCATCTAGTGCAATATCAGTAGTATCCTGTGTGTTGTCAAAACCGATTCCAGGCGAGGCTTCCATTCGAACCTTCAAAGAAAATTCAGAGCAAATTCAGAATGTTAAATTGGTAAATTCACATGAGTTGAGGATGAGCGATCAAGGATCCAAAAGACTTTCAAACCTCTGAAAAATCTCTGAAAATAGAAACAACACAACATATCTTGCACTATTCAAATTCCCTGCAATCATTTCACAATCTGATAACTTGATTGTAAAATACCCAATTAGTATGTGTAAAATCTATACAATCTGATGAACTTGATTAATTATTATCTTTGATCACAGGTAAATTCTGTTGATTTGTGACCATGATTTGTATGTCTCTTGATAAACCAATGACAGGAATGGTTAAGAGGAACTAGTGGCATGAACGGCCTGCCATAGTTAAGTCAAACTTAAAGTCGATCTTAGTCTTTGTGAAACACCCCCCTGGCCTGTACTTACATAGTACTGTCCTGCGTACTGTGGTCCTACTAGGAGTGATCCTCGGTGCCAGGTCGAGCCCTGATCTCCAGTCATGATCCAGGATGAGTCGGGAAGGTTGTTAACATAGAGGATAGAGGTCAGTGAACCTGCATCACCAAGCATGTGATAATAAAACTCCATCTCACAACTATAATGGTGGAAAGTGAGGAAATGAGAGAATCATGGTGTTGAAGACACATTGCAGAGTGAAATAAAATGGAAATATTACATTTATTGTTAAATGAATTTTGTCCTAGAAGAAAAATACCTCTATGTTGTATGTCCATTGTTGCTGAGGAAGATTGACTTTATGTTAAGTCCTCAACATTCTGTATTAAGCACTATAAAAGCGCTTTACATATATATTATCACCCCGATCATAGGACTCAGGCCTGTCAGACACAATGTATGCACATTCTCCACTCCCTGGGGACCATTCCAGCCAGTCGCCATTTTACAGACGATCACAATGCTGAGAAAAATACATTAACTTGACATTTGCATCCTACTGGGTACCTATTTACGTGGTTCAAATCCCAGCCCAGCACTAAAGTCATTTTGCAAATGTAGATTAAACGTCTTGCCAAAAGAATTTAGTGCTGGGCTGGGATTTGAAGCACATATCTTGTGATCTACAGTCCGGTGACTTATACTCTAGAGCACAATACCTCTACAAGTTCAGTTTATTTTCAATATTAGTTTTCGTTTCCAACAAAACAGTAATTTTGACAATAAATCAGATAAACAATTCAATATTTTATAATATAATACATTTTGTATGGTTTAAAGTTATAAAAAAGAAAGTATACATAAATAATAGTTATAAAGCTTTGTCCTAAAAAACCAACGGTTACTCTTACCTTGAGCCAGAGCTTCCAAGGACCAGAGGGCTGAGTAAGAGAGCGGTCATCCCATACGTTCCAAATGTACTGTCTACAAACATGTAGTGGCCCGACCCGAGGTTTAGGGTATGGTCAGCGGCTGGACCGCGTCCAGTGGGGGCGCTGCTCGCCTGGATCCAGGTCCATAGGTAGAGTCCGTTGGGGATACTAGACCAACCACAGCTGTCAGTCTCAAAGTCGCAGTTACCTGACAGGGATGCAATGACAGTTTTAACAGTTGTATCCCACTCCTGACATTGAGTATATTAACCCTTGGACTACTGGACCTCATTCATTCCCATAGGATTAATACATTTACCACCCTGCTCCTGTTAGAAAGGGGTTAATATATACGACTTTTAAATTATACTAAAAATTGTAGGTATAGAATGTAAAAAATCTTCGTTAAGCTAATGAATAAGTCCTCCTTAAAATGCTTGGACCATAGTTATCTAGCAGAGATCATAAAGTGTGAGGCATTGTATCCTACTCCAGTCACCCCCATTGCACGATGTTTGACAATATTGTCCTTTATTACATGTACCATTCAAACCTTTTATACAAATCTATATCGATCTATGAACCTGAATAGATAAATGGACCAATTAAGTGAAAATGATTTGATTTAACCATCACAATTTCAAGATAATAGCCCCTATCAAATTTGGTTTGCCTCAAATGCCAACAAAGATCTTTCCTTGACTCTTAGGCCTACAAGAAAGAAAGAAATTGGCGTTACACAGAATCATACTTATATGCAACTCACCACAATTGGCCTCATCTTCCGATTCACTGCAGTCTGTATTTCCATCGCACCTCTGCTCAAATTCCAAGCAGGTGCCATTGTTGCACTGGTAGGAGTCTGGTCCGCAGGTTGGAAGGTCACCAGGGTCTGCTGTAGGTGCCTTGGTCGTCATGGAGGGCAAAGGTATGTCACTGAACTGACATCCAGCAGAGAAACTTGTGTCATCGATGCCTATGTCTCCATATATACCATTGCCAGTGACAGCTTCAATTATAATCTGTGGCAAAATTTAGGTTTAGGTTTGATTTTGTTTGAACTATGAAGATGTGTATCGATCACCATTAATCCATTACCTATGGGAGACCAGAAGACCCAGTATAAAGGCTAAAGAATGAGCCTATCCAATAGCCAATGGGATAATAATGGTGAGCAGTGCACAGAGGCATTTGTTATAGTCTGCAATTAACCATCAACAGTCATCAATGTTTATCGTCACAGACTTTATACAATATATGACATACTATTTGAGTGCACTCTAGAATGCACAATTTCTCCATATATACCGGTATTACTTTTAATAATAGCTCACATTTATAACGTGCCTACTACTTTATTTCTAGGCGCAGTACATTTTGTTACCCTGGTCATCGGATTCATGCTTACCCGCACACAACGTGTGCACATTCTCCACTTCCTGGGGAGCATTATGTTGCTTGTGCTAGATTTGAATGAGGAGATTCAGCAGTAATAATAATAATAATAATAATAGTTCGTTCTTTTATAGTGCATTTCAGGACCGAAGGCCCTCTCAAAGCGCTTTACAATGTACAATGTACATTTACATAATTACTCAAAGCATTCATCAAAAAGGTGAGTTTTCAGCGCTCTCGCATGTACAATAGTTCGACATATTTTAATCCTGATTTTCAAACAAACAAACCTGGACTGGGGTTTTGAGATCCGTCACTTCAATGTCAGCTCTCAAGTAGTATTCACCGATCTCTCCTTGCCTGTTCCAGATCAGCGTCAGTGGGCCGTTGATGGTGTCTCTCGTGTAGACGTTCAGCTGGTTGATATCCACACCATACATGTAGTAGTAGAATCGCAAGAAGCACCCCGATGATAATATGGAATTGAGTGTCCTTGAGGCTAGACGTGCTCTGTCACCAGGGCTCGCATCGGTTGCTTCCATGTAGATGTAGTAACCTATAAATGGAAGAACAATTAACCCGTAAAATACTGAATTATGTTATGCCCGTAGACTCAATGCAGGATCTACCTGGTTCCCATGGGCAATGGGTTCAAGTCTATATCTATTCAATTGCCTTGGATCAAAACCCTAAACTGTTATATTGCCTACATTGTATTATACATGTTTACTGAATGAGTGAGAAGAGTCAACCTTGGCAGAACAGTCTTTGTTTAAATGGTTGACCAAAGCCAATAAAGAGTTATTTAATCTTATATTGATCCCTGTATTACCGAACCTATTGCCACCAGTTTGCAGATGAATGTGCTAACAGAGTGTGTGAACTTTCTTTGGAGGAAAACACAACTTGCCAATTATGGCACCATATAAATATCCATTGTCCATTGCTTTGCAAACAGGTATGGTTAGTCGATTGAGGCAAATGATCCATGTCAGTTTCATACGCTTACTTAATTATTAACTGCAACCTCGGACCCAACACTTACCCTAACCCTAAATCTAAATCTGAATAAATCCCAATTGCAAATTAACTGAACATTAACCCAATATATTCAACGAAATTAAGCTCAGAGCGACTGTCACCTAAGTAAATGTTGGATCAATATTGATTTGATTTGGCTGTTATTTGTAGGAAGATGTAGCCTATGATTGATACCTGATACTAATCCTGTAGTATGATCTCTGGATGGTCCTGTAAACGGTGTCCTTGTGAGTCCTGCAAAGTGTCTCCAGTCAAGCTCATCGGTGAGCAACTGACTCCAGGTACAGATGCCACTCTCAAAGTTGCAATTCTCGTAAGAACCTATATGGTCAAAGTATAAGGCGTTTACAAAAAGTTGTTGTATTGCCCTTTGTGACCGACCCAAAAATCTTAAAATCTGCGGTCGGCTTAAACAAATAAACAATGTATTAAAGCATTCAAAACTAAGGAATAAAGATCAGCCCAAAGAGGAAGGTTTCCGACCGACCGACCGACCCATATTTTGGCACCTAAATAAAGGGCAACTCAGCATCTTTTTTATTTAGGCCTAACAGCTACATTTATATTGCACACAAAAGTCATATCCATTGCAGGGGATGTTAAAGATTCCTACTGGATTTTTCCAGGCTGCCCAGTGGCGCTCAAAGCATTCAATAGATAAATTCCTACTAGGTACCCAGTTACTATACCCGGGTGGAGAGTGGCAAATGGATGTTAATGATTTGTCAAAGGGTGGGACTTGAACCTGAACCATGTGATCTGCAGTCTGGTGATAAACCAATGACACTATATATGTAAAGTCTATGTACAATCCTATTTCCTGATGAGCCATAACCAAGAAAGTAAGTAAATAAACAATATGGCTATTATGTTATTTTACATTACACTGAAACCTTTCAAAGCTGATAAATTATGCAGTCTGTTTGGAGTCAGAAAGGCGTTAACTCATATACTTTAAAACAGAGTTAATGCCCTTCTGGCTCTCAACAGACGATGTTTTCAAATTTTATGCTGACTCCAGAATAAAGATGATCCACATCTAATAACATCAAATCAAATCATGCTGGAGTTGTTGTACTCTGCAGTCTGGCATTTAATATTTAACTGTTGAGCTCATATATCAAAAGCATTTATGGTCTTATCTTTAAGCACTTCCAAACTTGGAGATTATTACCCCTGCTTTAGCTAAGCAGCCATTACGGCGCTCTAGCATTTCAAGGAATTGATTCCTGTCAGCTAGTACCTAATTACATCACCTGGGTGGAGTGTAAATGTAGATCAGTGTCTTGCCAAAGGACATTAGTGCCGCGGCGGGACTCGAAACACGGACCTTGTGATCGAAAGTCCGGTGACGTTACCACTTGACCACAACACCTCTACATATCGAGAACGTATTGAACCCAGAACCTCCCCTATGAGAGTCAAGAGCCTTTGACAATAATATACCACGGTGATCCCACTTACCACAATCATCCTCATCAGACATGTCTCCACAATCGTCTGTGAGATCACAGTATCTATCCGTATTGATGCAACGTTGATTGTCACAGGTATACTCTGTTGGGTCACATCCACCTGCAGGGGGCGCTATAGCGTGGAAATATTAATATTCACATATCAAATATAAGTTAGCACATTGGAAAATGGTTGCACACTTGATATCAAGTAAGAATTTGAGAAGAAATTTGTATAATGAAAATAACTGAGCATTATAAACAAAATTAAACTTATTGAAACCTTTTTGAGAAATGTCCTTCCCTTGAAATACAAGTAGAAAAATAACAATTTCAATGGAGTTCTCATATCTAATGTTATCTGAAACTTTTCATATTCAATTGAAATGTATAACAAGTTCTAAACATTATTATCTTGTTAGACTTGAAAAGCATGTTTGAAACTACAAACCTTCAGAATTCTGGATCTTGGAAAAAATGAAAAAACGAATCTTTTGAACAATAATAACAACACTAAAAATAGTAATACTCAAAACAAAATTAACAATAGAATAATACAACAAAAATATTAACAATAATGATAACAAATGATGTATAAAGTGCCTTCCAATTAACAATCAACCAAAGCTCTCACACTGTTATGATTATTACCTTTGTGACTTGATTCAAAAACTTTTCTGCATATTACAGACAGTGTAAATTATCTACTGCCTAGGGAGCATTCCAGGGGGTGTTTCACAAAGATCCTAAGTTGAACTTATCTCTAAGTTGGACTTAACAATTATGGAAAGCCGTTAGCATCCTTGAAAATATTTGTTAAAAGTTATTTTAAAAGGCATAAAATGTTGATTCAATTCATTAATTTTTTCTATTATTATGGGAGATTTCATGTTCTTGATGTAGAATTTATGAAAAGTCTAAAATTACTTGAATGTTTGCTTTTGAATACATTTCATTATGAAGCTACAAATGGCTCTCCATAATATTTAAGTCCAACTTAGAATCTTTTTGAAACACCCCCCAAGTAGAATAATAAGCATTGTTGTATTACAAGCTTACCAGGAAAGTCGCAATCACGGAAGGAAATGTCATCGATGGCAATATCTCCAATCACATCAAACGATCTCTCAGCTTTGAACTGAATCTATTGAAACAAAACAAAAACGCAATAAAATCAATGATCACTTTCATCAAAGGTTAGTTGCAGAATACTCTGATATTCCTTATGGTTCCATCTCTTTCACTTCAACACAAATTAATAATTCTACGAAAGTATTTAAAAAGCAATCATTATTGATAAGAAAAGAAGTTGCTATGTAGTAAATCAGCTAATAATAATTCCACTACAGCATTTAAGAAGCAATTATGCAGATTATATCGTAGAGCCAAATAGTTTTAAAGACTTTGCTTTAAAAACAAACAAACAAACAAAGGTCTGAAAAGTGGGAGGAAAAACGTAAGATTGATTTTAAAATTGCGCCTTAGATCAAGCTAAATGTATATATATATATATATATATATATATATATATATATATATATATATATGAGCTTTAAAATCTAATTAGGGTTATGCACAAATAAAAAACATGAAGATTTTTTTTGGGTGATTTTAAAGAAACTCCGTCCATCTTATTACCTGGAAAGTCCCTCGGATGCGTCCGACAGGCACAGAGGCACTGAACCATTCATTGGAACCTGTATCCTCCTGATAGAAGAGAAGAGCTTTCTCCAAACCAGACACGAGATAGATGCCCAAAGAACCAATATCTGAAAAGGAATCAATGCAAAGAGTCACGATATGCCCTTCAAATACTATCCCCCTCTCTTTCTCCCTCTGACCAGCCATATCTCATTCCCCTCACCTCCCCCCCCCCTAATTCTCTCTCTCTATGTGCCATGTCCTGAGACGTTGGTGCCCATGGAGTGCCCCAACTATATACTTCATATTCTATGAAGTAATTCATTCTCGCCGAGATCGATTCCACATTCAGAAATCCTACTCCTTAAGCTACTCATCCACAGAATCCTCCTTCTACCCCTACTCCTACTCTCCCCGATTCTTCCAGTTAGTGCAAGATTTTCCAAACCAGTCTTTTGTATAACATGACCCAAGAAGCTCAGCTGTCGACCTCTTATATTATTCAGAAGCTTTTGTTTTGTTTCGTCCTGCTTTCGTCTTGTTAGCATGTTAAAACTAGTAGAATGTTGAATATCTTATATTTCTTACTCAAAGAAAGGTTTACCTTTTCTCTTGATATTCAAAATGGATTTGTTACTGTCATCGTTAAGTTGACGAGTTGATTTCTGATGTATGACAGGTGAATCACTAAATTTCAATTCAATTCAATGATAAGAAGGAATGTTTATATCATGATATGCCATGACAAATAAATATTGTGATTGAAAGTTCATCTCGTCAGATTCTGTTTTTGTTAAATGTTTCTACAATATGTGGTACTGCCAGGTTCATGCATTACATGATGAAGCCAAGTAGATAACACATTTTCTGCCAAGAACTTTGAAGTTACACTTTGATTGTATTATGTATTGTAAGTTTTTCAGCTTTGTTAATGACTCCTCCTGAACAAGTGCTTGTATAAAAGTCGCGGTTATCTAGCATAAATAATGCAGTATGAGAGGTATTGTAAACCATCCTAACAGAAATGGGTTAATGTATTGTCAAGTTTATACATTTCGCAAAGAAAAAATGAATTATCAAATATGTCGCTTGAAAGTTAATTTATGACATTCGCTCAAAGAATCTATTGGAGATTGACAAGCATTAAAGGGATTAGGTAACTTTGTCTCAGATTCTGAAACAAAATCTTAGATTTAGCTCATGCTGCAATGATAATTATAAACCTTTAGGTCAGTCAGGAACCCCATTACTTTTACAAGCCGATCGCCGGTCTGATTATCAAGATATTTATGATAGGAAATTGAAATAAAATTTTGATTTTGCTAACGGTTTTCATAACACTAGGTCTACAGTCTATTGGGGGAAACGAGTATGATGAAAACTAGTCACTTTTTTTGAGGCACTTCTTGATCATTTTGAAGTGCAATTTTTTAAGGGCTTCAATATTACACCATATAAAAGACACTGATAACACGCAGGGCCATGCATCTCAGATTTAATATTGTTAAACGATGCCTTTAGTAAGATATCTACCTGTTCCATACATGTGCACCCAGACGTCGAGAATGCAGCTAGGACTTGCTTCGTTCAGCTCAGGAGAGAGAAGAAAAGCTTCACTGTAACTTGAGCCTTGGCTAGCATCGATGAAGAGATAATATCCTGCAAAATAGTGTTTATATTATGGAAGAATTTAATCAGTGGTGGGTCCAGTGTTCAAAAATAGGTGTAGCATCTTCCACGCCATATTCAAAATGACCCATCCATTGAATTATTCATTTACTGAATTGTAATGTATTTGTAATATTTTATTATATTTTGTTGCTTTTAAGCTATTGAACATGTTGACAGTTGAGAGTTAGAAAGTATCACCTGTGCGCTTAGAAACGCCTGTATAAAGAAGGGGGGGGGGGGGTAAGAGGCCTTTTTTAAGGGGGGGGGTCCCAAAAATTAGGAAATTTGACCGATCGATATTTCGTTTTTTTAATTATTATTTGTATTAAAAAAGAAATTAAAGGGGGGGTGGTTTCCTCCAAAACTCACACGTTAAACAAAAAATTGCCCCCTCCCCCTGCTTTCGCGTCTGTGTGCAGCACCTTTCAAACACTAAAGGTGCTTTCAAAGCAGTATACTCACCTTCACTCGTTTTGAGTGTATGATCTTTGGATGGTCCAGTGTTAGAGTTTGGTGTAGCACCTTTACCTCTCTGCCATACCATACTCCCTATACTGGTGTCGGTGTAATTACACCAGCCGGATTCAAAGTCACAATAACCTGAAAAAGAAAATACAAAGTTTTGGGAAATTTTGAAAATTGGGTGGATAGTGATTCTTTACCATTTCGATATATTTGGATGCCCCTATGGATGTTTTATAAGCACTAGAAAATGTAGCCCCTAAAACACTTCTGCTTTCGAGACAAATTTAATATAAAAATTTACTGGTGCTCCCGATAAATTTTGATAAATTACAAATAGCAACTTTTGGCCGTACAATGGTAGCTGCGACCATGAAAATCTCAGAATAGGTAGTTGTGATGTATAATTTCCAAACGGGAATAGCTAATTGGTCGATTATATTCAAGAAACATTGTTTTATAGCTATTAATATCTTGACCTTGAGAGGGAGCTATACAACATAAAGAGTTTATTATATACAATTTCATAACTTTAGACTCGATTTCAACCGCGACAACGATCACTGAATATTGTAGGATTGCATATGCTTTCAATATGTTCATTTGAACCAAATTCATGACCCCATACCAAAACTTTTTATTACCTTTAACAAGAAAATAAATAATGCAACAACAAAATCAAGGAACGGTGCTGAGGAGGATGATTCATTTCTACTTTCTTGATTGGAGACACAATTATCTACAATCCAAGTTTATGGAAACTATAGGCACAAATGGTTTTATTCTTACTTAAATCATACTTCTTCCCTGAATAATCAGATGCGATGATCTACTTATCTCCGATATTTTGTATTTTTATTTGAAACTGTTATCATTGTTATCATCATTAGCAATATTGTATTAACATTATTATTATTATCATTATCATTTTTGTCACATTTATGGAACTATATAAAAAAAAGTTCAATTCTTACAATAAATGAAGTAGACAAGCAACATTTATTTGACTCGGGTAAAACGTTATTTCAATCAATAGTTTTGGATAACACATGCATGCATCCAGTGTAAATAATCATACAGATTTTTAAAACAACTATATAAGTTTTGAAACTGAATATGATACATACCACAGTTGAGTTCATCGCTGCTATCACTGCAGTCAGCCTGGAAGTTACACACCAAGGTGGCGTCCTTCAGACATTCCCCATTATCACAGTAGAACTGGCACGTAGGTGCATCAGTAGCTCCTGCACATGCGCCGTCATAGATGTTAATATCATCCATGGCAACGTCACTCTGGGAAGGGGTTCCTATGACGCCTTCAAAGCCGATCTAAAGAAAAAAAAATATTGGATAATTATATAGCGCACATATCCATAAGGTGCTCAAAGCGCTCCAATATTACCCAGGCTCTGCTAGGCTGACGATTTCGGTACTCACAGCATTCAAGGAATTCCTTCCTACCGGTACTCATTTACTTCACCTGGGTGGAGTGTGGCAAATGTAGATCAATGTCTTGCAAAAGGATGATGATGATGACTAAACTCTCTCATTCCCATATACTTTTGTATAGGGAAAATCTTTAGGGAATTGTATTAACTGAATGACTGCAGGAACCGGGCGGTGCGTCCCTGTTTAAATCCTATAAAAAAAGCCAGTTCAGTGGTCAACAGGTTAATATAATATGAATATTATTTTCAAAATCTAAAAGGTTCTAACACATGTATAACAATTATAGCTTCTTTTTCACATCTTGATATAAACATTGTTACATGATATGTAAATACTTCAAGTATGAAACAATTTTAGAAATCAACGAGAAAACACATGCTTTCATATGTCAACAATTATTAGATAATCAAAATGATATCAATACTTTTTTGGAGGGATTAAACTGCCAATGGCACTGGAAAGGTTAATCTCCATCACACTATAGTGCATTTGATTCTCACGTGTCAGTATGTACATATTCATCTTTTAAGAAAATTTGATTTCGGTCAAAAGTGGATTTAGCCCCTTTTGGATTAAAGCTGGTTTTATGTCCGCCTCTCCTGTGCTGGCTGCTTTTAAGAAGGCTCTCAAATCTATTCTACTGAGTGATAATCAGTAGCTTCTGTTTAATACCTCTATAGTAATTACTTTAAGCTCTATAAAGAGTTTTGAAATCTGTTTAATAAGTGTAAAAGCGCTATATAAATGAACATATTTTATTGCATTGTAAACTACACCATTACAAAGAACATTAATTAAAGTTAACAACTAAGTTACTCATATCTCTTGTAAATTTGATATTATTTGTGATTTTCGTAACTGAAGAATGAAAGGTTAACTGGTTGAATTGAATAGGTAGGGCCTTTGTAGAATACTTGTATGTGTATTAAAGGTAAAGACCAGTTCTGGTAATGCGATTGCATTGTGAAAGAAATGTTGTGGAATCGATCAGAAAAGGTTGATCATCTAGTATATTAGTATTGGTGTGTACTGCAAGGTTCTGGAATCATCAAAATGAAAAGAAATTTGGCCCATTTTTGGTAAAGTTACAAGCACTGTACACAGAAAGATTTATATGGGACTACGCAACACGTGCACGATATCTATCCGGTCAGGATAGATATAATAATTTACCAAATATATCAATTAGTAGGCGGTTTCCCGGGAACATTTGTATCATCACGTATTAGTCAAAACATATTCTGTCACATGATTGGTGATAAGAGCTTCCATTTCATTTTTTGAGAGGGGGGCGTTTCCAAAAGAGGTCTTTACCTTTAAAGCTTATATATGTCACATTCTCAAGAAACACAAGAATTTTGTTTTTTCGCATACTTAACAAGATTCAAATCTTGGTAAGGGTGTGAATAATTGAGCTGCTATCTGTATTTCATACTTACCGTATACGTATTAGTCTCATCGTCTACTCTTGCAGTCACTGTAGCATGCTGCCATGTATTATCCAGGGGTCCTGTCTTAGTCCACAAATCATGATCAGTCATTATATTTATAGATCCTTGATCGGCTCCACCCATATAATACCAGAAAGACAGGCACTTCACACCCACCAGCAACGGCGAGTTCAGTGTGGCCGAATCCCCCGCCTGGCGAGGTGAGGCAGAGTCGATGTAGATGTAAAAGCCTGATAACAAAGAACAAGTAGAGATATCTACATATGATCCTTGAGACAATGAGTGATTTCAAATTGGGTGTTAGTGTCAGTGTTAGTGTTTAGAGCAGTCAAGAGCTCTTAAATCGAGCGGAAAATTTTCTGATGAAATTAATAGCCCGATACCGATATCAAAATCGATAGCTTAACACCAGCTGTGACGTCACCACATACTTGATTTCACGACGATGATTTAAAAATAGTACATCAAAACTAAAGATATCATGAAAAGTACAGAATAAATTTAAACCTATTTCTCTGGTCTTATAAAATAACTCATTTTACACATAAGAATATATGAATTACCTGTTTCACATATTCTTATTTGATCGTCAGACAATAAATTGGCGTCGTTCGTGCGTTGACTGTGTGCGGATATAACACTAACACCGAACTGGAAATCAACATTTGCTTAATCCCTAGGGGCTAGTGTTAGTGAATAGGATATTTGTACGTAAAATATTAACACCAGCCACAAAGGTCGGTTCAGCAGACGACAATTTTGCAAAAGCGATAACACTAGCTACCGGAAGTTGACGATATTCAGAGGTCAAAGCCTTAACACCAGCTGATTTCCACTTCGGTGTTTAGGCTGGTGTTAGTGTTTATTAAACACTTACACTAGCCTTAAACACCCAACTTGAAATCACTCATTGTGGTAATTTCATGGTTCTTTGTTTATTAACACTCAACTGAACTCCAATCAATTCCATACACCGGAATGTACAAAGTAGCAATAGAAGTAGTAGTTTAGTAGGTAAAACACATTTTCCCTTCCTTGAATCCGTGCCCACATCATATCATATCTGTAGTTTCCATGTGACAAGCCTAGCTACGTTTGTACAACAATTCCAGTCAATCTACGGTATCCTCAAAACAAAAACTAAATTTGGCTTCTTATAACTTGATCCTTACAGAACATACAAAATACATTAACATGTCAATCCTAAAGATTTTGAAAATATGTGGTGCATTTTATTAATTTGGTCTAACACTCTGTTAAAAAAAACTCCCACAAAGTATGGGAAAGCGAAATTAAATTTACTCCCCGAATCGATGCACATTCTCATGTGTGGCTTTCCTCTGATATGGTTTCTATCTTTAACCAAAATCTCAATTTGCTGAAACTTGTATGAACAGGAAAACAATTATGTTCACACAGAAATTAGATTATATCAAAATGAAATCTACATAAGCTTTGGTCGACTTTTGGAACAAACACAATACTGCAGAAGTTGATGTTTTATCACAAGTACAGTGTATTGTACAGTGTACAGTATGGTATTGTAGATCCAGATTTGAGGCAAATCAGTCTGGGGATTCAATCTTTAAAGAGTACAGAGTAAAATACTACAGGCAATTATCCAGTACAAGTGCAAATCATGTCCAAGAGGTCATGTATATATGAGATACATGTATATCACTTGTGCATGATCATGAACACAGCCTGTAAGGCCTTGGGGGTGTTTCACAAAGATCCTAAGTTGGACTTAACAATTATGGAAAGCAGTTAGCATCTATGAAAATATTTTGTAAAATTTATTTTAAAAGGCATAAAATGTTGATTCAAACATTCATATTTCCTATTATCAAGGAGATTTTATGTTCTTGAAGTGGAATTTATACCAAAAGTCTAAAAAACTTGATTTTTCGATTTTCAATATATTTTATTTTAAGGCTACAAATGGCTCTCCATGATGTTTAAGTCCAACTTAGAGTTAAGTTCGACTTAGGATCTTTGTGAAACACCCCCCAGAAAAATGAACATAAAATCCCATACCTGCTGCTGTTCCGGTAGAATGATCTGTATTTGGACCAGAGGTCTGTGAGGGCGTTCCTCCATTGGTTCTTATCCAATCAAAGTCATCGACATTGGCAGAGGAAGGGTAGTTCCAGAATGTACAGGTGTCATGTTCAAAGTCACATGACCCGGCTGGAGCGCAGTAGTCCTTGTTCATGTTGATGTCATCCAGGGCAAGTACTCCATCATAGCCAATGGTGGCTTCAAAGATGATCTTGAAAGAAAATGAAACATATTTTCAAATCATATTTCTTGAGGAACTTGTTCATCAAGGACGATGTGAATCATAAAGTCTTACGTCATTAGTATTGTAGAGTTGTCGTGATCGAGTGGATACGTCGACGGACTGTCGATCTTAAGGTCCGCGGTTCGAGTCTCGCCGCGGCACTAATGTCCTTTAGCTAGACATTCATCTGCATTTGACACACTCAACCCAGGTGATCGTGTAAATGGGTACCTGGCATGAATTAATTCCTTGAAATGCTAGAGCGCCGCAGTGGCTGCCTTGCTAAAGCCAGGGTAATAATCGGGACAGCGCCACGAGCGTCACAACGTAACGGACATGTGCGCTATATAAGAAGCCACCATTATTATTATTATTATTATTGTAAACTTATACATGTTCTTCTTATAGACTCTGCTCAAATACTGTACTATACTGCAATCGACTCAAGAGAAATAAAACCTGAAGCAATTATTGCAATAAATATAGTAATACATACTTTATAATCCTTTTGAACATATATTTTCGGATCGTTTGTGAATAAAGAAAACACTACAAGAACAGGTTACAAACTTTCATCATGAATACCATATGGAATTGACGGATAAATGTTTGTTCTAGCGCAATATATCATGAGAGATATTTCAAATGTCATGCCACTTGAAAATATCTTCCTCATCATACCGCCTCTTTTGAAGTAAATGACATTAAGATCTGATAATGTTTTGTATTTGTTCTATTTCCCATACCTTTTCAGACTTAAAGGGAACCAAAACCATCATACTAAGTTACTTTTATTATAAATTTTAAGATATTTGAATAAATTCAGTACAAAAGGCATGGAGAGTTATCCACAAATGATGTAATTAAATTGAATATCGCCCTCTAGTGATTAGTTAACTTCCTTATTCCTTGCCCGATTCTGTTCAAATTTTCACTGATTTTATTCAAATATCTTAAACTTTACAATAAAAGTAACTTAATATGAAGGTTTTGGTTTCCTTTAAGCTCAAAGAGCAGCACACTTACTGTGTATTCTAGACTACTGGAAAACGATGCTTCATACGGAATCCAAATACCAATGGCAGAATCGGCATCGAGACTCATGATCTGGGTTAGGGGCGTATCCCCGACTGTGACGGTAGCTGTGAATTGAGGTGGGTCGTCACCTGTGCTGAAGAACCAGATCTGAAGGCATCGTTGGAAGGTTGCTGGGTACACCGGTGAAATGAGACGAACCTTCGACATGTAGTTGTTAACGATACTGTCCACGTAGATGAAGTGACCTGTACAGCAAATGTTGGTAACAAGCAATTCTTGTATTACGAATATGTGATGGGCATGCAAATTTAGTCCACATCAGAAACATTTTTGATTTATGAGTTGGGGGTCATTCCTTTGTTAATCCAAAGGTAGAATACAAATAATAATAATAATAATACTCAGTTTTTATATAGTGCTTATTAAAATCACTGAGCGCTTCCAAACTTGGAGATTATTACCCCGGCATTAGCTGTGCTGCCATTGCGGCGCTCTAGCATTTCAAAGAATTAATTCCTGCAAGGTATCCATTTACATCACCTGGGTTAGGCAAATGTATGAACAAATCGTGGTAACGTTCATTTAATGAACAATGAATCCAGGAGCTTTATCTTTTTTGTAATCAGTCACTTGCCTATTTGGGTTCCATAGGTATGATCGGTGCTGGGTCCGTATGTTAAGTCCAATGGAGAGAAGTCATCACGCTCCACATTCCAGTCGCCTTGGTCTGTGTAATCTTGATCAAACCCACACCAATCCCCATGCTCAAAATCACACATTCCTAAATAGAAAGACAGAGATTGAAATATAGTCATTAGAAATGAAGAGGAAACAAAGATATATCAAATAAGAAGATGAATTAAAAAAAAGGGAAGAGCAATATTCCACAAATTAGAAAGGGGGAAGATGTAAAATTTACGAAATATAACAATACAAAAAAGGCTAGGTATCCAATAAAGGATAAAACTTGCAAAAGGGGATAGGATTGGATTTAAATAAAGAGAAATTCACTTGTTCAAGTGGAGAGAGAAGATACATATCGGTTATAGGAATCGAGGAGAGAGATGTAATTGAAGCAGATAATAATAATACAAAAAATAATGGTGGTTTCTTATATAGCACGCATTGTCATCATACTTCATGATGGTCCTGGTACTCCACAATTATTATCCTGGTTATCCCTAGCAGCCGAATATGTATCAGTCTAACATATCGGGTACTCATTAGCACCTGGGTGGAGAGTGGCAAATACAGATTAATGTCTTGCTAATAGGTTCATGCAAGCCTGTGATTTGAACCTATAGTCCTTGGATTGATCGAGAGTCAATGAACCGCTATATCCCAACACCTCCAAATAATCAAAAGGGCACCCAAAAATCAATCAACTCTTATCATGCCACAGGGCTAATCCCCATTGTGCCAACCACCAAATTCCCCCCCCCCCCCCCTTATGCCAGGTTGTTTTGGAGATAATCTGATTAAAGCGGTGGTTCTATGAATAGCGCATGCGAAACACACAGCACAGTCCAATAAGCATGAGCCATGAACAATAACTGCTATTACGAATGCGTGCTTGCACGCACATGGCAGTGAATCAATGGTTAACTCGCATGTACAAAACACTATAACGGTAGCGCGCATGCAGCCTCTGCTATGAGTTAATAGTTGTCTGCTCAACATGAAATTATAAGCAAATACCTTTATCATTATGCTCTGACCATGTTTGTAATCGGCTTTTAAATAATACTGACAAACTCTTTTTTCCCTAGCATCCCACATTGGCATGTATATAAACAGGGTGGCGTTTCACAAAATTTGTCATCAGTGAGAAATGACAATTTGTGTTAAAAGCTACTGAAATCCTTGCTTCTGACTGGTTATCAGCAGATTTGTCACTGATTTTTGTTATGTGTCATTGAAAAAAGGCTTTGTGAAACTTATTTGGTGGCAGCGGTGGGATGTAAACTGTAGGAAATTGTCATGTATAGAACAAATGCAAACTTACTTTGTGAAGGACACTCTCCAGTGCTGAAGGAGATATCATCAAGAGCTATGGCTCCCCTTGATCCACTCCCCTTGTAGCCTTGGAATTTGACCTGAAATAACATACACAAACACATGTATATCATGCATGTGTAATCATTTGTAAGATAATACTTTATATACAAGTATCACTTAACCCTTGATATTAATGTAGCGATGCTTTACTAATGTGGAGGACCATGTTCTTCGTGAAATGGAAAGGCAACTGGCGGATTCTAGTTAGCTGGAGATGGGCTGAAAAATTGGGTATTCATACGGGGTGAGGGAATGGATGTCAAATTAGAAGGATACTGGCGAAATAGAGAAAGAATTAAGTCCATTAAGCAAAATCCTCAGAATATGATGATACAGTAAAACTTTCTATGTCTACAGAAATAGTGGCCACTGTAAACAGGTTCTACAACACACATTTCTCTCTCTCTCTCTCTCTCTCTCTCTCGGGAGACAAAATGCATAGCTACTATAAAGAGAGGTAGCCACTAAGACAGGTTCGACTGTAATATAATAGGTTTCCTTTAATCTCTATGGAAAACATATATATAGTAATCAATTTGCTAAGAGATACTTGCAAGCTAAAATACTGACCATAAAGCTACCGGTGAGGGAGACCTGGCCGTGTTTCCAGTCCGGTCCCTGAGGCCCGAGCCTGGACCATTCTATGACGTGCGTTGACCCTTCCGTCTTCCAGACCTCTAGCTTGTTGATGTCCGCACCATTCATATGATACCACCATGAGGCACAGATACCCTGAGGGCCAGCGGTCATGGAGCTTGAGATCAGCTGACCAACGTCACCACTGTTACCCACGTCACTCTTGAGGTAAACGTAGTATCCTATGAGTAATACAAATATTGACTCTCGCTGAATATCATTCATTATATCCCTTCTATGAATATTCATGAGTATAATAAATATATGATTGGTCAATTGGGGATCATGTGATAAAATATCATTTCACTATGACAAACAAATCTCTGCCAGAGCTCCGAATAGTTTTCACTATTTTTTCTTAGGCAGAACTTTTGGATTTTGTAATCATCTAATCATTTTGTTAAACATACATCTTCATGAACATGAATATATATGTGATACAAATCTGATAAAAATGGAAACTTTTAAGAAAAATAGACAAATTGAATTCATCATGAATAAAACGCAGATGGTTGAGAGCATGAAGCTTGATTGGGATACCATTTGTAAGTATCGGACATTTAGTGCGCCTGAGAGAAACTCTGACATGTGGGAGTCCCACATGTGCTGTAAAATATGAAGTCTTTAAAAAGGAGGTGCCAGGGCCTGAAATAAGACTATGGTCTAAAAACCTGCCTAGGTATAATGTAGAAAATATTAAAAGAAAGGGGGTGCCTTACAGTGGAGGATAATGAAAAGAAAAATCAGACTTTTTTGACAGGCTTTATTTATTCATGACATCGAAGATTGTTCTAGCAAAAGACAGGAGTTTAAATGAGGCAAGAAAAGAAGTCCTTGGGATTGAATTGAATGAAAAGCATTACAAAAAATATATTAAAATGGGTAATTAATAGAAAAACATCGATAGACTACAGAAAAGAAAATTAATGTTCATAGAATAACAGCAGGCAGATATTGATGAAGATTGATCTTTAGAGTTCCTGTAAGATAAGTTTAGCATTATTTTTTGTACCGAATGTGTTGCCAAGGGTGTGGTCCACAGTAGGTCCTGTGTTTGGAATTGGCGTGTCTCCGGAGTTTCGATACCACACCAGCGAACTGGGTGTGGCTTGGGTGAAATCACAGAAATCATCCTCAAAGGTACAGATGGAGAGCACAGGAGCTGGAGATTGGAAAACAAAAGTTTAAAATGGCAATAAACTGTACCTCATACTATAAATGTTCAATCAACAGCAACCAGTACCCTCTTCCTTCTTACCACCCTACAGCCCATGACATCTTCAATATTGTGATGAGCCACAAAAACAAACCACATTTACAACTACCAAAACACCATCACCATTATATCCATTCTCACGTTTCTCATTGGAGGCGCAATGGCTCACTGGTAGAGCAGTGGTCTAGTAACCGGGAGGTCCAGGGTTCGAAACCAAGTTGATGCAAGTATCCTCATTACCTAGTCCCTTGAATAGGACTTAAAGCCGTTAGTCCCCTGGTTGCTTACTTACAAGCATACAAATGCTTTCTTAGCATCTTATAATTACAACTCCATCAAAACCACCTTGTAATTTTCCATCATGATGATAACAATTAAAAAACAAAGAGCTACGCCAACATCGTCATCATCCATCATAATCACCCTCATCATCAAACCCACCTGTTGTTGGTCTGGCAGGGGTTACAGGAGCAGCTGTTCCAATATCTGAGCATGCGTTCATCTCAAAGTCCAAGTCATCCACAGCTATGTCCCCTTGGTCTCCTACGATCTGGTACACCGCCTCCAGTTGGATCTAAGAATACAAGGAAATCTTTGTCAATCTAAAAGCAGTTCGGTGACAGGACATTTGCTCCACCCATACCATAAGTTTATGGTTAGGACAGCACTTCCTCTCGAAATAGAGACAGTGGCAATACCTTTTTCTTTTCTGTCACATATTACATTTTTCTTGGGATGGTGCTATTGACTATATTATTTCATTGTCCATTTTCAGATGGTCTTGATCCTTAAGTCTCTTTTGACTTTTAATCTAACTTTATACTCCTGTCGAGATTAAGACAACAGATCCTTTTCACAATAGAGTGATGTCTCTTAAAGTGTTGACATGTCAAATACAAGCCAAAACCTGCTTGATAGACACAAAAGGTGAGTGTCATTTTCAACAAATCTAAGACTATGACCAATAATCTTGTATTTCAGTTGCAGTGATTTGTGTAGTTGGTCTCTTACTCACAAAGACATGCTTGCATGCTTTCTTAACTACCAGGGGCGTTTCAAAAAAATTGACAACAGTGACAAATGACATTTTTTATTATAAGCTACTGAAATCCTTGCTTCTCTGATTGGTTATCACCAGATTTGTCACTGATTTTTTGTCATTTGTCATTGAAAAAAGCCTTTGTGAAACGGGTCCCAGGTGTACTAAACATCAACACTTTCGTTGAATCATGAGCATGGTCGCTCATTTGCTACACTTGTAATTTTGCACGAAACAATAGGCATCATTTGATGGAGGGGTTTCCTTGGTGCAACACAATGCTTTGCGAGATTACACATTCCCAGTCTTGATTAGCTCAATTTAAGTATTGTTAACATTGTTATAATTGATCTTGAACTGGAAGTAGTTGAAGTCTTTGGGGTACATGTATCTATCATATGAAAAATACAATCTGGCACAGGGACATTATTTGAGCGGCATATAAAGAGTTATATATAAAACGTCAAGGTTCTCACCCTAAATTCTATGTCACTTGAAAGATCGATTTGAACATTGAACCATGAAAAACCCTGGTCCCCGCTCAAGGACCAATGGGACTCTCTAGGCTGACCATTAGAATATGCCATCCAAACATTCAGATCACCAATATCTGTTGAGAGAGAGAGGCACCATTAGATGAAAGATTGTTGTAATATAAAGGAAAGAAACATACATATATAAATTATACTCTGTGGAAATATTTAACCGTAATTTCATCAAAGCAGTACATAAAATATATACAACTAAACTAAAATCCTAGATAAATAATATCTCAGCCCTGAACAAATTGCTATCATAGCTAATCACTTGGAATATTTCCCAAATATAAACTTAGGAAGGAATAAATGCACACTTGAAGTTGTGATGTTTGTGCGCTGTGTCCCAAAAGGCATTTTTAGTAAGCAGTCTTTTCCCAACAAATGCAATCAAAGAGTATGTTAAATCTAGCACTTGCCACAGCAAATTCAAAATAAATCAATTAACCAAAGTAAAAGTTAACCACCAAATGTAGATATAATATAAATGAGCCAAGTAAATTGTCGTTGTCATCTGACGAGTCATGACTGACCCTTTGTGAACCTATTGATGATGACGCTCCAACCACTTCTGTCCTAGGCATATAGCGATTAGCTGTGCAGATCTTCACTTTTGTGTTAATACTCACCTTTTCCATACATATAATACCAGAAGCTTAGGCAAGCTGACGAAACTGGGCTGAAATGCTCGCTGTTAAGTACCGCTGTTTCCCCAACCTTCATTGTCGGGAATGAATTATCAAAGAAGATGTAATAGCCTGTAATAAAAACAGAATTCAAACACTTAAGGCGAGCAACATGCGCTTCAAGTTCATGTCGCCATATAGGGGCTTGGGTTACAGTTACATTATTTACATCCTAACCTGGTTTTGTTATTTTTTAAGTATGTGAAAATATTGATTTGTCCATATTCATGTTTCTTGAGAATGGGACATATAAAAGCTAATACATCTAGAAGCATTCAACAAAGGTTCCAATTCCACAAGTCCACCGTTCATTCTAGAAAACATTGGATTCACAAGGGGTATGAATAATTATGTATCGGTGTTTTGGGCAGATGAAAAAAATCAGATGTATGAATGACATACTTTCAATTTCAAGTAAACAACCTTTGCCATCCATGCACAAACTAGGCAGGGCAGGTCAATGATCAACACATTTTATGCAGAAAAAACACACACTGAGAAGTGAATAATTCACATTTGCTTAGCACAGTTATAGCATGGATCTAACCATCGAAGGGGTGTGGGTGTCTGAGGATATGGTCATTGATCATAATAGATGGAAAAAATGAAAGAGGAAACACAGTCACAGGAAGAGTGTGTGTGTGCGTGTGTGAGTTAGTGGAGGCATCATCTGATTGTCATGCTTTTTCCCCATTTGCTTTCTATTGCTCCCATTTTCTAATTTTCCTTCCCCCATCACACACACTAAAATAAAGATTCCATCCCTTGGTACGTAGCTGTGGTCTAGTGGTCCCTGGGATAGGACGTTAAATGGAGGCCTGTGCAGAGGAGAGTCGCCATCTCTGCAACCACTGTACTATTCATATAAGAGTAGGGGAAACCTCTGTGTAGTGGTGCACCTGCACACCCTAATCAGAGGAGAGACTCAAGAGTTACAGTGATCAAGTTTACCTTTCGCCTCCCAGGCACAGGTGACGCCAAATACTTAATAATAATAACAATCACCTCCACACACGCACAAACACCCATCTGCACATTAATCAACGTACCTTCTTGCGTTCCATAAGTGTGGTCTACTTGTGGCCCAGTATTAGGACTGTCTGTTGCTCCAGATGACCTCAACCAATCCCATTGGTCCTGGACTACTTCTTGGGACCAGCCACAGAGATCATTTTGGAAATCACAGAATCCTGAAAAACAATAAAAAGATTAGTTTTTAAATATATTTGTGGCTTACCACCAAGTAAATAAGATCCATTGATCGATCTGTAATTGAAAAACAAGTCAGAAAAAATCTTGGAACCAGCGGGATTTGAACCTGCCATCTACTGCTTGCCGGAAAGCGACTCTACTAGTCCGGCAGCCATCTCGATATACCTTGTTTTAGGGTCTATAGTTTTTTTTTCTTCGGATTATAGTTCCTTAGACCATCAATTTGAAGAATTCGATTGCTGACACTCTGTCAGCATTGAGCAATTTGAGATATGTGACGTCATACAAAATGGCCGCCAAAATCCCCCTTTTAACCAAAATTAATGATATAAAAAGTTTTAACAGCATTTTACTACATTAAATGGCAGTCAAATATCTTGATTTTTTTCTAGAATCATCACTAAATAAAAATTGCGATGCTGTATGATCACAAATGATATGCAAATTTGCATAATTCGGAATGGCGCCCTCTATAGACACATTAACTTGCATAGGTCAAAATGATGGCCAAATACCAATTTCTAACATGAGATTTTCATATGTCATGAGTCAGATGCACTGGATACAGTGAGTAGAGATAGTGCTGCACATTTATTTTTAGTTTGTAATTTGATACTCGAAGAAAACACGGTTGAATTTTATGCTCTCTGTCCCATAGATATGAGGTGGCATACGGTGATAAATGCCCATTTTCAGTGACAGCGTTAAGAAACTAGATTTGTATTCTAAGCTACTAGATTCTTTTAAATTAACCTAAAAATTACGAACTACAACTACGATACAGGACTATATCCGTTTATAAGTTTGCTTCAAAATCTTGAAATTTGTTTAAAAGCCCTCTAAAGTGTTGGGAACCCTAAAATATTCCATGCGGAAGAGGGTGTCATTTAACACTTAATTCTGCAAAGTAAGGTCGTGACTGTAATGCGTGCTTCCACACGCATGTTTGCAAATGAGTTCTCTTAACATTTTCTACAAACGCTTCAGTAGTTTGAGGTAGTGAGGCAAGGTTTGGGGGTATTTGGAGCTCCTAGTCTTCGGACCCTTGATAGCCACACGTTGATACGAGCCTCTGACATTCAGTTGATTGTTGACTGTCCATAACATGAAGCAAAGCATTGAGTAGGTTGAGTGATGACATATGACCATGCTGCATCAACATTGCCAACTCAGTCCTAAGGAAGTCGAATCTTCTGCTTCATCACTTTCAGCATTGTACCCTATCCAATGCCAAAGTATGCCCCAAGAGTGTCGCATCCCGTCAACGCATGTCCTGCCAACATCGATGGAATGATATCTCCTAACTTGTCTACATTGGCAGGAACATCAATAACAGTTCGATTTGTAAAGGGGCGTCTCCATGGTCATTGGCGTTTTATAAGTCCGTCATGTAGATAATGATGCAAAAGTAGTACGTAGACGTCTGTGTCATCCACTAGGACCCTAACATACATCTCATTAGCATCAATTCCAATCGCTTGCTGTTCTTTGATGTTGCCTGCTTCATCATAACTATGTTGTGGACAGACCTTTCCCTGGCATGACATCACTGCCTGGAATCACTTCAACAAGAACCTCATCTTGACGGTAAAGGCCTGCTTGTGCTTTTGCCTATTTCTGAGCACCCAATCATCCTGCAGACTCGCGCATATAATTATGATGTCGATCAAGTAGTTTGTTGTCATGAAAAGATAGTGAAGTTAGCAACACTAGAGACACGTTTCAACAACTTCTCTCCCTAGCTTTATTGATCTTTCCAAAGCTTTTGACTGCGTACAACATAAACGCCTATGGAAGATTATGAGCTAGATGGGCTTTCCAGCACATATAATTCAACTCATCCAGTCGCTCTACCAATACCAAGAAGCAACAGTAAGAGCAGAGAATGGCGACACCGAAAGGTTCACTATTGGTCAAGTTGTCCGTCAAGGCTGCAACCTATCACCATAAATTTTCAACATCTATGCTGAATTCATCATAAGGCATTTTATGGTCAAGTTTCTGTTGGTGGACGAACGATCACCAACCTAAGATACGCCGACAATACAACACTCTCTGGTGTATTAATGGGGAAGGGTATGGGGGGGGGGGGGGGGTTGGGGACAGTTGAACCCCCAAACAAAATTCAAACTGTTTCTTTTTATATATTCGATACCAGTGATTTCCTTCTATGGAGGACCTGCTCATCAGGAAGAACCTACGATGGACAGGCCATGTCATCAGGATGCCCTCTGAGAGGTTACCAAAGCAAGTACTATTCTCGCAACTACCCGCTGGCGAAAGAGGGATTGGTCGTCCACGGCTTCGCTACAAGGACACGATCAAGAGGAACCTTAAGCGGAGGCAAATTGAAACCAAGACTTGGACAACTGCTGCAGGCCAGCGAGCTGTATGGAGAACAGCTGTAAAGTGAAAATGAAGGCGGTCATTGTCGCTTCGCGACAGACAGCTACTACTACTACTACCAGTGATTTACAAATGTTGTTGAAATGTCATGATTTTCCTGGGTTTTTTCTCACTTTTTAGTAAATTATTATTTGTTAAGCGTATGTTGGAAAATGACAAATCCTAAATCCACAGTCAAGCAAAAAATATGCTTATTTAAAAGCCTACATGTCAGGGTCCGCAGAACAGCGGGGCTCAGGGGACTCGAGCCCCCCTCACTTTTTGTATAAAGTATGTTAAAGAGAACTAGAACTAGAAAGAAAGAAAGAAAGTGACCCGAGGTGAAATGAGGTATCAAAATATGTTCATCTGACAGTTAATAAATGCCTGAAACCCTTGAGCTTCCGGGGGCTGTGCCCCTTGAACACCACGCCAATTTGCGCTCCCCTCTTCTTGATCGTAAATACTTCAACCCCCCCCACCCCGCTTTAAAAAAAAAGTTCCGCGGGGCCTGCATGTAACATGTATGAGTGGTGGTGATGCAGATTGTTTTTCTGCCCCTCTAAGTGTTTTTGCTCAGTATGCCACTGACAACACTTATAACAAGAACATCAGAAGAACTACTAGAACTCCTTAAAAAAGAGTGAAGGATGCAAGTGAATAATTTGGACCCTACCTCAATGTGAAAAAGACCAAGATCATGATTGGTGGAAATTAATTACATGCAACAGAGCATGGTGGTTGATGGAGAAGAAGTTGATCAAGTGGACAAGTTTATATAATGTTCTTGGGTCAATGAGTGTCAAGGAGGGTGGAAGCTCGGCAATATCTGCCTTTGAAATGTGGTGTTGGAGGAAGCTACTTGGGATATCATGAAGAGATTACAACACCAATGGACACAATTAATGTCCATCATCGGAGATCAACCGCCACTTGCTACCAGGATTGACAAGTACAAGCTACAATAGTTTGGTCACGTTAGCAGAAGATCAGGAGACAACCTTGACAAATTATCATTCAAGGTACCTTTGAAGAAACACGTAACAAAGGAAGACTCAAGCTCAGATGGACTGACGACCTTAGGGAAATCTCTAGCCACCCTCTAAATATTAAAGACACTCTACCGGATTGCAGGAGACAGATGCCGATCAAAAGGTCTCATCAAACGGGTCACAAGGGTGAGCCATGATCTATATGACAACGACGACGACGACGAACAGTAAGAGATAGTTTCTTGGAGGGCAGCAGTGACGCGGGACTCAGTTGGAAGACTCTCGACCCGTTATGACCTCTAAATACTCTCGGATCTGTCAAACACCAAGCAAACATCATCAGATTTTCATCCACAGCAGAGCACAACCATCAATGACTGTACAAGGTTGTTCCAGTGTCTCATGCCTGGCTGACATCTCAACTTTTGTCAAATTCTATAAGTCCGTCTTTGACATGGGAGTGCTCGTTTCCAGAATCATCAAAAAGTGCTGTTGGGACTGATGAAAGCTCTTATGACAAAATGTCCTTGACATTGACCTCTCTAGAACTTGTCTGCAGTCCTATTACTCTGGAGTAGATCAACTTTTCATAGACTTTCGTACCCCAACATTGACTTCTTCATGGCTGCCATGGTTTGAAATTTCTTGGAAATTGTGACATAGAATCCACCAGGTAATTTCTTTTGAAAATCATGCATCTGTCTAGTATAGATGTCAACTGCTTTATCCACATTCACTGACGTTGGCGCAATGCTGGTCTAAATAAAGCCTATTAATTGAATAATAATGTGTGCCGTAAAACCACTTCTCACCGATTTGTTGAAAAATAAATTCTTTCATAGCCATTTTTTTCTTGACATATGTAGGGTAGGTGTAGGGAATTGGAGACCACCAAGCTTGAACCCATCACTGTCTGTCCGTGTTGACTCCAATATTGATATAGCGACATATGTGGCCTTCAACAACACTACTGCATATATCCAATTCATTTCGAAGACTACAGTGCGTTCTCTCTACGAGAAAATTGGCAAAATTGACCAAGATAAGCAATTTTGATCGTAAAATTTTGCTCTGATATAAAAACACAATTTTCACTGAATGTTGTGGTGTATGCAGATATTTAGGGGTGGCTCTTAAAAAAAATAGTTTTAAAAGGAAGTTTATGAAATGTGCCAACCATCACAGAAAGCTTATGGCCACTGTGTGTTGTGAATGGGTGTTGCAATTCACATTATGAATAGTGTCTGATCAGAAATGTGTGTAGGTAATGGGGGACACCAGGTCCAAGATGGGGGCCTACTTCTCCCCAGTTGTCCATTTCATGTTGAAAGGCACTATCATGAAACATATTTGGTTGTACGTGTCACCATTCTAATTTGAATGCATTTAATTTTAAGAAGTTGTTTCTATGCTGTGAGTTTGATAAATGTAAAAGTCATATTGCCAGAAATATTCTGGGCCCCATTGTTTTAAAATCGTTTCAAAATTACAGTAAGTTCATTGGCTGCATGTTTATCTTTCAAAAAGTGTTTGAACTAACTATAACAATCCCATTTTCATTCAAATTGTATTTAAAATGTCTTGATTTGTAACTGTTCCTTATTACCTACACATGAAGGTAATGAGAGACCTTTGGTGATGACGTCATTAATCATTGTTATCTTATTAATCAGTTACATCATCACCACAATTTCGTTACCAAATAAAGAGAAAAAATACTAAAGAGAATACAAAAATGTCTGTATGTGTAACATTGTTCATGTTTATGTAAATTATGCAAATGTGCTTAAGGGTCTTCCATTCCCCACACCTACCGTATCTAAATTTGTACCAAACACGATGAAAGATTAATGCAGCACAACTGCAATTGTTTCCCCAAAAAGCATTTAATATGATTTCAACGTGACATAGATTTAAGAAATTGGCATTTGGCTGGCACACATATTTTATTCAAATTAATATGTTTATAGAGGGCGCTATTTCAAAATATGCAAATAAGCTGGTCATCTCTGGCCATGCAACACCACGAAACACATTTTTAGTGATGGTCCTAGAGAGATACAGACATTTGGCAGCCAAAAATTGTAGAAAAAAATCCTTATTATATATTTATTATTCATTTTTAAAGGAAAATCATGTACTTTGGCGGCCATTTTGTATGACGTCATATATCTTAAATTGCTCAAGGCTGACAGAGTGTCAGCAATCGGATTCTTGAAATAGAAGGTCTAAGCAATCAAAATCCATTGAAAAAAAAACTATAGACCATAAAACAAGGTTAGGCCAATAATCTGGATTTGGCTGCCGGACTATACCACCAGGCCATCACTGGTCCATGGCACAGACACGATAAACTAGAAACAAATACCCGAAGCACTCCTGATTCATTCTGACTTATAAATATTCATTAGTCCGCCATAGGACAATAACTTTTATAAATGCAATACTTCCTGGGAGAAATTTCAATATTTTTTAAACATATTTGTGGCTTACCACCCAGCAAATAAGATCGATTGATCGATCTGTAATTGAAAAACAAGTCAGAAAAATTCTTGGAACCAGCGGGATTTGAACCTGCCATCTACTGCTTGCCGGGCAGCGACTCTATTACATTTATACAAGTTGGAAGGAAGGGCCTGCAACCTGCCATAATCTTCTACCTCTTGGTTGCTTTGATCAATTGCCGAAAATATTTTGGCACCTTTCATCCCTCCCCCCCCCCCCCAACCACGGATACAAATCGACACCCCTGCCAGCTATAATCACATTTTCAGGATATGGACCTGATAAATGCATGTTTCAGACACAATGTTACCTAAAATATCATTCAGATATGTCAAAAACAATATTTGTAATACGCCTCTTTGTATCATGGACGTATCTTTTTGATGATTACTCAAACATCTCAGGATCTATTGTGGCACAATTGCACAAAGCAATATTACGGGGCAGCGTTTCCTCAGTTTTTGACCTCCATATTTATCAAAGAGGAAATAAACAGGAATGAAAGGGTCAAAGACCAAAGGTTATAACCTTACCTTGACGTGGACATGACCCCCTGATGACCTCGACATCATCGATGGCGATGTCTCCCAGGATATAGAATCCTCTCTCAGCTTCGATGACGGCCTTATAGCGATGGGAAGATGAGATACTGACTTGACCAAACCTCCAAGCATCATCCGATGGACCTAAGGTTAAAATACTTGTTGCAAAATAAGGATATCCTTATGCAACTAAGGATGCCATTTCTTATTATTAAACAAGGGAAATGCTCTTGGCGGTCTCGCCTGCATTATGCAATTTATGTGATTACTACTTCAGATAATATTTTAAGAATGGTGAATGGTTCTTGAGGTGAGTTGTCTATATAAAAAAAAAACATGAAAGATATGATCACCAGTCAAGGTAGACTGAAAAAGAAGAATGGGAAGATGATATACTGACCAAACCTCAACGAATCATCCGATGGACTTTATTATTTATTTAAATGAAATAATGAGGACCATGTAAATGTATATCGTGGAGGATATCAAAGGTAGGCCTACATGTAATAACAGGATAACAAATAACCAAAAGTTATTTTTAGAACCATTTGTGAATTGAGTGTTCTATCTGGATTATGAGACCATGTCAGTCTACGCCTGAACTTGATATTTCACTTTGACAAATATATTGACTGAAACTCAACGCCTATGCATCATCCCCTTTTCCAAAGCTCTCTTGTTCACCAACATTCTGCTCCGAATAGTTCAAGCTACAGGCCCATATTCTAGTTGTTTAATTAAGCCCATAGCGTGGTCTGCGTCATCTTCATGAAAGGTTAAATTAAGACCATGGTCTAAGCTTTTGACTTTCGACCAAGCTAAAAAGTACCGTTACGTCCATACTGTAGTGATATACCTGCCAATGGACCTACCTAAGCAAGATTTATATAAAAAATGAATAATGGGGACTGGTGTCCTTGGAATACTGTTACTTTTTCACTTTACATAACTACTTACCATTCCTTGTGAATAAAACACCACTATCACTATGTGTTACTTGGTCCTCTGTGTAAATGGTCAACGTGCCTAAGTTACTTCCATACATATGGTACCAGAACCTTAGACATTCCATATCTGTATCTGAATAGATGGGACTAAAGAGTCGTGCCTTGGACCCAGTTGAAGCATCAGCTGCATTGACGTACGCGTAGTAACCTGCAGGAGACAGAGATAAGATTAGAAAAGGCAACGTTATGAGGATTGAGGTAGAGATATTTGAAGAGATACAATGTGTATAAAACAGAACCATTTAAAATGAGGGAGATTTACAGTTATTCCTGTCTGTAGTTGGAACAGTTAAAATCACATAAAAATGGGTTCTATAATGGGGAATTTGACTCCATTTGTGTGTTTACCCAATAACAGGACTGGTGTTGTTAATTCATCCCGGGTCTGGCTTTGAGTGTTATGATAAAGTCTTTATTGCATCACCTCAAGACGAGATATTTCTTGATTGGCCTGTTAAGGGTTTGCTATGTGCAGACTAGCTTGCACACCCCACACCCATTGATGGTATTTTCACTGAGTCTAGTGTCAGCGAATTGTGACCCTTTGAACATTGAAACTGACGACAAGAACAAGCCATTTTGAGAGGCTTTGATTCAGTTTCCTCTAAAACCCTGATTAGGATGATGACCCCAACCAAGGACATGCAGACATAGCGTTGACCCATTGTATATAGGGACCGGCTTGAGCCCTGTATGAAGCACTTGGAAATTAGTGAATTCAGAAGTGAATGAGTTAAGTCAATGCCAGTAAGCCTGGACAGGTAGTTTTAATAGTTAATGTGTACCAATCACCAAGAATAATAGTGGACAGCTAGAATGTATAAAACCACAATCAAAAAACCTTAGCTGGCTTTTAATGGGCTACCAGATAATGAGTATGAATAAAATACAGCAGAACATAAAACAGCGTAGATGAAAAGAAGAAGTCGGAATTGAGTTCCAGGTGAAATGTTTTTAGCGAGCGTATGAGAGTGTTATGAGTAATGTATGCATAAGTCGCTTTTGTGTTAACTGGGATTGTATTTTTAACTTGCAAAATCTCTTTTGAATAAAGTATTATTATCATCAAGTATACGGTGTCACCTGTGTCTGGGAGGCGAAAAGAGAACTGAATGACTCTAACTCTCAGGTCTCTCCTCCTGGTATAACTAAGTGGGATGTACAGCTGGACCACGTACTACAATAGGAATTAGGATATATTAGGACATTGAACTGAAAACACATAAAACAAACTAATGTTTGATACTTACCAAGAGCACTACCAGTGGAGTGATCGTATGATGGTCCTGTGCTAGATGTAGGTGTTGGACCGGCATTCCTCAACCATTGCCAGGAGTTGGTCTGGTCCTGAGTCCAAGAACAGAAGTCCAGCTCAAAGTCACATTCAACTACGAGATAAGATAGTGGGACATATAGTTTTTTTTTTTTATAAATATGACTATAACTTAATGCTTTGTTCATATTTCCTGGATGAAATATAGTTTAAATAAAAACGACAGGAAAAGAGAAGAAAGGATATCTGTACCACAAAAAAGATGAACAGTGGTGAATGGGGATATGGAAAATGTCGTAGCACGAAAAGAAGCATCTGAAACGCAAAAGACATAATAGTTTATAAGTGCTTTTTGTTAATTAAAAGTTCTTATTTGACACACCTCAATGAAAGTTTAGGTACCAGCTCCTTAAAGCTAAAGATGGGGTTCAAATTCTATGTGATAAAATTAAGATTTTAAACAATTATTCATTATGCATTCCAGGCACGTCTGTTTTTCCCGAAGCTACCTAAAAGAGAGATATTTTAAGATTCTTCTTCTTCCTTCCGAGTCACTACACAAGCCTGGTCCAGTGGAGGAAGTAGGATCTGGCCTAGGCGTTGAAACCCTCTAGGTCTTTTGGGATAAAGGATGTTTAATCGTCTGTTCCTCCATGTTTACTATAGTCCCATGTATGAGATTTCAAGATGAAGAGAACATTAACTAACCTTCTGTCGGACAGGCACCATCATAGAGGGATAGGTCGTCTAAGGCTATATCACCAGAATCACTCTGTCCTACCACACCTTCATAGATAATCTGCAAACAAAAGAAGCAGAAGACAGGTTTACTCCATTACCTACAGGAACTGACTAGTCCCTTTATTAACAATATTCACACCTTAAAGCCCTTTATAATGTAATTACTATTACTAGTCCGGCAGCCACTGAGCTATACCTCGTTTTGTTGAAATAAGTTTTTTTAATGGATTCTGTTTCCTTAGGCATTGCAGATGACCAAACAGAAAATCGGAACTTTGTCAGTGTTGAGCATTTTAAGATTGCCCCCCAAAAAATGCCTTACGTAAGGACATAAGTGCCATGACAGGGATCAAACAGAACAAAACATTGCATCTCCAGGCAAGTGTTTAATCCACTTGCTGACATATGACACCTCCATCTTAACTCGTTAAATACTGAATTTTCTCATTCCCATACAGGGTTCCCATCAATAATGAGTTAATAAGCCCACAAGAGATTCCAGCAGTCAAGGAGTTAATCTTCAATATTTATTTAATAATTTAGCAGTAAGCCCTCAGCATATGCAAATTAGCCTAAGAAGTTTTTTGATCTATAAAATTATATTAAGATGCCATGATGAACTTACATGTAAGTTAACATTTAATATATCTCTAATCTTAAGTGTGTTGAATTCCTGATCTAAATTTAAATTATTTGTATGCGCCTTGAGCATCTCTAGAGATGGGTATGTTACGCTTTATAAATATCGTTATTATTAATACTATTAAATATCAGGAAAATGAGGAAAGTTTACCTCCCAGACATCATCTGAAGTGATCTCCTTCTCTGCTTTGATCCACTGGTTTCCTTGGGTGCCATACTTGGTGAAGATGATGTTGTCCAGCGTCATCTGGGGTTGGGAGACCCTGAGGTACACATTCAACCTGTTAACATGAGCTCCAAACATGTGATACCAAAACACCAGGCACTTTGATCCAGTACCAGTAGGATTCTGGGCGGGGCTGGCAAGTTGGGCCTTGTCTCCAGGTTGACGGCTAGTTGCATCAGTATAGACGTACCAACCGTAGCTAGTGCCCAGGGTGTGGTCAAATTTCGGGCCTGTAGTTTCGGTGTTGGTGAACCAGAAGGTCCTTGTCCAGTCGAACTGGTCACTGGTCAGTTGGGTGTAGGAACACATGCTGGATTCAAATGTACAGTCCATTGCTGAGGAAAGATAAAAGAAAGATTTTAAGAACTCAAATGGAAAGAGATGATGTATGATGTGATTTCAGCTATTGCATTTTGAGGGTTAGGTATTGTTTATAGTAAACACAACAGAAAAAACACTAAAAATTAAGCTTTCTTGTCATTCAAACCAGTTCCAGCCCAAAGTGGAAACTCTTTCAAGAGCAGCACTGACGCCATATACTGCAGAAAATACCCCCCCCCCCCGAAAGTTTGTGACATTCTATGATTAAAAATTTCTGTACTGTGGGCTATATTACTTAAACCCAAATAATTACGTTTTTCATTCTGTGTTTGAGATTAAAATGGCTAAACATTTTCTTTCTTAGAATAAACAGGAACTTGATGTGTTTAAATTTTTCCTTTGAAGATGTTTTACACCTGAAACAATAAAACCAAATTGTATATATTCAGATATTGACTGGTAGAGGGTGTAATATAACTTATTTTTGACAGCTGAAGGGAGTTATATTTTCCCGAGGGTTCGCTGTGTGCAGACTTGTACACACGTTAATGGTTTTTCCACCACGTCTGGTGTCAGCGAAATATGGCCTTGTGCGCATGGAAACTTACGATCCACAAGTTAATAAGTTATAATAGGTCTGTTTTCATCAGCTCAAGATTGCAAAATAGCCCGCTATTTCTGATTTGGGAAATAAACCCGAAGTTACAAATCGCGTCTTTATCAGCTCGAGACTTGACTTGAAACTTGAAACTCAAGATATTTTGCTCAGCGTTCGCGCAAAGTCCAGGTCTTCCTGCTGGTGAAGTCGCACCGGGATATTTTGCCAAATAGCGGGATGATTATCGACCAAAATTCCCGCTAATAGCAACTTCGAGCTGATGGAGACGCAAACAAATCTGGATATTTTGCGATCAGGATAGTTCCAATGGCGGAATATTTGGCAATCTCAAGCTGGTGATGACAGGCCTTTTGATAACTCTTACGAATGACAGGCAAGGATGTAGGATTGCCTCCATCACTGCAGGATCTTGTGAAGACATCAATGTCATCGATAGCGATATCACCCGTTCCACTCTTGGTCCCAGAAGCCTCAAAAACAATCTGGTGTTATTAACAAAAAATATGCTATTACCATTTAGAATTATCAGTGAACAGAACTTATGTATACAACACTTGTACATTTCCATTGTTTGCTCAAAGGGGCTTTCCAGTAGATTTACTTTCACGTTGTTGATGTTCATTTTTGGGGTGTATTTTTGTGTACTTGTAGTTTTTCTTCTCCATTTGGCCTCAAACATTTTAGTCATGTGAAGTTGGCGCATTACAAATACTCTATGTTATTATTATTATTATTATTATATGCATGCAAGCCAGCTTCTTTCACAATTGCTTTAAAAATTAGAAAATAGAAGGAAAATATATTCCAAACTCTTAGCTGGGATTAAGTTGACATTAGCTATGCTTATGCTGCCCAAAACCACAGACATCTTTTAGACATTTTTATTATTTTCTCTCAAATCAAGTACAATCCTTCTTAACAAAACTGGATACATTGTACATTGATATTTTTGATTAAACATAAATTGCAATAATAAAATAAACTGTTTAACCCTAAATGGGTTCCTTCTCATCAAAACCACCCAGCAAAACACACACGCTCTCTATGTCTTTCTGTCTGTCTCGCTTAGTGACTGAGAATCTGGCAAATCTACAACCGATTAAACTACAATATTATTGATGGTAAGTGGTAAACTTACCCTGACTTAGCAAATTCAAAGTCAGCACTGCCCTAAAAACCTACATCACCCTCAACTCCAAAAGCACACCCATACACAAACTCCATACACACCACACAAAAAATCAAGGCATATCGATGTTCCCCTCTCTTTTATCTGCCCCTCAATTGTCAGAGACTTACCTTAAATTCGCCAATGTAGACAATATCTGCACTGCCCTGGATCCATACATCACCCTGTGCACCGGTCTTACTGAAGGCAGGACCTAGGTGTCCCCCATCTGACCCCATGGTAAATACCTCCAGGCTCCCAATATCTTCAAAATGAAATGATAGGAATAAATGTAGTATTTATACTTATTTTGGAAGAAGAATATAACTGTCAGATCCTGAATAGGGGCTATAATAGGATTAAGGGGATTAGCAGGTAATCCCGTAAGACTAAGAACAACCCTGTAAATGTTCTTAGTGAGGTATGGTATGTTATCCCATAGGATTTTTTTGTCAAAGTTGATTTTGTTTGCTGTTTTGGCTTCAAAAGGTTCCCAATTGGCCAAAAATGATGGGGTTCAAATTTCCTGGGGGTCCATATTGGGCGCCAAAATGGCATACGCGCAATAGGGAAATTTGGTGTCTTCGGGAAAATTTGAACCCCATCAATTTCTGATAATGAACCCCAATGAATCCAAAAATGCAAACAAAAAAAATCAACTTTGGCAAAAAAATCCTAAGGGAGCTGTTTCAGTGACATTCGGAACCACACTATTAGTCTAATGGGATGTTTGCGTCATGCCATTAAATATTGTTTTGAATTATACATGTAATGCATGTACCATGGGTAGTATAGTGCACCTGTAGAGTTTAACTAATAAATGTATAATAATGTGGAGCAAGCGCATTGAGCACCTGAGCTTGTAAATACCAACAGTAGTGGTGACAGTAGTGGTAGTAGTGTACTAATAATTTACTTATTATCACTTTCAATATTCCACAGCCATTACGAAAAGGTATTTTTACTTACCATCACCGTACATATGATACCAAAACGTCATGCAGGATCCTTGAGTACTGGGGAGGTATTCACTCACAAGGTCAGCCATACTCTTATCAAGAGTGTCATCTGCTTCAAAGTACATGTACATCCCTACGGACAAACAAAGAAATCAACTGGGTTATCAAAGATCCTTTAAAACTGGGAAGGTATTCACTCACTAGATCAGCCATACTCTTATCAAGAGTGTCATCTGCTTCAAAGTACATGTACATCCCTACGGACAAACAAAGAAATCAACTGGGTTATCAAAGATCCTTTAAAACTGGGAAGGTATTCACTCACTAGATCAGCCATACTCTTATCAAGAGTGTCATCTGCTTCAAAGTACATGTACATCCCTACGGACAAACAAAGAAATCAATTGGGTTAATAAAGAAAGTTTGTACATCAGAAAATTTGAAAGCCAGTCGTGTGAAAAAGAAAGAATGCATATTAGATCTCTCATTTGGTTGAATCATAAACATAACTTCATTAATTATTATACACTAATGTCCTTATTGCACTCACCTTGTGCTGTTCTTGTTGTATGGTCAAAGGATGGGCCTGTGAATGGGGAGGGAGTTGCGCCGTTATTGCGTAACCAATCCCTTGTGTCCGTCTGTTTCTCATCGCTCCACCCGCACCTCCCTTTCTCAAAGTCACAAAAACCTGAAAAAGTCACATAATTGTCAGTTTACTAAACAAATCAAGCAAACATTCCTGCAAGGTCACCGACAGGTATCTCATCAAATCAGCTCTCAATTAACATTAGAAAAAGGGGACTGTGGGGGACCAATGGTCACCGATTAGGCTTTGTTTGCTATATTGAGGGCGCAAGTAGCTATAAGTAGTGCAAAGGGGCTTTAAACAATTAACAACAAAGATGACAAAATGTCTAGAGATATCATACAAATAACGATAATATTCATTATAGTCACATTTGTATAGCGCTTGATACTGTGCTTCTAAGTGCTTTACATGGCAGTTGTTATTACCTCATTGGATTTAACTGCTAATCAGCACATAATAGTGCACACTATCAACTCCCAGGGGAATATTCTAGCCAGGCGCCATCTTTCAAACCCACACATGCAAATCCAACCACATTAGCGTTCGCATCATACAAGTGCCAGATATATTAATCTATACCAGATTTAACCCTATTTAGCCCGGGCTATTTTGAAACTGCATAGCCCGGGGGGGGGGGGGGGGGGGGGGGGGCTTCTCAGGCCCCCCCCCCCCTATGATCTCGGCCGTGAAACGCCCGATCGCCGCGAAAATTTGCATACATGTCAAGTGAAGTGTATAGAATACTATGGTAATTTCAATTTTTTTGAAAAATTCACTCATTTGCATATTTATGGTAATTTATGCAAATAAGGTCATTAAATTCACATTTTTGCCCATAAATCAGACATTATTCATATTTAAGCATTCTTTCTCACTACATATATTTGTTAGACCATTTGGAATAATAATACAGCACAAAAATTTGAAAAACCAGGGTTATTCCTTATGTTATCTATTGTTTTGATAATTTCTTATGTATTTCTTTGTTTTTTTAACTTATGTATTTTATTGTTTTTGTTGTTTTATTTCATTTCCAACTATAATTCAACTATTTTGACCCCAAAATAAACACCTAAAATCTAAACAAGACCAAATAACCAATGTTTTACCTCTTTATTTGAAAAATGAGATTTCCATATGTTTTGTACACAAATCACAAAAATGAGCGATTTTCGGGCTGACATGCGAAGACAAAAGGACACGTGACTTTGTAATGGTAGGTCCGATTTTCGAAAAATTTCTTTCAAAAGTTGCGCAAGACTCGAAAGAAAAAAGTCACAAAATTTCAGTGCAAGAATATCTTGCGTTAAAAAATTATCGCGAAAAATGTCGAGGGGGGGGGCTTCTCAAGCCCCCCCCCCCCCCCCGGGCTAAATAGGGTTAAAAGGACTGTCATTAACTCTTTGCCCAGAGTTAACTCTTTGGGCACACAGGTTGGTGTCCTCAAAGAGGCCAACTAGATAGTTGGGCATGATGGTAACCCTCTTGGTGTGGATGGCACACAGGTTGGTGTCCTCAAAGAGGCCAACTAGATAGTCAAGACTAGAAATGGGTAATAATCCAAAATCATTGTGTCGCAAAAAGCAATCGTTTTGTTGATTGTTTTGTGCAAAATTTCACGTGTGGTAACCGAGCAAACTGTGCAGTGAGGTGAAGAAAACAACCAAAGTGTTAATAGTCTTAAATGCAATTCAATTTAATTTAATTAATCTATTTACACAAAACTCATGGAATACATTGAAATGTGCAAAACACTGCAGTCAAAATATAAATATTACAATTGAAATATATACATGCAGGAAAGAACAATACATACGATGATAATTAAGTATATGTGGAGGGACTAGCTAAGGCAGAATGTCTATCAAGGGCTATAATCCCCAGCTTTAAAGCCAGGCTGCACTAGTTTGGCCAGGGAGGAATAGACCTCCCTACAAGGTAGGTCACTAACAGGTGGTTATCTCATCAAAACAGCTCTTAATTAACAAAAGAAAAAGGAGATCATGGGTACCAACAGGCACCGATTAAGCATTGTTTGCTATACATAGAGGGTGCAAGTAGCTTTAAGTAGTGCAGTGGGGTTTTAATACCTGGCCTGGAACAAGATTCATCAAGAACAGTGAGGTCATCAATAGCTATGTCTCCATTGACACCATCATGTAAGGTAGCCTTGATGACCAGCTGGTATGGGTGAGCAGGAGCGAGAGAGGCACGCCCATAATGCCACTCCATCTCACTATGACCTGCGAGATAGAAAGAGGATAAGGTGGTAGTAGTAGTATTAATTTATAGAAGCATATAGTTGAATTGGGGCCTTTGTTGAATACTCTTAGATGTAATCTTTAATATTTCACATTCTCAAGAACATAAATCGAGATAAATTAAATTTTTCAAATACTTCAAACAAACTACAAAACTTGCTGAGGGTATAAATAATTTAGTTGTTATCTGTATGTAAACGAACATTGCTTGAATGGTACCATATATACAAATATATGCGGTTTGCAAATAAATTCATAAATTGTTTTCTCCATCATTTATTAATTGAATAATACTTACATAAAAAGCACAAAATCTTATTGATTACATAGAAGAAAAAAAGTAAATTATACTTAAATCACAACATTAACTATACTGATATCAAAACATTAATTATACGTTTTTGTTTAAACATAACGAACATTCTATTCCAGGGGGTGTTTCACAAAGACTAATATCGACTTTAAGTTGGACTTAACTATTGTAGGCTGTCCATGCCACTTTTTACTCACCATTTACTTGCATGGGTCTCTCAAGGGATTTAAAAATCATGGTCACAAATCTACAGAATTTACATTTTTGATAGTTCATTATTGAAGAAAAAAATATTATCTAACGATCATAATGGTGAGATTAAATAGTGGCATGAACGTCCCGCGATAGTTAAGTCCAACTTAAAGTCGATCTTAGTTTTTAATTGTGAAACACCCCCATAACTGATACTAGCGATTTTTTGTTTTTCGCATGGGGAAGCAAGTGCTGACTACGGGTATTTAAATGAGCTCGCCACCCCGTACTAGCTCGACTCCTCATGCTAATACGGCTGAATACCATCATAGGTTTTGGACGCTATGCGGAAATTTTCGCTTTGAGTGCGACCCCCACAAAGATTAGCGTTGTAGAAGGCCGCGTCGCCGGTTGCGAAAGATTGCAATTTTTCAACAATTTGCAACTTACTTGTTTCCTTCCAGATAGATGTTGATGCTTTAGACACGGTGTCATAGATGTGAACCTCTAGCTCTCCTATGGCACCTCCATAGAGATGGAACCAGAACGTGAGGCACTCACTGACTGCTGCAGGATAGACAGGGCTGTAGAGCTGGGCCACCTCCCCGTATGCTCTGGGAGGCTTGGCTGTGTTCACATAGGCAAACATCCCTGGAAAAGCATGGAGTGATGAACAAACTCGTTTGAGTTATGAATGGAATGCGGTCTCCTTTCCACCACATAGGCTAAGCAACTTTGCTAGGAAATCAGTTTTTATTTGTCTTGCAATCTTTTATATGTTCAGTTCTCTCCTAGAAATCACTACAATATTAGAGGAAACCAGACTCGACTAGCATTTGTGCTAACTTCTTGTACCCCTTTAACATCAAAAGTGTACACATAATCTTTAGTTTCTTTTGTTTATAACATACTTTGTAAAACAATGTGTATATTATTAATGTGTGATGTTATTTATCTTGTGTTATATTGTTACATGTTATGTATTCATGCTTGATATGTTATGTTTTACTTCTTATTTTTATTTTTTAAAATAAAACTCAAGCTCAAACTCAAACATGTAAAACGCTGCATGTTCTGCTTTTCAGGATGCTTTAGGAGCACTTCCTTTTCTTTACATAAAGGATCTGCTGGATATGTGCATTTTGGAGGGAAATAAAGTATCCATTTGTAAATGATTACATAAATTAGGCATATTTCACGTAGTAAACTTTTCCAGATCCATAATACTGAGCATTGTAAAAAGTTGAACAAATCTCAATCCTTATCATAATATGTAATTGATAAAATGAACAGCAATATATATATATCACAATATAGGTCTTGACAGATTCAACTTGATCGTATTATCAGCAGGTCACTGCATACATACCTCTTGTCAGTAGATTGAACGAATATCATTAACAAAAGCTTGACATTGCTTCACATATTCTTGTTGTGGTAATTCAATCTTATTTCTTTGATATTTTTTTTTTTTGGGGGGGGGAGAAAAGAGGATAGTCCAGGGTAAGAGCAAAGGATCAGATGGAGACCCAGAACAAGACTGACTGGCAATATCATAGATCCACATGAACTTGATGTTCCCTTCATGAGGTGTATGCCCTGCTACTTATTTCCATGTATGGTATAATATTGTTGGGGTCATGATCTGTCAGTCACCCTGAGACTGATAAACCCAAGTCGTATGTAATAGCGATTATGCTATAGTAATAGTGAAATGCTGCTTGTAAGTATCGGCTTGCATGGGGATGTAGATATACAGTAGGCTTGCGGGTGCACCATGTGAGGACTGTTGGTGTAGTCTTGAAAAAGACTGTTTGAAGTCACCAACAGTCCTTGTCAGGATTACACACCCTCAGGACTCTCAATCCTCCCCCTCTCTCGAATGGTGCACCCGCAAGCCTACTGTATAATAGTGAAATGTTATAGTACTCATGATTAATGTCCGATCATAAATCCTACCTAGATCGGTTCCCATGGTGTGGTCTGACGGAGGTCCTGTTCCTTCTAACATGGATCCGTTGTTACCGATCGTCCAATCAAAATCATCCATGGAGTCCTGAGTCCAGGAACAGAAACCCACCTCAAAATCACATGTTCCTAGAAAAGGTCAAAGGTTAGAAAAGTTTCCTTTAGCAAGACATGAGCAAAATGTATAATTATGGACCTACTAGGAGGTCCATGGTATAACTCTGTTTCCTTAAAACTAGATACAATTGAACATGTTCGTGATGATATGACGGTTGGATGTTTTCCATACCTCGAGAGCAAAAATCACCTGATAATGAGGGATTCCTTGAATGCTGCAAGCACTGAAACTGTTTGCATTGTTAAAGGTGAGGACATTTTGGATTGCCTTGACCAGCTTCGTGTAGCATGATGAATATAAGAACTATCCAAGATGCATTTGCATTATCATGATATGGGAGGTGTTTACAGAGATATGAATTTACCCAAAGTGCTTTAAAATTCAACTGATTTACCGACATAAAATGGTCTGATATTTGAATCTTTGCCTTGATGACTTACGTTGTAAGGAACAAGCCCCATCAGTTACGATGACGTCATCAATAGCAATGTCGCCTGCGTTTCCTAGTCCCTTGTAGGCTTCAAAGACAACCTGAATGTCGTCGAAAGAGAAAGGTTAAAGTAATGAGAGCCTCTAAATTGAAGATCTGAGAGATGATTTTGTGGGTATTTTGTGCGTTACCACGTTTCACTGACATCAGACGCGACAGATTTCTTGCATACATACAGATATATAAATATCTTGCTTGCACCAAAAAAAGTGATATTACTAACAGAGGTGTCGTAGACACAAGGATCAAACACCTAGAGATGCTAAAGTCTAGGCTTGAGTGCCAAATATCATTTGGCAAGACATTACTCTGCATTTGCCACTCTCTACCCATGTGTGGAATGTTACTAGTAAAAAGAAGCCCTTGAGTAACTTGCGTGGTGTACAGGAAAACTATCAAATATTATTTTTCTTTTAAAGCTCGTCTCTGCAAGTTTTGCCAGAGGGGATAAGACCTCCCTGCAAGGTCACTGGCAGGTGGTTATCTCATCAAATCAGCTCCCAATAAACATAAGAAAAGGGGGACCATGGGGACCAACAGGCACCGATTAGGCATTGTTTCCTATATAGAGGGCGCAGAAAGCTATAAGTAGTGCAGTGGGGCTTTAATGATACTGATTTATACTAACCGCCCAGGAGGTTGTCGAGCTAACGGTCCATTGTTCATACATCCACTGGTTTCCTTGTGTTCCTTGGCGCTTAAAGATCGGCATGTTCTGATCATCTTGCTGAAGGTAAACATTGAACTTGTCAACGTCAGGCCCGTACATATGATAATACCAGGTAAGACAGACGCCCTCTCCGCTGGTTGCTCGCTGTGGGTGGGATTTGAGAATGGCTTTCTTTCCATCTTCTGGTCCGTCAGCCTCGATGTACATGTAGTAGCCTGCAGTCATGTAACAGAGAAGCAAACAACCACGGCTAATTTACAAACAAAGACAATTTTGGGGTAACCTCCCTGCTGAAGAAACGAGATTTGTTTCGAAAAACGTTACAATAATGCATTCAACAATTGTCTGTTTGTGTTCCTAAAACACCAATATTAAGTGGACATGAACCAATATGTATGGACAATTTCATCTTCCCTGACGAAAGAACGATTTCTTTTTCAAAAATTTGGACAATAAAGATGTCTTCATTATCTAGTAGACTATTAGTGCATTACACAAGCGTCTTTCTTTTGTATTTTTGTTAAACGCCAAATCAGGTATATCTGTAGGAGAGACCCTATAGGGATACAGTGATTCGAATTGCTTTTCGCCTCCGTGGTGCAGGCGACGCGAAATAATTAAAAACAGATACAGATTATTATTCACGTACCTGACCCTGTGGTATGATCGAATCTAGGTCCAGTCGAGTCTGATGACGTTTCTCCTTTTGTTCTTATCCAATCAAAGTCGTCCTCATCTGGACTCAAGCCTTGGATGTATCCGCAGAGACCATCTTCAAACGTACAACTTATATCTGAATGAGTGGTAACAACGAATTATTTTATTCCTTTGACAGTTTCATCTGGAACAATATAACCAGGGTTCAGTGACACAAAGGCGTAACTTCATTTTTGCCAAAATTAGTATTTGATATATGAATGTTCATACAAATGTGGGCATTCCAGGAAACACAAAGACTTAACTCCACCCAAAATCCCATTGAAGTCAATGGCTAGTGAAACATAGACTTAACTCCTTAAGGCCCAAGTGCTCAGTGACACATAAACCACTTTTTCTCCAAATGGAGTAACGTCTTTGTGTCACTGACCCCTCGATATACAGAAAATGAAAATACAGATTAGGATAAATTAAGCTCTGAAGTAGCCAAAATGCAATACGGGCTTCAAGTTGGACACAGATTATTGACAAACTGTATCTTACCCGCTTAATTATATGATTCTATTTTCATCTTTATTTGTTGATCGATATTGTTACTACTTATGATTATTTTAATTGGTAAATTCATTTGTAAAATATATATGAGTGTAACCCAAATTTCTGAATGGAAAATAAGTTCAATAAAATTTGATATCAAGACGACATGTATTTGTGGTGGAAGTGGTAATGAGAAGTGGATTGAAACGGATGTGCCAAATGTTAAGAAGGGAAGATGATGAACCTGTGGACAGAACATGGAATGTGGATAGCATAAAAGGGAAAGGAAGACCGAAGAGTCCATGGGAAGATATGTTCAAGAAAGAACGCCATAAGGTTAGTCGGAATAATGAGAAGGCTTGAGACAAGAAGAAGTAAAGGAGGGCCAGGGATCGACTATCATCATGGCACGAAAGTCAGTAACCCTTCGTTAGAGAGAAAATAGTGACTTTATCGAATGATGATGATGATGAAACACACAATTTCTGAATGGACAATACATTGTATGAATCCCATCTTTTATCATTGTATTCAATCTCAAATTAAACGATGTTACGTTTTATAGTAAATACACTTTGTAATGTATTTCCCCTCCCCTTCCCTTCTCCTCCCCCTATTTTTTCTTTTGTATTGATGTTCAGGTTTTCTCTGCTTTTCTTTTCCTTTTTTTTCCCAATCAATACAGTGTAAACTTTTTAATGGGTTGGGGTTCATAAGGCTAATTGCCCTTTTTGTTAACCCCATATTCCCATAAAGTTGTGTTTGCTCCTTCCCTTTTTTTTTTTTCTTGTAATCGATCTCTTATCTGTATACGAAATGTGTCATGTTTGTATGTTTATGTTTTTTATGCAGAATGAAATAAATGAAATAATTGAAATGAAATGAAATTTAAATGACGTATACCTGGAGAAACTGAGGAGTCACCAAGACAATTGAGGTAACTAATGCCATCCAAGGCTATGGTGTAGGCAGGAATGTTATCAATGTCCAAGTAGGTGTGGTCAATAGTTAGCTGCAAGTAACAAGGATACACTCCTTAACAAATATTCTGCAATTCAGGATTGGAGCATTGATATTTCTTTTGCTACTAGAGGTGATGTAGTCGAGTGGTTAAGTCGCCGGACTGTCGATCACAAGGTCCGCGGTTCGAGACCCATCGCGGCACTGATGTCCGATGGCAAGACATTGATCTACATTTGCCACACTCAACCCAGGTGATGTAAATGGGTACATGGCAGGAATTAATTCTTTGAAATGCTAGAGCGCCGTAATGTCAGCACAGCTAAAGCCGGGGTTATAATCTCAAAGTTAGGAAGCGCTTAGTGATTGTAATAAGCGCTATCTAAAAACTGAGTATTATTTTTATTATATTATTATACATGACTTTGGTATCATTGTAAAGCCTTTTTATCCCCCTATACAGTGATGCCCCATTTATAACGATTATGTTATCATGGACTGTGCAGTAAACCTGGATATGGAGCCAAATCAAACGTGAAATGGTGCAAAATGCATTGTTATTCCATCAAAACACAATCCAGCCTCCAAACAAATGCAGAATTCATTATTGACAATAACAATGCATTTCGTCTAACCTTTGGGAATCTTAATTTCCTTTGCAGCAATATCTCATTCACAAAAATTGTAACTCAATAGATGGCATAATAAGTGCGTCATAATCTGAAAGTACTGGCACAAATGCCACATGTCGATTGAACAACTTATTGGTAGGTCTACCTGAATCTTTTCCTCGAACATCCCTACGAAGGCCACTCCAAGCTCCCATGTTCCTGGTGTCTCGCTTCCTTTCACCACAAAGAGCTGTTGGCCGTTCGTCACTTGGACACGCAGTTCTAGATCGCTGGACCCGCTACTCATTACGTAATAGAACTGGACCTGACAGAGAGGACCAGTTGGTCCCACAGGAGGGGTGGTGAGGATATTAATCCCCAAGTAACCTTCCAGATAGAACCCGGGCACTGAGGTAGAAAAGAATGAGACCAGGGGATGTTATACAAAGACTAAGATCAAAGTAAATTAGACTTAAATATGGCAGACCATACATGCCACTGGTTGCTCTCATCATTGGTCTCTCGATTATGATCTTTAGATAATATTTTCTTTCAATAATTGCATTATCAAAATATGTAAATTATGTAAATTTGCAACCATGGTTTGTACGTCACTTGCAGAGACCAATGCCTGTAAATGGTGAGAGCAAACAGTTACAGTTGCATAAACAGCCTGCCATAGTTAAGTCCAACTTAAATTTGATCTTAGCCTTTGTGAAACACTCTTCATGAATGTTATGCAAATAATTACTTTCATCTAGATATTTAGTAATGGCAGAATTCTATGTTTCAAAGTAAAGTCCAACCTGTCTATTAAGGTCACTTAGGGGAAACTTCAGAAGTGGCCACTGAAGACAGGTGGCCTTTCTAATGTAAAAGTTGAACAACACATATTTCTTTCTCGTGGGAGACAATTTGCATGGCCACTATAGTCAGGTGGCCTTTATAGAAAGGTTTGACTATACTTATAGGTGCATGCATGGTTATACTTGCAATACAAGGCAAACCTGATTTTTAATATGTTTATTAACCTGTTGAGTACTGGATTATCTCATTCCCATAGATTTAATACATTTTATTTCAACTAAGTAGCAGTAAAAGAAAAATATTTTTGTTGCCAATTCAAGGCATAATGTGATCAATTTAGCCCCAAAACACATTAAAGGCACTTGGTAATATTGTTCAGATGAGAGAAAATTGTGCTAAGGTAGTGAATTCAATGCTAGAAAAACAATTATAAAGATAATCTCAAAGTTTGAATGAAAACAGACCATTATTAATGATGAAAATTGGTGGAAACTGATCTAATCGATTCATTAGTTCTCCCAACTATATTATTACAATTTAATTACATTTTAGGTGAACGTAAATCGTCACAAAGCAATGAATGGACTTTATATACCATTCCAGCCATTTAAGTGTTTTCATGAAAAAACGATTGGGAAAATTCAAAAATGGTTAGGAGAATTTACTGTAAGTGGAAGTCGCACAGTGATGACTTCGAAGAAAATCATAAATATCTGTTTGCATGTTAGAGGGTTAGAACATTTCATACACAAATTACGATTTTTTTTTCATCAACCTTCGACAATGTTACCAAGTCACTTTAAATGGAAATATCTGTCATGTCTCTGACATGGGTGAACTGCGATACATTGCAAGACCTCTCAAAGACCACCTCTAATAAAAGAATTCTATTGATGTTGTACCTGATGGGTTGTTGTTGTGGTCTGTAGGGAGATTCGCGGTATCAGAAACCGCTTCTGTAGGCGTCCATCCTAACACTTGAGACCCACACATTCCTTTGTCATCAAACTCACAAGCACCTGTTAAAGAAAGAAACAAAGTTTCGTAAAACGCTGCCCATGCCTCCTTCATTTAATCCTAATTTACAATAGTTTTTACAATAGGCAACTTACCATAAAGAACATGTTACAGATCGATAAACGGGATGATAACATACAATTAATTGCAGCGATACACATTTTTATAATTGATTGAGATGTTTGTGAAGGTATTGAGAGATTACTATCCTTCCCCAAAATCAACATAGAAGCCTTAGAGAGACCCTTGGTTGTGGACTAGTGTATAAGTAACCCATTTGCAGATCACTAGGTATATATAGGGTTCAAATCCAAGCCCGACACTATACGTCCTTTGGCAAGACGACATTTGCCACTCTCCACCCAGGTATTAAATAGGTACATGGTAGGATGCCAAAGTTAATGTATTATGATCAGCATGGTAGGCATTTGTAAAATAACGCCTGGCTGGAATGCTCCCCAGGGAGGGAAGAATGTGCATACATTGTGCGCGGGCAAGTCTGAATCCGATGACCGGGGGTAGTAATATATCTGTTAAGCTCTTAGAGACAGCGTTGGTGTATTTAAGCGATATGAAAGCGGAATATTATAATATTATCATACCGCAGTTTCGTTCGTCCCTTCCGCTGACGCATTGTGTGATGAAGTCACAGACCTGATCCTGTGGTATGCACTGTCCATCACCGCATTGGTAATCAGAAGCTACAGGACAGGGGGCCAGAGTGGTAGGTGGAGGATCTGTGGTACCCACAGGAAGAGGATCATCTGAAAGGTCACAGTTTGAGAAACTGATGTCGTCAATGGCGATTGCTCCGTCAGGTCCACTGCCTGTAGCTGCCTCAATGATCACCTAGAGTTGGTATCAAGAAAATGGTAATTTTTCGTCACCTTCCTAATTTTGGCACTTTACATGGACCAGCTGACTGATGAGTTCTTTATTACCCATAGGCTTTAGAAATGTATCGTAGGTATACACAAAATTTACCACAGATAAAGTTCCTTTAAAATCTTTTGTTGTTCTCTTTGCCTCTCCTCTGGCAAATGGTTCCCTGGGTTCCTATCTGCAGAGATACCACCCTTCAACAACAAAAAAGGTATTCTTAGAGGAAAAAAGAGTATTTTTGATCAGATACCCGGATCAGATAGCGACATGCGCAGTTTGGGGCATCAATTGAAGACAAATTGCATAATACACATACGAAACAAAGCCCATGATCGGATATTAAGACAAATGTCATTTTAAAAAATAAAAAGATAAACATACAAAAACATACAAAAAAGTACTGCCGTATACATAGCAAAATAACGGAACAAATACGGCAAAAACAGAACAGTTGGCAACTTGGCATCTCTGTACCTGGTAGGCGTCCTGAACAGTTATGTAATCACCAAAGTACCACCCAAAGCTGTCCCCGTCAAAGTTAGTAAAGCTCCTGAGGATTGTGAGTGGGCCACCTATGGAGGTCCTGGTGTATATGGTCAGTATGCCTGCATCGGGTCCATGTGCAAAGATTGCCATGCGAATCTGCAAATTACACAGACAGCATTATACACTCATATCATGTGTTAAAGAGAAGGTTGAGTTCTGGGAAGAGGTGAAAAATAATTTGTGAGCGTTATCATTCTTATTATGCAAGTACATCAGATAAGACATGTTCCCTGAAAAGCATGGCTCTTCAAATGCCTTCATATTCTAAATATATCATGTAACATCATAAAACTCCGGGGTAGGATTTTTATGCCACGTGTTCCTGTAGTCCCATATACATCTTTCTGTGTACAGTGTTTGTAACTTTACCAAGACTTGGCCAAATTTCTTATCATTTTGATATTCCAGAACCTTGCAATACACACAAATTCTTATATGCTAGATGATCAACCTTTTCTGGTCGATTCCACACCTTTCTTTCACAATGCAATCGCATGACCAGAACTCAACGTCATCTTTAAATCAGAGCCGGAAGGTCGTTAACTCTGCGTTAAATCATGTGGGTTAATGACCTTCTGGTTCCAAACAGACGTTATGTACATGTATTTTTTTCACGTCACTATACATTTTTCACTTTAGACAACTCTGACCCATTGATTTCTTATTTAACGCATCAAATAAAATAATCCAATAAATAAAGATTGATTCTGTACACGGTCAGGTTTTGTTTTCGTTTTTGTCATTCCCCCTTTATTTAGGCATTAGTTTTTGGTTTGTTATTAATAACCTTTCTAAGCAACTGTTTTACTTTTTCGTTGGTAGCTCCAATAAAGTTTATGGCTTTTCTAGCTGTCTCCACATCCATATGACATGTTGTTGTTGTATTATATTATGATTTTTTTCTCCTTAACTTGTACGATATTTTTTGTATTTTATATATTTGTTATGATGTTTTTATGATGAGTGAAATAAACATAAATTCATTTCAAACTTCAATTATCCTCTATAACTTTTCAGCAAATAAAAGAATGCTTGAGCAGTTTGTACTGACCATGCAGGTAGATGTAGTTCCAGTAGGACGGAACACTGGTGATGCTATCCGAGCAACATCCCCCTGCCTCGTTCCCATGGCATCAGCAAGCATGTAATAGCCCCCTCTGTCGTTGGACGTGTGGTCACGGGTAGGAGCGTAAGGCGCTCCCTGGGTGAGTGCCCCGGATGTTCGCACCCACGTGTAGTCAGCAGGGATGTTCGTGTAGGAGCACATGCTGGACTCAAAGTCACATCGCCCTGGATATGCGTCTGGGTCTGTCGGTTAATACGGGAAAAATGTAGAAATAATCCTAATTCACAACAATGAAACTGCAATCATGAATAAATTCAAATTCAAACAGATCATTCTCAATGTTTGTACATTGGATAACAAATTTCGAAGTTATAGTATAACATAGATAATTGAGTGTAAGAGTGAAGATAACCATAACCAGGAGTGACACAAACTAACATACTACTGCATGTCTCACCTGAAATATAATACAGGGATGAGAATAAATTATATTACTCGCAATAATTTATACAATTTTGTTCCCCTTTTCTTTTCAAATAAAAGGAAGAAAACAAAATTTAAATATATATACAACATGATGGTAACACAATATAAATATATATATATGTTTTATGGTTACCAAACTTAGGTCGACCCTTTCCCTATTCCAAACTCCTGGGAGACAGTGAGCATGGGAATAAATGATGCGTTTCACAATACTTAATTACGTCAAGATTAATAATAATAATGGTAACAAACAATCAATGATCTACAAATTTCGTATGCGGTCGTATTTCTATCACATAATAGACTATCAAAAATATCTTACATAGAAACCTCAACTAACCACACTCAAGCTTATCTGAGTAATCACCACACGCACCCACAACATTTCATACTCTAAACATTGTTCGACTTACCATATTGAAACTCGCCACAATCAAACAGAATTTTCAACAAAAAAAATCGCTCAACTTACCACACTGCAACTCGTCCGAGTAGTCCCCACAATCATCTCTAAAGTCGCAGACCCCCTGCATGTTGATGCAAGCTCTGTTAGAGCATGCAAACTGCTCGTCCTGGCATGAAGTCTGTATGTCTGGGAACATGCAGATAGACATATGAATGTCACTGACGGCTATGACGCCCCCATCGGCATTCCGGTCACGCACACCAAGGAAATTCATCTGAAAAATAAAAGATATTGTACCTTTAATGTTTAATATATTGCTCATTGCGGATGTAGTATTAAAAAATAATACCGCTAGAGATATAAAACACACTTGCTTACATTAGATTTTATCACCTGATGAATCGTTGCAGCGGCGCACGAAACGTTGTGATCGTTTAGATCCCTTGTTGACTATGCATTGCGAGACAAACGAATATCACTAGCGATATTATTTTTGATATATTTTAATTGTAGCTTAGTGGACAGGACTGTATCGAAGTGTGAAATCATACTGGCCAATTAAAGTTTGCTTGTTCTAAACTATGGTGTCGTGATCACCACACTCGCCCCAAACACTGAAATTGCCCTGTTCCTGTCCGTTGCTTGAATGATTTCGCGGTGAACCTCAAGCGCAGGCTCTGTTGTTTGGAACCAATAACGTGGACGATGAGCATATATGACGTTAGCACTTTCTATGAACTTTGACATGCGGCAATTGCCTGAGGGTAACAGGTGTAATGTTAAAGAGGAGGTGTTTCTCCTGAATAGACATGGAGATATCCATCGTCAAACATCCTTGAGGGGTGTCCTTGTCAACGTACGGTGGAAGTTATCAGACTGTGACGCTTCATAATGTACGGGTGTTGTGGATAAATCTCCGGACTGAGAACGGGGTTTGAATCCCTGCTGCACCACTTTGGCTTTTGGCTAGACATTAATCTTTATTTGCCACACTCCACCCAGGTGAGGTAAATGGGTACCCAGCAGGAATTAATTCCTTAAAATGCTAGGGCGCTGTATTGGCAGCAGTGCTGCATGAAGCCGGGATAATACAAAAAGGAGTACTGTAGGAGTGGTCATGCGCTTTGCCCTAAATGAATGCAATTCAAGGCTCCACTATTATCGTTATTATCATTAATGTTTCTGAAAAAAAATAATATTGATGAATCTCAACTGTACAACAAAAAACGGCTTACTCCGAATTATCAGGTCATCTCGTCGGGTTGGGCCGTCGCGTTCCCCGACCTTTTGTTCAAACATGTCCTTTTACTCACGAAATGTCGAGGGGTAATGTTTGTGAAATAAACCTCAGTCGTCTACAAATGGTCTGGTCCAATTACCTGACACTTTGTGAAAACCCTATAGAAAGTCTACGCATTTTGTTTCAAGAAAGGTTGTGTAATGCGACCACCCGACCAGACGCGAAGATCCGATGATTCGAAGTAAGCCAAAAGGGACAGTCAAACGAAAGAGGACAAAAGCTGTACCTGGAATGGCATTCTTATTCGTCCGACGAGGAATAATCCTTGCTCCCAAGATCCCGTCATTGGTATAGCAGCTCGATACATGACGGTCTCTTCAATTGGTGAGGTCTTGTACGTCACAATGATATCATCTAAACATATAAAGATAGTAATTACAATTAACCCAGTGTCTACTGGAACTGGGGGGTCCTTGTATTGCGCCTACGGGAATGAAAGAATTCAGTAGTCGACGGGTTAAATTGAGTATTCATAATAGCAATGGTTTACAGTTAACTAACGAATGTTCATACAACTTGTAAATTTGATGTTTTATTTGTGTTACTCGTTACTCAAGAATGGAAGGTGGACTAGTAGACTTAATTAGCGTCGTTGTTGAATATTTAGATGTAAGCTTTGATATGCCATATTATTAAGATAACATAAATCGGGACAAATCAATATTTCACATCCTTTCAAATGTGAAAAGAACTACATGGTAAAATTGAATCACATGGCTCAAAATTTGTATGTCTTCAACCATTTTGGAGCTGGTTTAGCGGCGTGATTCAAGTGGAATGGTCAAAAGAAATATAGTTACCTGCACCAGCAAGGTAATACCAGAACACGAGAACATAGCTTGAACTAGTGCCCTGTATTAATGGAGTGACCAGTTGGGTTAAGCTGGTCCAAACCAATTGGTCAATCCACGGAATGACCATTTGGTTTGGCGGTGTGGTTCATGTGGAACGGTCAAAGTAAAGATAGTTACCTGCACCACAAAGGTAATACCAGAACACGAGAACACAGCTTGATCTAGTTCCCTGTATTAATGGAGTAACCAGTCGGGTTAGGCTAGCCCAAACCAATTGGTCAATCCACGAACTGACCAGTTGGTTTGGTGTTGTGGTTCAGATGGAACGATCAAAAGAAAGATAGTTACCTGCACCACCAAGGCAGTACCAGAACACGAGAACACAGTTTGAACTAGTCCCCTGTATTAATGGAGTGACCAGTCGGGTTAGGCTGGCCAAACCAATTGGTCAATCCACGGAATGACCATTTGGTTTGGCGGTGTGGTTCATGTGGAACGGTCAAAGTAAAGATAGTTACCTGCACCAGCAAGGTAGTACCAGAACACGAGAACACAGTTTGTACCCGTCTCCTGTATCATTGGACTGACCAGCCGGGCGTAATCTCCGGCTGCGACAGGGTTGGCAGTGCCATCTACAACCATGTATGTACCATTCACTACGTCATAGTCTGCTGGGGGTAGGAGGAGGTTGGGAGGCGGAGTGGTGGAGGCTCCTCCTCCTTGTCGTATCCATGGCAACAGGCCTGCGGGGTCGGTGGTGTAACCGCATTGGTCGTCTTCAAAAGAGCAAGAGCCTGCATTAAAGAAATATATTGTTGAAATTAACCTGTAATTGTCGGAATATAATGCACCAATTACACTGTACACTAAATTATAATAATAATAAGGAAAAAAAGTAATGATAATGATAATAATAATGATAATAATGATGATAAAAATGATAATTATAGAGCCAGTAATAGAAACAATAATAATAATCACAATAGTCACATTTTTATAGCGATAATACTACGTTTGTAAGCGCTTTACATTGTAATTATTATTACCTTGGTCGTTAGGTTAAATTGCTAATCCGCAAATGATAGTACACGCATTCCGCTCCTCGGGGAGTATTCCGGCCAAAGTAATAAATATATTATAGTTCATCACTTTAAAGAATGAATTTCAACTTAAATCAATGTTTTTAACTAGGAAATAATCATAATAATGACGATAAGTTGGATTTATATACCACTTAGTACTAAATACCATCTCTAAGCGATTACGCATATCATTATTTTATTAATTGAGCAGATCAAACTTACCACAATTCATCTCATCTGACCCATCACTGCAGTCCATTCTCATGTCACAGACTTTACTCGCATCCACTACCGTACCGCCCGTAAGACAAGCGAACGGCGGCGCAGGGGTGGTGTCCGCACTGCAAGCTCCGTCAAACAGGTACAGGTCATCAATGGCAATATCACAGGCAGCTGTGTCTGCTAGCACGCCCTCTATCATCATCTATGATGTATATCAAGATAAGGGAAAACAGAGTTAATTTTCGACTTCGATTTACAATGGTTCTATTTCAAGAATGTTTTGTGGCCACTGGGTAAACGCAGGTATATCTTAATGTCAATTTCAGGTTACATTGAACTGCACTAAAAAAGGCTGAAGTTATCATATTCATTTAAGAAAACAACTGAAATACTGTCTCATCAAAGCAAATTGAACAGGTTCAATATCTGATCACCGATTACTGATGGGCTAAGAGCCTTGTTCACAGGTGCCGCGGTAAACGGTTTACAGCACTGTACCGCACTTCACATAGGTTATTTGTATATCTTTTAACACAAATATAAGTGAGTATAGAACTGTTGTTGCAGGCAGCTACTTTTTAACCCTCACTTGCCTTTCTTTTAGCACACACAATAAAAACAGGCGGTTTATCGTGAACGAGTCTTCATGATTATTCAACTTGTTGTGTGATTGGAAAAAGTAAAGCCTTCAAACACACTTAAGGCTCATTCGGATATGAAGCAGTCAACCGCCGCAAAAAAAGAGATTTTCTACGTCTAAATGAATGGCAACTGCGGGCAACAAAGATCTTTGGTACATTCATTGAGAGCTGATCGAGTGGTCAGACACAGACAAATGTGAAACGTATTACACTTTACGTCATCATAAAAACACCGACGCGGTTTTTAACCGCGTCATATTTGAACGAGGCCCTACCGTACTTACCCTATACTGCTCATTGACAACAAATGTAAGTTCACTGAGAGCTGTGTGGTCAGACACAGACATATTATGTGAAGCGTGTGACACTTTACGTCATCATTTAAAGAAAACGCCGCAGTTTTACCGCGTCATATTTAAACAAGGCCCTATTGTACTTATCCTATAATGCTCATTGACAGCAAATGTTGGTTCATTGAGAGCTGTGTGGTCAGACAAAGGTGTCATCATAAAAGCACCGAGGCCATATCGTACTTACCCTATACTGCTCATTGACAACAAATGTAAGTTGTCTGTAGTTCCACTCGTCTTCAGCTACTCCAGTGAAAGACCACAGTATGTTCGTCTGATAAGAGGTTTCCCAGGCAACCTGAATGTTTTTTAATGAAATAAGTTAGGAGAAGAGTTTACAAAAATTATATTTTCACCAAAGTTATAACTTACCTAAAACACTATGAATTTTATGCAAGGGAGGATGAGGGTAATTGTACTTACTAATTTGTGTACATTCCTAAATTATTTTCATAATTTAGAGGCACTGTAATCATACATTTCTTCAGTATTATGCGAATTTAAACTGTATATATATTTGTTTATACATTTACTATCTGTATTGTGTTTAATTTGCTTGTACGATTGTTCATGTGTACTTGTGATTTTACACCCAAGGACCCATGGAAGACTAACATTTATTGAATTGGCTAACCTGTTCATAAATGAATTAATAAACTAAACCTCAGTACCCAATCTCATGTATAATTGTCCTTTAGCCTTCTATGATTTGAGAATCCAGTAAACATGTTCGTGGAGAGGACTTAAAGATGTTGGTCACCTGGTTGCTTACTTACAAGCATAGACATGCTTTCTTAGCAGTCAGGTAAAACAAACAAACAAACAAATTAAAGATAATGATCGTTTCTTTGGTCACTTACCGTGAGCGTGTTCTTGCTGTCACTACTGCACGTCATATGGTACCAAAGACTGAAGCAGGCAAAGTCCTCTGGAGGATCGATGCTAGAAGACTCCAGTCTGGCCCTGGTCCCAAAGGAGCCCAGGGTGGAGTCGATGTACATATACCAGCCCGATAGGGTGCCAGTGGTGTGGTCAAACGTTGGACCAGTGCCTTGAGCGCCTGTAGAACCGCTATGCCTTAGCCAGTCGATCTCATCAGCATTCTGCGTGTTTGTCCAGTCACAGGTGTCCACCTCGAAGTCACATGATCCTGTAAGAGGGATATTGATAGGAGTGTATAGTTCCAAAGATGTCAAACAAACCCTTAATCCCCTCTTGAATAGAAAAGGCTAAAAGCATACATAATATGTATTTAGATTACCGATGCCATACCTTTTCCTTACAGCTAGCAATAACCCAGTTATCACTGTCTTTTTGTTCACAAGTAACATTTTAAGGAAATCTGTTTGGTTGCATTCATGTACAGGACATCTGTTTCTACACTAGGAATGCATGGCATTTAAAGCCTTGAGTGGCTAAATGGCCAAATAAGTGGTAGATAGATTTATGGTATTTGACTTTCTTTGTCACCTGGGACCTGTTAAGAAACTGTTTATCTATAACAAATGCTAGAATTCTATAACTAATTAGGTCTCAGCCAATCAAAATGCTATGATTTCAGAAGCTTGTAAAAGTTATTGGAACGAGTTTTATGAAACAGGGCCCTTGTCCACAGTGGATGAGACTCAGGTATATTTCAAGAAAGAAGGGATAATTTCTTGGCTCAGTTGTGTCCATTAGCTAGATGAATTTTAAGGCTGTAAGGCATGTCTGGCGCACTCATCAATACGATTGAGTCCTTTACAGGGATACTTAACTATGCTCTCTGCCATGCGATAACCTTTGCGATAGTTTACGCTCAAACTAGCAAAACTAACTAGAATCCATGTTCTCCCACACTTTGTGGGAAAAACTTATGGAGTATCATAATATTGTCTAGGGAGTTTGCAGTCAAATTGACAGCGCTATTCGGAATTCCTACATCTTAACAGAGGAGAAAAAACCAAGAAGTCGTTCACTAAAGCTGAAAAAATCATTGACACGTCTGGATGTGAGGAATTTCTTCTTCTCTCAGCAGAGTGGTAGACTCGTGGAATGATCTACCAGAAGAGGTAGTTTCAGCTCCTTCAGTAAACTCCTTCAAAAACAGACTAGAAAAACACTGGAAGAATCTACCTACCGTCTTTGACCCCGAAGGAGAGAAATTTTCAATTTGAGAACTGATTCTGCTCCACGCACACACATCACTAATGTAAACCATATGTATGACAGATAGATGCTCGCTTGATAAAACTCATCCCCGAAGACAGATGGAATTGATTTTAACCAATGATCGATGAACAGGCATTGTCCTACTAGCATCGATGGACTAAAGTAAAGTAAAGTAAAGTATGACATGCCCATACCTAGTTGACCTGTACAGCGCTGATCTTTGACGTAGATATCATCTAGAGCAGCAAAGACACCTTGGATTCCTTTCTTGACCACCAGCGTGAATGTGAACACGTTTGCATTAATGGAAGGTACTTCAATGGAGGCTTTGCGCCAAAAGCCACTGGTTGGCTCCTGAAAGAAATAGAAAAAAATGTAATGGTTGTTTATTTTTTATTTATTAGTCTTTAAAAAAAAAAGAAGACTAATAGTAGAAGGGTGGATCCATCAGTAGTTCAATACTATTTTCCCTGGAGGCCCTACAACATAAATACAAATTTACAAACATATTGATGTAATAAATACAAACCGAGAAAAGAAAAATTACTGCTTGTAAGTATCGGCTTGCATGGTTATGTAGATAAATAGTAGGCTTGCGGGTGCACCATGTGAGAGAGAGGGAGGATTGGGGAGTCCTGAAAAGGACTCTCGGTAATCTTTCTTGAGGGTTTGCAGTCCTGAAAAGGACTGTTGGTGTAGTCTTGAAAAAGACTGTTTGTTATCTTTCTTAGCTTATAGTTCTTTCCAGGACTTTTCAGGACTACAAACCCTCAAGAAAGATTACCGAGAGTCCTTTTCAGGACTCCTCAATCCTCCCTCTCTCTCACATGGTGCACCCGCAAGCCTACTGTTTATCTACATAACCATGCAAGCCGATACTTACAAGCAGTAATTTTTCTTGTCTCGGTTTGTATTTATTACATCAATATGTTTGTAAATTTTGTATTTATGTTGTAGGGCCTCCAGGGAAAATAGTTTTGAACTACTGATGGATCCACCCTTCTACTAAAAAAGACTGATGCACCCGCAAGCCTACTGTATAAGAAAAATTAGTTACAAAATTTTCGAACAAAAAAAAAAACTAACCATAATTCAAATAGAATATGTGCGTGCTATTAGATGAAGATGTGAACATGTATCACTTTGTAGACGGTTCAATATTTTACAAAATATTTGTCTAGTACAGTGAAAACTGTCCATAAAGACCAACCAGTGGAGACGGGAAAAGTGGTCTTTATAGGCAGGTGGTCTTTATGTACAGGTTCCTTTTAATATTAGTACATGTTTCAATGTGGACAAGCTTCTGCCCAAAAAATAATTGCTCTCCAATTTTGGTTGAACAGGCAGATGTTTTTCCAACTTAGCCATCCGGGCTTCTTGATGAATCGATAGCATGTATAGAGGAATCTCGTCCTCATAAACCTTCTAGGACCTATTACGGCTGTAAACCGTTCACAATATTTTGTTTGAAATCGTACCATTGCAAATGATATCGAAAATATTATCGCTAGCGACATTCGTTTGTCTCGCGATGTATGGTCAACTAGGGATCTAAAAGATCACAACGTTCCGTTGATTGGTTGAGCACCCGTGTGCTTCGACCAATAGGCCTTGTCCGTTATGGTTCTAATTATTTGACTGCCGGGCCACCTGGTCCACCCGTAGAGTAAGAAAGACGCTTGCTTACAATAAATGTTATCACCTGACGAAGTGTAGTAGCGGCACACAAAACGTCGTGAGCTTTTAGATCCCTTGTTGACCATACATTGCAAGACAAACGAATGTCACTAGCGATATTATTTTGGATACTATATCCGCAATGAGTAATATATTTAGCATTGCAAATGATGTTAAAAGAGTATTATGTTGTCAGAATAATCTCACGGTAAACGTTGTAGATATTCCGGTCGGTAGGATAACTCCCGAGGGGTCTATTTGGTATGCTGCAACTATTAGTTCTCCAAAGTCATCTGAAAATAAGAGAGCATAACAAAGCAATAAGAGAACAACAACAACAAACATGATACGAAAGATGAATTGTCGGTGCGAACCTGCCCGAAAGACATATCACAAGTGATCTCATGGTAAAGATGGGTCTGGAAAAAACAGTGGTGAAAGTGCTAAAGAGATAGAAGTGGATTGACGATTTTCAGTCATGTTTTGTATCAAATACACGTATATTTCTACATAGTGCACACTTTTAGTTTTCAGTTTTTGCTGACGGATATGAGTTTAACCATGCACTCTTTTGAGGCATGCGATAAAATTATGGTTTCTCTTCAAAGACTGGTATACACTGTAGTACCCAAACTAAAGATGCAGGCACTGTTTCAACTAAAGCAACCGTCATTACTTCTTAGTTTTGTTAATAAAAATCCATGTAACTTGATTAGTGATCTCATTGGGGTCTGCTCGCTATTTATATGGATCGCCTTTTTTATCATTTAGTCACACGGTATGGATAGCGGTCCTTATAAATAGTGGTCCTTATGAATATCGGTTCACATGATTCGCTAAGTAAGTTGTCTATGGTTTGCTTGCTATATATAAGGGCCGCTATTCATAAAGGAACGCTATTCATTTTGTCGCGCGTTATGGATAGTGGTCCTTAAAAATAGCAAGCTTGACCCATCCCATTAATTTCATTCATTCAGTCCCACACGTACAAATTAATGTTACTTACCGCTTATCATATACCAGAACTCAGTACATCTAAACCCACTGAGAGGAGCGGGATACAGAGATGACAGCAGGGTTCCAGTATCACCAACCCTTGGCAGCTGACCAGTCATGATCCGCATGTAAAAGCCTGTAAGATGAAGATGTGAGAGATGGTACATTCATACAACTGCTCGTTATTTTAAAGCCTGTCTGCACTAGCTTGGCCAGGAGGGATTGGACCTTTAAGCGTGGTCACTGACAGGTGATTATCTTATCAAATCAGCTCTTAATTAACCTAAGAAAAGGGGGATTATGGGGACCAATGTATCCCACTTAGGGATTGTTTGCTCTATAGTGGGCGCAAGTATCTACAAGTAGTGAAGTCCCGCTTTAAGGTTTAAAATCTTACACTAAACAAATCCATGCTTCAACACAACTGTAAGTTTACCTTACAAGTGACCAAAATTACAGCCCCCAAACATACAGAGTATCTTTAACATACAAATCATAGACATAATGTAGCTAAAGCAGATGTTTAATAGATCACAAAGTGGAAACCATGTACAAATTCGCTTTCATATACCAAAGAGAAAAACATTGTATAGTAGAAAATATAAGAATTGTTAGATGCATGTATTCATCTCTGCTTACACAATATTACAGTGTGGTCACAAAGGAGAGAGCAATTTCTTCTAGGGGGCATGTTTGGAAAATTATGGGAGTTGCCATGCAACCTCTTTATAACACCCTCATGTAAATACAATAATATAAACGTATGGATTATATCAATATTATCAGCTTAATACTCCCTGGGGTATCAATGCATAGCAGCAGGTAGTCATGCATGTTCTTACAACTTGGCTCAGAATGGAAAATGTAGATTAATGTCTTGCAGTAGCACATTTGTGCTGTGCTGAGACTTAAACCATCAACCTCCTCATATAGTCCAAACTCCAGTGTTTGAACCACCGAACTATAACACATTAAACGGATTCTTACCATCAGCTGTGCCCGATGTATGATCAACAGAGGGCAGGGTTACTTCTGAAGTCATCCCTCTATCTCGAGTCCAGTCCATCATATCCGTATCATCATTAGCATACCCACATGCGTCATCAGCCTGGAAGTCACAGAATACTGAGAGAAACAAAATATTCATTAGGTTGAAAAAAAGCAGATAAAGAACTTAACACAGGCTGGGATAAGTAGGTCTTAAGAGATCTAGAGCAAAATACAGAGTATGATTCTCCTCAAAACGTTCTGACTGGTGACATTAAGGCAAAACACTCAAGTGATTGTGTAACCTTCGAGCAAGAGAAATATATGTTCAAAATTGATAACACTAATTTTGTCCTTTTTGGGGGGGGGGGGTGGTAGTGCCATTTTTTATACGCATAACATTAAGACGTTGAGTTTGAGGAGGTCCCTTACAATTGTTTACTAAAATAGTTTAAATTACTGTTTTCAGAAAGCACTTGATGACCAGAAATTAAGTAAAAGTTGCAGACTAATTTTAGCTGACAACAGTTGGACAAGCATTATGATGTAAAATTGTAAAATCAACTCGATTCAAAGTATGCTTCTAATGAAATTAAGAAGTCTGTATAGTATAAGCATCACTTTGAGCTATTATTATTTTATTATTATACTCACATAAAGTAGGACAGTCTCCATAGTTGAAAGCAATGTCATCGATGGCTATATCTCCTTGGTAACCGTCCCCTGCTTTGCCCTCCAGATACACACTGGGGTTGGTGTCGGTGGTGATGATGGCTACCCGTCCAAACATCCAATTGTAACTCTGGTCTCCCGATTTGGTCCAGATAACTGAGCGATCTACAATCGTACAGACGGGGAGAGAGAATAAGATGTGGTCAGATTGATATGGTAAAATGATTCCACCTTTACGGGGCATCCGCATTCCAGGGGTACCATTTCCCTGTTTTCATCTTCGGAATTTTGCTTGTCTATCTATGGATACATTTTCTTTCGATCTTCGTCATTGTTTTCCTCCTTGTTTCCTATCTCATCATGTATTTCCTTCTAGATTTCATTCTAGCTTTTGGAAAAGAGAACCTTCGAAAATGTATCCATAGATAACCAAGTAAAAAGACGCCTGGCTGGAATGCGGGTAAGCCTGAATCCTATGACCGGGGTAATAATATACACATCTGTAAAGCGCTTTGAGAGGGCCTCCGGTCCTGAAAAGCGCTATATAAGAACTAGCTATTATTATTATTATTATTAAGCAAAATTCCGAAGAAGGAAAACAGGGAAATGCTACCCCTGGACGGCATCCATGTGACTCTCTTCCAAATGTACTCTTGATTTTGTATTCCCTGATTTGCCTTTGTTTTGCCGAATAAATGATAATAATAACGATAATTATTTGATGTCTCCTTTGTCAACGCCCTCTTTCTATAATCCGGGGTATAAGAAGAAGAAGATTGTTAATGATAACAACTCCAAGAAGCTGGAGCCTAATAAACTACCAAAATAAAACTTCACCATCAATTGAAACGGATCTCATTCCTATCTGTAGATTGCTCACCTGTATCTAATAGTGAGTTCCCATAGCCGATATTCAGTGTTCCCACATGCGCCCCATACATGTGGTACCAGAAAGTCATACACATGTGGTTTCCTGCTGGGATGCTGTTGCTATAGAGACGAGCCGCATCATCAGTATTGGTAGAGCTAGCATCAATGGCGATGTAGAAACCTGAATGCAAGAAGTAATCAGTGTAAGAAGTGTGTGTGTGTGTGTGTATTGGGTTTTTACAGACGTGTATCAATCAGATATGATTAGTTACGTCTGGGGACCGACCTTTAAACGTCACCATCCGAAAGACGTGACTCATTTTCGAACCCGCGTCCTCGGCTGAAGCAGTTTGTAACTTCCACTTTAAGCTGGATTACAAGCGCACGCCACAACGCCTAGTGTGGAAAAGAGCGGGGTTTTATATACACGAGATCATGACGATCTAGTAAAAACTTTACCGAATAATTCAGAGACTTGTACTATAGTATTTTAATTGGAAATATGAAGACTTAGATTAAACAATGATCTCAGGCTTCTAGATCCTAAGAAATCCTAAACAGATCTTAATCAGTTAAAAGAAAAATCATTGCAGCAATGAATAGATTTAAAAGAAAAAAGAAACACACCTTTGCGATGAAAGAAAACAAGAGTATGTAGTTCCCTACGTGTATCAGGGAATAGATTCGGGGCCGTTCAGGGAATTGATTCGTGGAATAAGATTCATTAAAAAGTTTTGAAAAACAGCAAGCAAGATAAGCATCGCTCTCATTTTGAAACGGGGAGAGACGGATAAAAAAGATGTTCAGCACTGGAAAGATATAAAGCTCCCGAATCTCAAAATTTGTCGATGATAAATAAAGGTTAACGGACAACTTTTTTTTGGGGGGGGGGAGGGATCATTTAACAAAAATGACTCTCTGTACACTGCAACAGGAATAAAACAATTTATAAAAAGAAAGAAAGACAATTTTCGAAAAACTAGACATTACTCTATTATCGTTTGCATTACTTACCGTCTTTAGTTTGAGTGGTGTGATCTGCTGGGGGTCCAGTCCCGACCGTTGGAGTGCTACCAGTTTGAATGGACCAATCAAAATCATCGGTGGTCACTTGGGACCACGAGCAGAGTGTAGCGCCCTCAAACGTACAGTCCCATTGGAGAGGAGCAGAGGTGGGCGGATTGGTGGGTGCGGGCGTAGGGGGTGCTGAGGGGTAGAGTCGGAGGAAAGTAGGAAATACGGTTAATAACTAAAAATTCATATCCTGATCAAGTTTTGGAATTTGGAATATCCTAGGTAGGTGGAAAATTAATTGTCCTGATCGAATTATGTTTCTTAGGAATGTGACATATTAAAGCTTATATATAAAAGTATTCAACACCTGCCCCAATTCTTGAGTTACGAAAGAAAGAAATAAAAATCAACTTTATAAGGGTTACCAATAGTTTAGTTGTAAACTGCATATAATACATAAAGGAGTATTAGGTCCATGTATTTACGAAGTGAAATACTTTAATGAGAGTTTGGAGAAATCGCATATTCATGGCTGAAAGCAACTGGTAATATTTATCTATTTATAGTGTATTTGTCAATCTTTAAATTGTTAACATATTATGTTGACAAATGTCAGATATACATGTATATCTTAAATGCTTATTTCACGTACGAACCCAAAGACGAGAGTCATGAGAAATGCACTACTGAGCTACATTCTTCCATTGCTAAAAAATCAAGCTGACATTGTTCAACAGCTTAGTTTAATGTTCATAATAATAATTACAGTGCTTATATAGCGCCTAACACTTACTTTGAAGTCTCTAACCGCTCTACAATAATGCAGCATAATTACACTGGCTTTAGCAGTGCAGCTGTTACGCGCGCTGCGTTTCAAAGAATTAATTCCTACCAGGTACCCATTTACTTCACCTGGGTGGAGTGTGGCAAATGTAGATTAATGTCTTGCCAAAGGACATTAGTGCCGCAGCGGGACTCGAACCGCTGACCTTGTGATCGACAGTCCGGCGACGTTTCCACTCGACCACAACACCTCTACAAAGAACGTGCTAGCTCAGCTGACGAAACATTCCTTTTACAGGCATTTCTTAATTACAATTGTGTTAAGACGGATGCGATCCTCAAACACGGCATTAACGTTCTAAGGCGTTGATCTAAATTTGCTACTCCATACCCAGGATATAAATGGGGACCTGGTAGGAGGACGAAAGCCTTTGAGTTACTAATTAACATATGCCCTCACAGTGACCATATGGTAGGAATACTCCCCAGGTAGTGGAAGAGGTGCACATATTGCGTAAATGCATCTGATGACCGGGGTAATGTCATATGCAAAGCGATTCGAGACGGTATTTCATATTAAGCACTATATAAAACCAGATTATTGTTATTATCATAATTAATTAATCAGGACACTCACAGACGTAAAGGCAGCTATGCTCGGTGTATTGTATATCATCTAGCCCAATATCACCCGTATAGCTTGTTCCATCAATGCCTTCAAACTCGATCAGATGGTAGACCCCTGAAGACACCTCAATCTCTGCTAGCCTCCAATAGTTCCCTTGTTCTCCAGTCCTCGTCCAGAGCACCCGCCTCTTCCCAGATTGCATTTCTTGGAGATGCACGTTGAGTGTTCCCATGTCTGTGGACATTTGGGAATAGATATCATCGGGTTCATGGAACACGATGGCCACTATTTATTCTTGAAAAATCAACGCAAGGGCAATTTCAATGGTTCATAGCCGTTTAGTCTATTATAACCAGCCCGTTTACTTTCCACATGATCTAATAATCATTATGTCTTCTTTTCATTTGGTCTAATAATCATTATGTCTTCTTTTCATTTGGTCTAATCATCATTATGTCTTCTTTTCATTTGGTCTAATCATCATTATGTCTTCTTTTCATTTGGTCTAATAATCATTATGTCTTCTTTTCATTTGGTCTAATAATCATTATGTCTTCTTTCCACATGGTCTAATAATCATTATGTCTTCTTTTCATTTGGTCTAATCATCATTATGTCTTCTTTTCATTTGGTCTAATCATCATTATGTCTTCTTTTCATTTGGTCTAATAATCATTATGTCTTCTTTTCATTTGGTCTAATAATCATTATGTCTTCTTTTCATTTGGTCTAATAATCATTATGTCTTCTTTTCATTTGGTCTAATAATCATTATGTCTTCTTTTCATTTGGTCTAATAATCATTATGTCTTCTTTTCATTTGGTCTAATAATCATTATGTCTTCTTTCCACATGGTCTAATAATCATGTCTTCTTTTCATTTGGTCTAATAATCATTATGTCTTATTTTCACATGGTCTAATAATCATTATGTCTTCTTTTCATTTGGTCTAATAATCATGTCTTCTTTTCATTTGGTCTAATAATCATTATGTCTTTTCATTCGGTCTAATAATCATTATGTCTTCTTTTCATTTGGTCTAATAATCATTATGTCTTCTTTTCATTTGGTCTAATAATCATTATGTCTTCTTTTCATTTGGTCTAATAATCATTATGTCTTCTATTCATTCGGTCTAATAATCATTAAGTCTTCTTTTCATTTGGTCTAATAATCATTATGTCTTCTTTTCATTTGGTCTAATAATCATTATGTCTTCTTTTCATTTGGTCTAATCATCATTTAGGAAAATAGTCATTTGGTCTACTTCCCATTTGGTCTATTGCCCATTTAATCTAATTCCAGTCTGTCTAACTCCTAGTTTGTCTACTAATTGGGTAGTAGACGAACTGGTATTTGTAGACCAAACCGTAATTCACCATAACCATCATGTTTTAATTACAAAATACGTCATAGTCATATTCGCAAATGTCAAGAGATGATGTACAAGGATATTGACATATTTTTAGGTTGATTTTTCTCAAGTATATGTTATCATGTAATGAATGAATTAGTTAATTAAATCGCCACCTTACACAGAATGTAGACCATCATACAAACCCCTTAGATATAAGGCATATACGCAATACCACCCTGACCCAACGCTCTAGCTGCAAAGTATCATAGACAAGAAGATTTTTTTTTTCTTATCACTTTGATGACTCCAGAACCTTGGGGTACACACCAATATGCCTACTTATATGCTACATGATCAACTTTCTTCTGATCGGTTCCACACCGTTTCTTTCAACTTGCAATCGCATGACAAGAACTCAACTTTATCTTTAAATGGGAAAGATGTCCTCCGGTAATCACTGATTTCTCCGGTATAATCACTGATTTTCTAAAATGCATTACCTTTTCCATACATGTGATACCAAAAGGAGAAACAGCCTTCGATCCGTGGAGAGAAGTCCACCGACTGAAGAATAGCATTGTAGTCGGTCGCTGAGCTAGAAGTCTCAATGTATGCGTAATGACCTGATAAGAAATGTTAGCCAAGTTGAAAAGATTTATTCTTACAAATATATTTATTATTGTCTTCAGAACCATTACGAAAAGCTCTCGTTAAAACTATACCCCACCAATACAACACAGGAACCATTGTAAATCAGGTGGGGTATCACGACCCCACTTTCGTTTCTCTCGTTAAACTTTGACAGAGCCACTATACCCCCCAACACTATAACACAGGAACCAATGTAAATCAGGTGGGGTATCAGGACCCCACTTTTGTTTCTCTCGTTAAACAGAGCCTTGCAGCTCTGCGTGAGAGATGGCAGCTGTACTCTTCATCATCTTACGTAATAGTGTAAACAGACTCTTACTGGGGCCGTGCCCTTTAAAGGAGAAGTAGGAAATATATATTTAACTTGTTTTAAGATATTTTCATGGTCAAAAGTCACTTATAATTAAATGAAGACCATAATGAAAGTTTGAACGAATCAAAATGACCCAGAATTGGCAGGGGGATTACATTGTATAGCGCTAGTGCTTACTTTAGGCTTGGCTCTCGGAGTAGTGAAAGTCAAATTAGGGTTTTAATTTTAAACGACAATTTTTCGTCCTACTTTGAATTACTTAGAAATCTTTCAGAACATGTATGATTATTAATACAACTAACGATCATCAAGGAAATTGATAATACTAGGACTACATACAGACTAAAAAAAACGACTGATCTTGTCCTTCGGCTAATGTCTCCATGCATGCATAATAACAAGAGAAGATATATTAGGTTTGCTTGTCTGATTTGTCTGCTTTCTTTTAGAGCAGTTATCTATTTGGGTTGGATTTCCCTGAAGTAAAATGGGAGAGGCCATTTTCACATTACTTATGGATTGAGCCGGGTCAAGTCTATTCTGCTAAGAGGGGTGTTTTTACTCACCCTGTGCACTGTTGAGCGTGTGGTCATTGGTTGGACCTGTCGATCCGCTCGATGTACTACCGCTGTGAATGATCCAGTCAAATTTGTCTGTATACACATTGGACCAATCCAAAAGAGGCTCCTCGAAAGTACAGTAGCCTTGAATAACAAATACAAAAAAAAAAACAATGTAACAAAAAAAATTGTTCTCGGAAATTATAACCTGTAGGCCTGTTTATTTACCCTCGTAACACTATAATTGGAAACTAAAGAACATTATAAGTACAATGAGGTTGGTAGGGCTTAAAAAGGCTAGAGTCCTAATTGTTGATGATGTTTTAGCTTATTTATTACGGAAGAGAAGAGGAAAACAGTTTGTCACAGTTGATTTTAACATAAACATCTGAATTTAGTATATTTTTTACCTTTAAATTTACTCTTCAGAGCGCAACCAACTATTTCACTATTAACAGCGTAAACACAAATGATCTGAATTCATATCAATGCAGGCTGTTGTAACGGTATCTGATTTTGAATGAAGAGAATTATTAAACAATAATAATAATATATTGACACTTGAATTGGATAGCGACCACCTGTATAGAAAGATTTTCTGCCAAGCCAGACCATATTGTCTGTTCCCTTGATCAATGCTTCGCATCAAAATAATGTGTAGGACAAACACACCACCTGCCAACAAAGATAATATTTCTTGTCACACTAGAATGATCTTTATATACAGGTTCCACTGCACAATTTCAGTTAATTTTAGACCAAACTGCTCCCTTAAAGGGACAGGGTAGGCAGTTTCCATGTGCAGTATGTCACAGTTCGCTGACATCAGACTTGGTGGAAATAACATTAACGGTTGTACAAGTCTCACACACAGAAAACCCGTAGTCCCGTCGAATTCCTAAAGAGAGCCCACTACTTTGTGTCTTTAAGTACCTACCTACTGGTGGGCACGCCCCCACGTCGATTCTGACCTCATCAATGGCCATGAGAGATCCAGGAGTAGAGCCTACAGTACCCTTAAAGGCAGCCTGTAAAACAAAGTATTCAGGATATATCGGTTTATTTCTAATTCCTTTAAACTGTCAACTATTAATCAATTAATGGAAGACTTTAAACAGACGAGAAGAAGGAGAAGTAGCAATAAAAGAAGAAGAAGAAGAAGAAGAAGAAGAAAAAAGAGAAGAAGAAGAAGAAGCAGAAGAAGAAAAAAGAGAAGAAGAAGAAGAAGAAGAAGAAGAAGAAGAAGAAGAAGAAAAAAGAGATGAAGAAGAAAAAAGAGATGAAGAAGAAGAAGAAGAAGAAGCAGAAGAAGAAAAAAGAAGAAGAAGAAGAAAAAAGAGATGAAGAAGAAGAAGAAGAAGAAGAAGAAAAAGAGAGAAGAAGAAGAAGAAGAAGAAGAAGAAGAAGAAGAAGAAAAAAGAGATGAAGAAGAAAAAAGAGATGAAGAAGAAGAAGAAGAAGAAGCAGAAGAAGAAAAAAGAAGAAGAAGAAGAAAAAAGAGATGAAGAAGAAGAAGAAGAAGAAGAAGAAGAAGAAAAAGAGAAGAAGAAGAAGAAGAAGAAGAAGAAGAAGAAGAAAAAGAAAAAGAAAAAGAAGGGAAAGAAGAAGAAGAAAAAGAAGGGAAAAAAGAAGGAGAAAAGAGCAGGAGGGATAAGAAAGACGTCAAAAGAGTTAGGTCACCTGAAGTGGGTGAACTTGTTCTTTGGGAATATTAGCGACGGAATGATGATCTTATTAAAAGAATTTTATAGACAGGTCTGATTGTAGTATGTTTAATCCAGAATACTTTACCTCAAAATTGTTCGTATCGGTCACTGTACTGCTCCCAAACCTCCATCCATTCACACCGATAGGGGGCGCCACCCAGAGCGGATCGGAGTACGTCCCAGAATGTCGAGAGTGAACCGTGAGGGCGCCTATTCCGTCGTGGTAGTAGAAGAAGCGAAGACAGTGTGATATGGATGTCAGTGTGTAGGTCGGGCTGTAGATGATAGCTTTCTGTCCGTCCACGGGGTTAGATGTGGTGTCCACCCAGGCGTAGTAACCTGACGTTGACAAAGAACATGATATACAATGGTTTGTCAGTTTGTTAGTTTGTTATACCCGACTGCTAAAGAACACGTGAAACCAGGGGACTGACGGCTTCAAGTCCTCTCCAAGTGACTTGGTAATGCGGATTGATGCCTTACTAAAGGGCACTAGCACATCGACTTGGTTTCAATCCCTGGACCTTCCAGTTATGAGACCACTGCTCTATAAACAATGAGCCATCACGCCTTCACTCTTTCACGATGATGTTGTCAATCTAATGCTTGTCCATGTACCTCCGAAGCACGATCGCAAAGACTTTCGAGAAATTAGCTAAATTCCAATTTCATCATCCCATTGCCTAGACATATAGAAGACAGTCAGTTCATAGTTACGTAATACGTCATTGTTTTGATCACACATTACACAAAGCTGATAGCCGAGACTATTAATTGAAATTGGTTGATTTTTATTCGAAAGTCATTGTGATTAAGTATGCGTTCCGAAAATGTTGAAGTTGAATCCCTTGTACCTATTCAACTTGTGATAAATATTACAGATATTAAATTACAGATACATATACGACACTCTTGATAGAGGCCTTGAGGCTATCATCATCATCATTTTCATCATCATGATCAATGTCATCTTCTTCATCATCGCCATGACAGTCATATAATAACCACCATCACCACCATCATCGCCATCCACATCATCTCCGTTCTATTCAATTTTTTCGATTCAAGATTTATTTCGAAAAACGTAGAATATAATGATGCACATGCTGCACCTAAAAATCTGAAATGTATGTTTACAACTATCGAGGATACATATGAATAGAAAAGAATATATATACAAAAACAATATCGACATGATTGTACAATGAAACTGGTCTGATTAAAAAGACAACTGTTCAAATATATAAAAAAATAAAATTAAAAAAATATTGGGTTTGTAGTAAAGAAAAGCTTAGAACAATCATCAATTATCAAGAAGAAGAATAAAATATGGTTTTGCACTTTGTTTAAAATGAGAGGATCTGCATTTCAATTGACTATACTTTCGTTTATTTCGTAATGACATGCCAACAACTTTTCCATCAGGAATCCAGCCTTTGATGTTCCCACCATGATCATAATTAACCATGTTCTTACCTGTATCAACCCCAGTAGTTTTATCAGCAGGGATCGTCTTGTGATCTCTTCCACGACTCCTGGACCAATCAAAGTCATCATGGACCCTCTCCTGCGACCAACCACAGAAGTCCGTCTCGAAGGAACATTGCTCTGACAAAGAAAACAATGAAATGTTATCATAAGAGATGACGTCATGAGTTAAAACGTAATGCAATAGAGGGCAATCCAATCATTCTAATAAGTGCATTTGAATGAAAGCAGAAAAATCAGAGAAACATAAATGCGGAAGTTTGAAATAATTTGGACCAATAATAAGAAAGATATGAATATTTGAAATATGAGATTACTTCAGCTATGGAAAATTTAAATTGGTAATTTTTTAGTGGGTTGTGACGTAGTGACAGATAACTGTCTAGTTTGTTGTGTAAACAAATATTATAAATTTCTGTTTTTCTCCTAATTGCCTTAACCCTTGGAGCGCTACTCCAAATATATTATGTAGAGTATATTATTACAGGTCCTCTAAAAAGAATATACCATTCCAATGCGTACATTTTAGAAGAATTTAATTTTAGGGCATTTTTTGTATTAGAACAAATGGGAAAATTGTCGGCCACTTCATCACAGAGACAAAACCAAGTCGGTCAATTTGAAGAGCCCATACCTGTAGTGATTGCAACTTTTAAATATTTGTGACTTTCTTTTCTGATTTCATTCAAACTTTCACCAGAGTACTTCTCTGATGTTTCTGTTTCCTTTACAGTAGTTTGCTATCAAGTTTAGATTTCCCCTTAATTAAACATCACTGCAAACACCAACACCCAAGAACCCCGACCTGGGTACCTGGTAGGAATTTATTCCTTGAAACGCAGCACCCGTTATGCTGCATTATTGTAGAGCGCTTAGAGACTTCTGATAAAGTAAGTGTTAGGCGCTATATAAGCAAATATAATTATTATCATTATCGCCCTAATCCTATTCTGTATCCTATGTAGAATTGCATTTATATAAGCATAGGGTACAACTGCAGAAAACCACATTACACCCTTATCCCAGACATGATCTTACGGCCCACTGACTCGTATCCTTATACCCTCATCCTTACCCTAACACTCATACATTCTACTAGTATTCTGCATGTAAGCTCGTCGTTGATAAATGAGTACTCACACAAAAAGGTGAACAGTGAACAGAAAAACGTACTTGTTCATGATCTCCTCACATAATACATTTGATATGATATATTGACATAAACATCGATAAACCATAATAAATTGCTTATGTTCCTATGACAAGTTTGTAATTATATGTTTTTATCATTTAATTATTATTATTCAATCAGATTTCATTTTGGGTAGTCATTATTTGTTAACATATGATTTCTGTAAGTCTTGACAAAAAAGAAGAAGAAACAAATAATCTGGAAAATATTTTTGTCTGATAGAAGAAAACTATTTACCGAGAGCTGGGCAACCTGAAGTAGGGTCAAGGAAAAGATCATCGATAGCTATATCGCTCCAGTAACCGATACCACGGATGGCATTAAAGATAAGCTGTGTAATGAAAGGAAAATTATCAAAGGATATGAATATACATATTCAATTCAATTTTCCAACAAAGTCATTAAAAAAGTAACATTCATAAATAGTCAAAAGACAACAAAGTAGATGAAAGGATACTTTCGAAAAAGAAAAAAAAGCACAAGTCTTGTAAAACAAAAAGGCACCCGAACATATCATTTGAAAATGCTAACACAAATTATGAAAATCAAATTAAAACATTATTTACCCTAAACAGACACATAATATATGTATTATAACATTGACAACTAAATTTAATATATCTTTTCTTTTTTCTTTTTTCTTTTCACTATACGATAAAAATACAATAAAAACGTCAAATACACATATATGTATAAACATAACAATGCAGTAAAGGTATAACGAAATTCAACAACAATAAAAGGTACAGTACAAATTTACATTAGATAGAAATAACAAACAAACATTTTGAAATGTGGAGGGCCAAACAAAGGCAAAAGTCCCTTCACAGTCTTATTCCTGAAATGTATCATGTATATGCGCATATATGAACATATAACTAAGATAACTATTACATCGATAACTATATATTTACTCCAACTTTGTCTTGCTGCCTATATTTAGCTGAATTGTTTAATTCTTTTAACAGATGGTAAAATCAAAATGCATTTAGCCCGTTGCCTCCTGGAACCGGGTAGTCCCTGTACAAAGCCTATGGGAATGAGAGAATTGAGTCGTCAACGATTTAAGAACACATTTGGTTGCGGGACCATACAGCTACAGCTCACCTGAGAGGGCGCTAGAGAGGATGTTGCAGCAGAGCCATGATACACAGAGTTTGGCCAACTTGGTGTATATTCTTTTGTTTGTGTGCTTGCCAAACAAAGCAGTAGTCGCCATATTGTGTCCAACGCGAACCGGGTTGGCCAAACTCTGTGTATAAGATAGCTCTGTGTGGCAGTAGTGTTTTTAGTACAGTATGGCTTTGATTTGTTGTGAATTCAAACAGCTGTGTTTTACCTGGTAGTGATAATCAGCTACGATGTCGATGTGTCTGTAGATCCATTGGTTTGTAAGGGTCCCTGTCTGCTTCCACAAAGATTCATTCTTTTGCCCATCGGTGCTTACGGCTGAGAGCTAAAAAGAACAGTCAAGTAAAGAGAAGAATGTGAATGAAAAAAAAATCACGTGGTGGTGTTGCCTAGCAGGCCAGTACAAACTAGTATAAGTTGTGGTGTAAGACTCGATCCAACGAACTTCAGGTTTATACCACTCGAACTTGACAACTATATATAATATTCTTTTCGTGACAGTGTTCATATGCATGGTGTTTCTAGGCGTAACGTGGATCAAGCCATCGAGGGGGGCACTGGTGTCTCGTAAGGCCATCAGGAGGGGGAGCCGAATCAGTCTGTTTTTACATTCCCTTCTATCTCACTTTATTTCTATCTATACCCCCTATCCAACCCCCTCTCTCTCTCTCTCTCCGTCTGTCTCTGTCTCTGTCTCTCTGTCTCTCTCTCTCTCTCCTTGTAACTCAGTGGAGTCTCGTCAATAAAAAAACTACTTCGGACCGTGTAAATTACTTCGTTATATAGAAACCTTGTATTATATGCTAGTGCTTAAAGGGAAAGTCCACCCCCAAAATAAGTTTGTTTCGATAGAGGCAGAATAATAAGAAAATCAGGTGAGTGAAAGTTTGAGCAAATTCTGAATGAAAATAAGAAAGTTATGAATTATTGAAGTTGTGATCAATCAAATACAAATTGGCAACTCTGTGACTTCTTATGCGAGCTCTCCTTCATTTGCTTTGTGCATAATATTCCATAAAATCATGTTTTCTTCGTTATTGATGACGGAATATATATTTGTTCCTTGCAGGGGGAGTATAGAAACATATTTGCAATTATTATATTTAGGGTGCATGTATGGTTGAAATTTTTCTTGAGGGAAAATGAAAATTTTAGATTTTTTGAGTACTGAGCAAATGGAAGTTGAGCTCGCATGATACGTCATAGAGTTGCCAATTTGTGTTTGATTGATCACAACTTAAAAAATCCTAACTTCCTTATTTTTAATCGGAATTTGCTCAAACTTTCACTGACTTGTTTCTCTCATTTTTCTACTCCTATTAAAACTAACTTAATTTCAGGGTGGACTTCCCCTTTAAACTAAATACAAAGAGGCAGGATGGGATTAATATTCTATGAAAAACATCCCGTAATATTCTTTAAGCGTACCATATCTCAAGTTTCTCAGGTTTTCCTAAAATGTAGAGATAGAAATTAATGCATAAACTACCGCTGGGTACGATTGAGATACTGACTCCTCCTCTTCCCCCTTCTCCTTCTACTACTACTACTACTACTACTACTACGTAAGTTGAACTTAACTCTAAGTTGGACTTAATAATTATGGAGAGCCATTTGTAGCCTTATAATGAAATATTTTAAAAAGCGAAAATTCAAGTATTTTAGACTTGTTATAAATTCCCCATCAAGAACATGAAATCTCCTTGATAATAAGAAAATATGAATGATTTGTATCAAAATGTTATGTCTTTTAAAATAATTTTTACAAAATATTTTCATAGATGCCAACGGCTTTCCATAATTTTAAAGTCCAACTGAGAGATAAGTTCAACTTAGGATCTTTGTGAAACACCCTCCTGGACTATATACACACCTCAAGTTCGCCCATAGATTGTCCATACATATAGATCCAGAACTTAAAGCACGCTCCGCTGGGCGTGGCGGGAATGGGGACCGATAGAAGCTTGGCATTGGCCCCCTGAGAGCCCCCTGATGACTCGAAATATACGTAGTAACCTGAGGAAAAAAGAAGGAATAAGTCAATTCAATCTTCATTAATTCAAATGAAATCAATATCGATATCAATTCTGGTTTATTGTAAATAAAAACATGCTAAATAAAAAGCCTAGGACTCATACAAATTAAAATACATTTTAGACATTTTAAATTTACGGTTTAGAGAGGAGGTGCGGTAAATGACTTTTTTGTTTAACAAAACAGTGATCTGCGACTGAATCGAGAATGTGATCTTACCTAACCCAGTGGTATGATCATTAGTAGGACCAGTATTGCCAGTTGAAGTTGAGAGTCGGGTTCTGATCCAGTTTCTATCATCATCTTCCATATCGCTCCATCCACACCAGTTCACCTCAAAGTCACAGTTGACCGTCTGTTGGTTTGAAGGCTCTGCTGCTTCAGGGAAAACTGAAGGAAGAAACAAAATAATAATAATAATAATATTCAGCTTTTATAAAGCGCTTAATACATCTCGAACGTCTCTAAGCGCTTAAAAGATATATTATTACCCCGTTCATTGGATTCAGTGCTTGCCCACCCACACCACTGTGTACACAATCTTCACTCCCTGGGGAGCATTCCGGTCAGGCGTGCCTTGGGGGGGGGGGGGGGGGGGTAGTGGGCACATCTTTTTTGGGGTCCTCGAAAATTTTAAAAATTGCACCCCCCCCCCCCCTTTGAGCGCCAGGGGGGGGGGGGGCCAACCCCTCAAAAAGGTAAAAATCACGTGTTTTTACATGATTTTTTTCTCAAGGGGGGAGGGGGCCGGGCCCCCCGGCCCCCCTCCCCCCCCCCCCCCCTGGATCCGCCACTGTGGTAGCCTAGCAGAGCCGGGGTAATGTAGGATTGCCTTTAGCACCTTACGTGGTGGATATGTACGCTGTTTAAATATCAAATATTATTATTAAAATTATTATTATTATAGTAAACAGTCACAGTGACAGTTGTTTCAGCCACCACCTGTAGAAAAAGACCATATTTTCTCTCCTCCCTTGAGTTTTTCTTATTTCCACTACAGTTATCTGGAAGGCATGGACAGATATTCACTGTCTTGGAAATATATTTCCCCCAAAGGATCAATATAAGACAGGACATTTTATTGAATAGAATTACCGCCACTATCTCAACTAAACATAACCCTGAAAGCTGACCCTATTTGCAGATACTGCTATTTCAAATAAATGTAATACCAGTCATCCTTTAATAAAACATCTAAAGTCTTGTTCACATACGCATCGATCAACCATGATGGCAGGCTTTCTGAGATGTTAAATATAATATGCTTCACCTTTCTGTATTGTGTAACACATAGCTCAGTACACATGGAATATACTTGTGCGAGCAGGATTTTTTGCTTTGGTGGAGGTTTACCACAGCATATCCGAACAAGCCTTCATATAGAGCGGTGAAGTGTGACGTCATCAGAAAATTATTTTTAGAGTTTCCAAATATGAACTTCATTTTCCGAAAGAGCATAACAAATCACGTCAACATTTTTGAAAACCAATTGAATATGTTAAACCTAATAAGGCCGGGAGGGGGGGGGGGCATTATGACCACCCCCCCCCCCCCTCCACGATTTTTCCGATTGCTCGGGAACGCATATGGATGGCGCCCCGCCGCTCATTGACTTTTTTCTTTCGAGTCTTGCGCAACTTTTAAAAGATTTTTTTTGAAAATCAGACCTACGGTTACAAGGTCACGTGACCTTTTGTCTTTGCATGTCAGCCCGAAAATCGCTCATTTTCGTGATTTGTGTACAAAACTTATGGAAAAGTAATTTTTCCTAAAAACAGATCAAACATGGGTTATTGGGTCTTGTTTAAAGTTAAGGTGGTTGTTTGGGGAATCAAAATTGTTGAATTGTAGTAAGAAATGAAATAAAACAACAAAATCAATGAAATACATAAGTTAAAAAAACAATGAAATACATAAGAAATTATCAAAACAACGGATAACATAAGGAATAAGCTGGCTCTTCCAATTTTTTTGGTCGTATTATTATTTAGAATGGTCTAATGAATGTATGTAGTGAAAAAGAATGCTTAAATATGAATAATATTTGATTTATAGGTAAAAATGTGATTTTTATGACTTTATTTGCATAAATTACCATAAATATGCAAATGAGTGAATTTTTCAAAAATTGAAATTATCATATTGTTCTATACACTTTTTTGCGGCGATTAGCCGCTTCGCGGCCGAGATCTTAAGGGGGGCATAATGCCCCCCCCCCCCCGTACTTAGACCTCAAATAACCCGGCCTTTTTAGGGTTAAGTATTGGCCGAGATATGCCCGTCCGAATTAATTAATTTCAATAGGAAATTACTGTTATTTTGCTCTGGCTCATACCGTTACGGACCAGAGCAAAATAACAATAATCTTTTTATTCAGATGGTCATATCTCGACCAATACGTCACATATTCGATTGGTTTTCAACAGTTGGACATTATTTTTGACGGGATTTTTGATGCTCTCGGAAAATGAAGTTCGAATTGAGAAATTCTAAAAAAATAGATTTCACAGCTTATGTACGCTATAGGTAATACTTGATAACGAGCCATTATCTCACCATCGCATATTACAGTCTCCACATCCAGATCGTCTAAGGCTATGTCCCCGTAACTATAGTAACCCAATACCGCCTCGGCTTTGATCTGTGATAGGGGACGAAATTGCAGGGTTGAAGACGAATTAATAATAATACATAAGATTTGTAAGGCGCCAAATCCACTTGACAATCAAAGGCTTGTGCGAAAGATGAAATACATGATAGATATGTAGTGCAATAGAAAGGGTACGGACATGAAAGGCAAAGATAATCAATTATAGGCTAAATTAAACAGATATTTCTTGAGAACTGCTATTTTTAATCCATTGAGGGAGAGTATTCCATAATGAAGGCCCAGGATGAGCGAAGCTTCGCTTCCTTATGTAATGCTCTGCATTTTCTGCTAGTCGCCCATTTGTAAAATTCATTTTCCTACATTTCCCTCACTGTAGATGCTTGTATAGTGTATTTCTTGATGGGACCCCGGGTTTGCTTTGGGCAGACTTGTACATCCATTAATTAATGGTATTTACCAAATCTGGTGTCAGCGACTTAATATGACCTTACTGCCCATAAACAACTAAATAACATCTCCATGCAAGTATCAATAGTGATTACATGGAGTGTTATTCAATGTGAAATGTTGAATAAAATTCTTTCTGATACAGTTAGGAGGAATATAGAATAGTCACTTTTATCGTTATTGTTATCCTACTTTTTCGTAAGCATTGTTAACATTAACATTGAATGGTTATAATGGTTGTATTGTATCCAATTGTATCAATTGTTATCCGTATCACTATCATCCTCACTATTATCATTTTCATTAATATAATCACTATCATCATTACTGGCACCAAGTATTTGGAGCTGACAGAGAAAAAGAAATTAATCATATTTCTCCACCCAGTATAACTCAGGAATAGTGTCCTGTGCAGTAGATTCATAACGATTATTCGAGGGATAGAACATTTTCATCGGAAACTTCCCCGCGTCATACTGGGTCATCCCCATATAATGATAGTAGTAGTCGCTATATACAAAGCGAATTTATTTTTCATTTCTTTTCATATAATATAAACAATGACAGACATTATTAAAAGTAATAAACAGAAATGAGCATTGAAATATCTTTGACACTTGTTTTTTACGAGGACACAGGGCAAAATGTAATGACTACACATAGAATTAGGCGACATTTTATTTCAAATACGCATCTAAAAATATTTTTAATTTCAAAAGGTTTCTAGTAATACATACCATTAAGGTGCGTCCTGTTTGAGGCGATGTAGTTGTCTAGGGAACAATATAAACAATCAATTGGGATTAGTTTTTAGATTTTACAGGTATTTCAGTGTGATAATCAACAATGAATTTCTCATCCATGGAGTTTAAAAAAACTAATGTTTACATAACGGAAACTGAAAAAACAGGTTCTGGATGTAGGTAAGGATTACTATGAAGATAGAGGGAGGTGTTACAAGCCCCATCTGCACTAGTTTGGCCAGGAAGGATTAGACATCCCTGCGTGTGGTCACTGGCAGTTGGTTATCTCATCAATCAGCTCTCAATTAACATGAGAAAAAGGGGACCATGTGGGACCAACGGGTACCACTTTTAATAGGCATTGTTGGCTGTATAGAGGGCGCAAGAAGCTACAAGTAGTGCAGTTCCGCTTTAAAGGCCCACTGCACTACTTTTAGCTACTTGCGCCCTCTATATAACAAACAATACCTAATCGGTGACCATTGGTCCCCCGTGATCCTCTTTTTCTTATGTTAACTGAGAGCTGAGTTGAGGATGATAACCATCCGTCCAGTGACCTTGCAGGGCGGTGTAATCCCTCCTGTAAACTAGTACAGATAAGCTTTAAGCTCAGATTTTAACATGATATGGAATTGTGTTTGCGTGTGAAAGCAGAATCTGCGCCTGAAGATGATAATTATGTATACATTGCTATACTGACCATGCCATCGTTCGAAGGTAATGTTCCAAACTTGCCCTGCAGCCATGTATCCTGGTCAGGGTTCTGCTGACCGTTGAGTCGCCATCGATAGGTCTCTTCCTTTGTGACGTCATCAATGACGATGAAGTTGAGTTCACCGATGGTGGATCCAAACATGTGATACCAAAACGTAAAGCATGCCGTGGTGGTGACGTCATACTGAAAGAGAGGAGAGAGAAACCAGGCCGAGTATCCCGGAGAAACAGAGTTGCTCTCGAAGTACATGTAATAACCTGTTATAGAAGACAAAAAGGTGATGCTGTCCTTATTACCAGCAAGGAGATGATGGGATGCTAAAAATATAAACTCTAAAAAAGGGAGAGAAATGCCTAGGCAAAACTTCAGGGGCAACAACACTGGTAGTCTAGAATCTGGCCGGTTCTATTACTTTCCCTACAATTGATTCAAGCCGCCGAAGATAGCGTTATCAACGAACTCATAATTATTCTCACCATCCCAGCCTGAGAACTTTTTCGTCGGGCGTCCGAATTTAATGATCAAGCCATCTTCGGCTGGTAGCAAGTAAGTAGGGGAAGGTAGCGCTAGTGTGGTAAAGATCAAAATTAAATAGGGCAGATTATGGACTACACGGCTGGTTTACGACATGACGAAATACGACATGGTTGGTTTCTTCACTATCGTAAAGGAGATGTTGAGGCAGGGTAGGGTATAGTGCTTTGTCCACCCTCCCCAATACTTAAAGAGAGGAGAGAAGAGAGCCGAGTAAAATTAGGGTACTATTGGATAATTCGTTTTTCTGATTCTGTCACGACACAGAAAAGTCCAAAATTCCTTTGTCATTTCTTATTTAAAAACAAAAAATTAAAATCACGAAGCAAAAAACGTGTTGCTATTTCGTTTCTGGTGGTGAAAAACACGAATCAGAAATCAGAAAACTAAAACTAGAAAAACTCTTTCTGATTTCTGAATTCTGATTCGCACCACAGAAAAGGAAATCGCAACACGTTTTTTGCTTCGTGATTTTGTTTCTTGTTCAAGAATCACAAATCGCATTGCGATCTCGGCTCTCTGATTTCTGATTTTGTTTTCATCTCACGAATCAGGGGGGTTCAACTCCGCTTCTGCATCCGTCTAGCCATGGGGAGATTTTGGAGGGTCAAAAGTGCACACTGCTTCCACTTTTCATGTATTAGCCTATGAAGACGACAAATGTTTAGTGCACCAGCGAAATGGCGATTTTGGACTGCGCGTAGCGCGCAAAATATTTAAATTAAAATTTGGAATATTCATGAGCTCTTTTCCACTTATTAGCATATTATCGCAATGAAAAAAAGACAATGCGCATGCGTTACTATATCGACAGAATCCTTAATACACCAGTTTACAGTTGTATCAGTGCGCATGCGCAGACAGTTGATCTCGGGTCACTGGCCCCGGAAGCGGGGTCAGTGGCCCCGGAAGCGGGGCCAATAACTTTTGACCAGTGGTATTTATGCGTAAATTAAGATTGCGCCCATGCAAATGATGATGTGCGCGCACAACGCAGCGCGTAGGGCAGTGATATCATCAAAATTTGCATGGGCGCAATCCTAATTTACGCATAAATACATGACCTCTAGGTCATTGGCTTTGTTTAAAATGGCGCACACAACTGTAAACTGGTGTATTGGGCCGATAAATGTAGAACAAAGGTCAGAGTTGGGGAGGTGTGTGTGTTGGGGGGGGGGGGGTAATAAACTTTCAAATGGTTGACTTAGTTGGGGCCACAAACTTCACTGTCACCAGGATGGAAAGTACATTTTTAAAAATAATGACCCCATTTCACTGTGGTACCTCAATTCATTTTTGTTTTGTTCGTTTATTAACTTAAATATTTTTTTTAATCAGAAAAATTGCACTGATCCTTTAGCCCACTCAACAAGTGATATATTCATATTTTTAGTGTCCAAATATTGAATCATTCTCACCTCGACTTCAATGATCTTCATATTGTGCCCCATATCCCAAATGAAATTTCTAATTTGTCTCGTTCTTTTCATTCTTGCATTCGTCGCCACTGATATTTTTTAAATTTGCCCCCCCCCCCCATCAGTAACATTTTCAATACAGGGACCCCTTCCAATATTGACATTTCCATAGGCTCTATTACCCTCCCTTCCCCATCCACACCCCAATTACCTATGCTTTCATCATTTTGGCATTGACTTATTCTTTATTTAACCCCCCCCCCCTCATCTTTATTGTAAACCATTTTTTATATTATATTTATACATTAGTCTTGTCCACTCTCTTGTTACATTTCCGCTTTCTCTCTCATTAGGAAAGATGGTTAAATCTATCTCGCTGATGCCAGATATAAACAAACATCAAATGGTAGAACACCATACTCAATTCTACACAAGACTGCATCAGCCCCCATCTCACCTCAGTCATAGAGCATTATCATTACAGAGTGCCTACATCATCATAATCACCAGCATCATCACATATATTTCACAAAATAAGAAAATGAAAAGAACAGAATTAAGCAGTATTAACTAATTTATTAACATCTATGAACTCATTTATCAACATATTTTGTTTCTATAAAGATCCTTTTAAATCCAACATGACATCAACAAAAGGATGACAAAAGGATGGGGGAGGGGGGGGTGCTAGTCTCTTGAATTCAAATTTTTCAGTTGTAAAAGTTTACTGTAGATTTTGAGAAAAAAAAATCAATAATATCAACATGCTATTTTATTATGTAAAGCACAGGTATATACCGAGTTTTATGAGTACTTTATCTTACATTGGACATTATTGTTGTTTTTACTACTACCTGTATTATCATTATTATTACTGCTATTATCATGATCATTGTCATTATTGTTACTATTTTTAATATTGTTATTATTATTAATGTTATTAATTATATTACTACAGTATTACTATTGAACTACATCATTTTATCCCCCCCCCCCCTTCAATTTACTATTCAGTTCAGCATCCCTAATATTTTTGTCAGAACTTGACTTAAGATTAAATATTAAAAAACTATGTTACATGTACACGCATTTAAAAGAAAAAATGATTACTTTCATGATCCTCGATATATCTTCTTCTTCTGGTAATCTTCAAAAGGCGTTGTAGCCTATCACGAAGATGAACTAATACTAAAGATTACAAGTGGTGTGATGAAGACAGAATGTTTCTAAGTGGGATAAGGAGAGTAGATGCGTCAGAAGTAGTCCCTGGCAGTTCTCTGGACTGTCAGCATGCACTATATTTGCTGGAAGTCAGTTCCATTAACTTTGGGACAGAGTGTTGGGCAAATACAAACTTGTCTATGTCGCTTCTGACTTGGTGCAACTGGAGGGTCATGTCATGGTATTTCCTGCTTGTGATTTGTTAAAGCCTGTCTGTACTAGTTTGGCCAGGGGGATTAGACCACCTTGCAAGGTCACTGAAAGGTGGTTATCTCATCAAATCAGCTCTCAATTAATATAAGAAAAAGAGGATCATGGGGGACCAACAGGCACCGATAAGGCATTGTTTGCTATATAGAGGGCGCAAGTAGCTATAAGTAGTGCAGTGGGAACATTTTCAAGGGAGAGCGGAGAGACCATTGACTATCTTGTGCACCATTCCCAATCTTCTTGCAGAGTACCTTGTAGTTGTAGATATAGTAGGCAACTAAAAGGTGCTGATCATCTCAGTCAAACTGCTGGTTCTCTTGTGGTCCCCATTGTGAAGTAGCGTCCTGGACATCTTAGATGTTGTAGGGATCCCAGACACCGGAACAGTTCTCAAGATGAGGGTGGACTAGGGACTTGTACAAAAGAAGCCTGGGTATCAAACCATGCAGATTGGGACAACCTGCATAATAAAAACAAAAAGAGAGGAGAAATCAAATAAGATTAAAACTGCTGCATTATATTGTATTTTCAAAAATAGTACCTCCCCACTTTTTGTAGGTCTTGCATTTTAATTTTATTAAAAAATGATAAACTTATGTCTATCTGATAGGGCCCTTTTTGAAGAGAAGAGTAAAGGTTTAGACTTCTAGATGTATTTCCAATTATTATTATTATTATTATTATTATTATTATTTTTAAAGTAATTTCCAATTTATTTTAAGTTATTATTTGCTAGACTTTTGTGAACAAAAGTTTGTTAGATATAATGTAATATTGAGGAAAAAATGCCTTTGAGTACATCTTTTAATATGCTGAGAGAATAAACTGAAGCAACACCATAGTTAGTCACCTAAATAAAGCTAGAGAATAAATGAGAATTACAAGATATAATCCAACACAAGATGACAGTTCCCCAAATCTTTGTATATAGTCCAAGTCGAGTGCGGTGTTCGCATGAGCTTAGATTATACAGCCTGAATATTTTCGAACTGCATACAAACATACCTTGCCAGAGTTCAACTGAGGTAACCTGTTCCTGATTAGATCTACAGCATAACATTTGATGATCAGGTCCTGGTGCTCTTTGTTGCACTTCTGTGATCATTATCTGCTTCTTTGTTCCATAGGATCTACAATTAAAAGAAAACAGAAACTTAGTAAGCTTCGTGCAAGTAATAGTATCAAATGCTTGCATTTTATAACTTGGTTCATGTCCTTTAGACTAGAGTTAGAAATACCCATGCCATACCAAATAAAAAGGGGGTAGCAAATAGTCCTAAAACTTTATTGTAAACAAGGTAAATATTCGAACATTAGTAATACGCAAATAATATAAACCTATTTTCTCTCTAAAGTCTAAACATGTCATTTTCCTCTAAATATTTCAAACAAGGCACAGTGCCATAACTTAGAAGTTAGAGCACAATCAAGAAAAAAGAGTGGTGGGGGTGAGGGTAAAATTAGGAAGCTAGGAAGTGACACCCTTTTTGTTTTGTTTTGTTCTTGTCTAGTCTATCTAGCCTACATCCGAACTAAGCTGGACCTGGATACATAATGCCACACTAGCATGACTAGACCCTAGCCTAGGCCAGGGCCTAGTCTATCTAGATCTAGACCTAGACCTAGATCTATGCCTTAATTAGCCTGAATTTTCTATCTCTTTCGTTCGTTAGCCTCTGATTTGGGTAGGGTTGGCTAAAGAGAGGAGCCGACTCTACCCAAATCAGAGGCTAACGAACGAAAGAGACAGAAAATTCA